AATTGAGGGTTATCAGCAGTTATTAATATTATTGTTTTAAACTCTCCAAACAGAATCCAGCAACAATAAAGTAAGAACCAAACGCAACGTCCGGAATAGCCAGGACAATTGAGGGTTATCAGCAGTTATTAATATTATTGTTTTAAACTCTCCAAACAGAATACAGCAACAATAAAGTAAGAACCAAACGCAACGTCCGGAATAGCCAGGACAATTGAGGGTTATCAGCAGTTATTAATATTATTGTTTTAAACTCTCCAAACAGAATACAGCAACAATAAAGTAAGAACCAAACGCAACGTCCGGAATAGCCAGGACAATTGAGGGTTATCAGCAGTTATTAATATTATTGTTTTAAACTCTCCAAACAGAATCCAGCAACAATAAAGTAAGAACCAAACGCAACGTCCGGAATAGCCAGGACAATTGAGGGTTATCAGCAGTTATTAATATTATTGTTTTAAACTCTCCAAACAGAATACAGCAACAATAAAGTAAGAACCAAACGCAACGTCCGGAATAGCCAGGACAATTGAGGGTTATCAGCAGTTATTAATATTATTGTTTTAAACTCTCCAAACAGAATACAGCAACAATAAAGTAAGAACCAAACGCAACGTCCGGAATAGCCAGGACAATTGAGGGTTATCAGCAGTTATTAATATTATTGTTTTAAACTCTCCAAACAGAATACAGCAACAATAAAGTAAGAACCAAACGCAACGTCCGGAATAGCCAGGACAATTGAGGGTTATCAGCAGTTATTAATATTATTGTTTTAAACTCTCCAAACAGAATACAGCAACAATAAAGTAAGAACCAAACGCAACGTCCGGAATAGCCAGGACAATTGAGGGTTATCAGCAGTTATTAATATTATTGTTTTAAACTCTCCAAACAGAATACAGCAACAATAAAGTAAGAACCAAACGCAACGTCCGGAATAGCCAGGACAATTGAGGGTTATCAGCAGTTATTAATATTATTGTTTTAAACTCTCCAAACAGAATACAGCAACAATAAAGTAAGAACCAAACGCAACGTCCGGAATAGCCAGGACAATTGAGGGTTATCAGCAGTTATTAATATTATTGTTTTAAACTCTCCAAACAGAATACAGCAACAATAAAGTAAGAACCAAACGCAACGTCCGGAATAGCCAGGACAATTGAGGGTTATCAGCAGTTATTAATATTATTGTTTTAAACTCTCCAAACAGAATACAGCAACAATAAAGTAAGAACCAAACACAACGTCCGGAATAGCCAGGACAATTGAGGGTTATCAGCAGTTATTAATATTATTGTTTTAAACTCTCCAAACAGAATACAGCAACAATAAAGTAAGAACCAAACGCAACGTCCGGAATAGCCAGGACAATTGAGGGTTATCAGCAGTTATTAATATTATTGTTTTAAACTCTCCAAACAGAATACAGCAACAATAAAGTAAGAACCAAACGCAACGTCCGGAATAGCCAGGACAATTGAGGGTTATCAGCAGTTATTAATATTATTGTTTTAAACTCTCCAAACAGAATACAGCAACAATAAAGTAAGAACCAAACACAACGTCCGGAATAGCCAGGACAATTGAGGGTTATCAGCAGTTATTAATATTATTGTTTTAAACTCTCCAAACAGAATACAGCAACAATAAAGTAAGAACCAAACGCAACGTCCGGAATAGCCAGGACAATTGAGGGTTATCAGCAGTTATTAATATTATTGTTTTAAACTCTCCAAACAGAATACAGCAACAATAAAGTAAGAACCAAACACAACGTCCGGAATAGCCAGGACAATTGAGGGTTATCAGCAGTTATTAATATTATTGTTTTAAACTCTCCAAACAGAATACAGCAACAATAAAGTAAGAACCAAACACAACGTCCGGAATAGCCAGGACAATTGAGGGTTATCAGCAGTTATTAATATTATTGTTTTAAACTCTCCAAACAGAATACAGCAACAATAAAGTAAGAACCAAACGCAACGTCCGGAATAGCCAGGACAATTGAGGGTTATCAGCAGTTATTAATATTATTGTTTTAAACTCTCCAAACAGAATACAGCAACAATAAAGTAAGAACCAAACACAACGTCCGGAATAGCCAGGACAATTGAGGGTTATCAGCAGTTATTAATATTATTGTTTTAAACTCTCCAAACAGAATACAGCAACAATAAAGTAAGAACCAAACACAACGTCCGGAATAGCCACGACAATTGAGGGTTATCAGCAGTTATTAATATTATTGTTTTAAACTCTCCAAACAGAATACAGCAACAATAAAGTAAGAACCAAACGCAACGTCCGGAATAGCCAGGACAATTGAGGGTTATCAGCAGTTATTAATATTATTGTTTTAAACTCTCCAAACAGAATACAGCAACAATAAAGTAAGAACCAAACGCAACGTCCGGAATAGCCAGGACAATTGAGGGTTATCAGCAGTTATTAATATTATTGTTTTAAACTCTCCAAACAGAATACAGCAACAATAAAGTAAGAACCAAACGCAACGTCCGGAATAGCCAGGACAATTGAGGGTTATCAGCAGTTATTAATATTATTGTTTTAAACTCTCCAAACAGAATACAGCAACAATAAAGTAAGAACCAAACGCAACGTCCGGAATAGACAGGACAATTGAGGGTTATCAGCAGTTATTAATATTATTGTTTTAAACTCTCCAAACAGAATACAGCAACAATAAAGTAAGAACCAAACGCAACGTCCGGAATAGCCAGGACAATTGAGGGTTATCAGCAGTTATTAATATTATTGTTTTAAACTCTCCAAACAGAATACAGCAACAATAAAGTAAGAACCAAACGCAACGTCCGGAATAGCCAGGACAATTGAGGGTTATCAGCAGTTATTAATATTATTGTTTTAAACTCTCCAAACAGAATACAGCAACAATAAAGTAAGAACCAAACGCAACGTCCGGAATAGCCAGGACAATTGAGGGTTATCAGCAGTTATTAATATTATTGTTTTAAACTCTCCAAACAGAATACAGCAACAATAAAGTAAGAACCAAACACAACGTCCGGAATAGCCAGGACAATTGAGGGTTATCAGCAGTTATTAATATTATTGTTTTAAACTCTCCAAACAGAATACAGCAACAATAAAGTAAGAACCAAACACAACGTCCGGAATAGCCAGGACAATTGAGGGTTATCAGCAGTTATTAATATTATTGTTTTAAACTCTCCAAACAGAATACAGCAACAATAAAGTAAGAACCAAACACAACGTCCGGAATAGCCAGGACAATTGAGGGTTATCAGCAGTTATTAATATTATTGTTTTAAACTCTCCAAACAGAATACAGCAACAATAAAGTAAGAACCAAACGCAACGTCCGGAATAGCCAGGACAATTGAGGGTTATCAGCAGTTATTAATATTATTGTTTTAAACTCTCCAAACAGAATACAGCAACAATAAAGTAAGAACCAAACGCAACGTCCGGAATAGCCAGGACAATTGAGGGTTATCAGCAGTTATTAATATTATTGTTTTAAACTCTCCAAACAGAATACAGCAACAATAAAGTAAGAACCAAACGCAACGTCCGGAATAGACAGGACAATTGAGGGTTATCAGCAGTTATTAATATTATTGTTTTAAACTCTCCAAACAGAATACAGCAACAATAAAGTAAGAACCAAACGCAACGTCCGGAATAGCCAGGACAATTGAGGGTTATCAGCAGTTATTAATATTATTGTTTTAAACTCTCCAAACAGAATACAGCAACAATAAAGTAAGAACCAAACGCAACGTCCGGAATAGCCAGGACAATTGAGGGTTATCAGCAGTTATTAATATTATTGTTTTAAACTCTCCAAACAGAATACAGCAACAATAAAGTAAGAACCAAACGCAACGTCCGGAATAGCCAGGACAATTGAGGGTTATCAGCAGTTATTAATATTATTGTTTTAAACTCTCCAAACAGAATACAGCAACAATAGCATTGCTGTAATTTAAAATAAAAGACTTTCATTTAATTTTATAATTGTTTTAATATTATTTTTTTCTTTTAATTTCTTTTGTAAAAGAAAATATTAAAACTGCTTCGCTTAGCATAGCACCATGATGAATGTCTTCTCTATGAGGTAACGTATGCAGGCCGCTAATGTTCAGCAGTGGATCTATGATAAGTGGTAATGAATTAATGGTTTTTTTTAAATATTATTGAGGCGATAAACTAACTTACCGTCCACCTGAGAGTAACAAGCTACTGCTGCCCATGGATACCAGCAGCCAACTTCAAAAGGACAAAAGGCTATAGAAACGATACTGACTATACGTTCTTCAGACCAGAACACAGCAGAACCCTGTTATTTGGTAGCAGAAACGAGTAAGATGGTGGTATACCCACGAGGACTTGTATGTTTGTGAGCGAAATATCATGTGTGCTAGTGTCGTAACTTGTGCGCAATGTATTAGAAGCGTAGTATACATCTTGCAATATGGATAGAGATCTTTAAGTCTAATTAACGATAGGATATGTTTGTGAGTGTGGTGTTGCGTGGGATTGTATCGTAACTTAGGGCGAAATGTATCAGTAGCGTAATATACGTCTTGTAGTATACATAGAAGTCTTTGAGTCTAACGATTGGATATGTTTGTGAGTGTGTAGTGTTGCATGGGGTGGTATCGTAACTACTTACCGTTATACGTGGACGTATTTGACTGTAAGGAATGAATAAGGTATTTTAGTGATTGTTGTATTGAGTGGGATGGTGTTTGTGAGCGTAGTGTTGTGTGGGGTGGTGTCGTGATTTAGTGTGTGTATTAGCAGAATGCTCGTCTTGTAATATACATATAAGTCTGTGGCTGTAACGAATGAGGGTGGGTATGCTTTTCAATGTAGTGTTGTGTGGGGTGGTGTCTTAATGTATAAGTACAGTAGTGCTCGTCTAGTATACTACATATAAATGTTTGTGAGTGGGGTGCTGTGTGGTGTGGTATACGGACCTGTGTTAGTGCAGTCACAGAGGAAGTGTCCGCGTCGGTCGAGGCAGCGGCCGCCGTGCAGGCAGGCGGCGGCGCCCGCGTCCGCGCACGCGTCGCGCGCCGCCTCGCACAGCCGCCCGCTGTAGCCCTCAGCACACGCACACTGCGGCGGCTGCACACACACGCACACACATATATACATACATTGATATACTAAATGCTACGTGCATTATAAAATGTTAAATAATAATACTTCACTTTAAACAATAAGGGACAACCAAGACTTTTTCTATCGCCTGGTCACTTTGAAATGAGATGAAATATATAACCAATTTCATAGCGAGGAATTTAATTCGTTAGAAAAATATATGGGTTAATGTTTCTCTTAATTAGATATGAAATTATTAACTTTACTTCCTCAAATCGGAGCCAAAACATAGGGTGCAGGAGATTAAAATCTTCAACTTCAAAGTAAAAAGTCGACTTTTAGTTTATATTAAAAGAAACTTTTACCCTTTTGAGTGAATTAAAAAAATCTCCAGATCTCAATATCGTCTAAATAGTTAAACTAAAAACTTCATTCTGGCACTGGCAACTGAACTGGCACTCAAATGTGCCGGATAAATGGGCTTTATCATTCATTCTTTGTACGTGTTCAAACAATCGAAACACTCATTTCTTCTTAATCCTGGTCCCAACACTTTCTTTTATCAAAAAACATATTACTTTTTATAGCATAATTTCTTAAAATCACCTGTAACATACTTCTCAAAAGACCGCACTTCTACAGCATTAATTTTTAATGTCATGCTTCTTCTGCCACATTCAAGTTTCATTGCCACGCACTAAGGTAGGGACTAACATGGGATTCTGAATTGCCTTAATTAAGTGTCTTTATTAACACATACTGACTTCCCATTCCACAGAGTAAATACCAAGCAAAGGAACTCGACTGTCACAAGCAAGATAAATAATGATATAAGGGAGGTAGTTACGTTGGCATCGATGACGCAGGTGCCGTGCACGCAGGGCTCCAACTCGCAGAACGCGAACTCGCAGTGCACGCCCTCATAACCCTCGAAGCAGTCGCACGTGTAGTTGTTACCAGTTGGCCGGTCTGCGAGCACAAACGTACATGTATTTTTGTCTAATTTCTTTAAAACCCTATATCTCATAACTCTAAGTCATGAAAGAAAGATAGACGCAGTGCTTTGTACTTTTTAATTGATTACGAAACTATACCCTAAATACGGCACTACAGCTATATTACGGTTGCAGCATATATGGATCAGCTCGATCGGGGAAGGACCAACCTTTGATATTTGAAAAGGTTATATCAGTGACAGTAGGTTAGTCCAGGGTGAACCATAACCCAGATGCTTGCAATTAATGTTGGAACGTATACTGGAATACTATGCAGTGCACTAGTATAGTACACTTTTAATAAGGGCGTATGAGTGTTCTGAAAATAAATTGAACAGTTTTGATTTCGTTTCGGCTTCTCATTTGTACGTAGCGCTATTTCTCTTCTTTGTTCAGCCATGTCTCAGTTCGCGCGCCGCGCCACTTGATGAGGTGCAGTGAGGTGCCGTGCGTGCGTTGTGTGATGTAGTGTGGTGTGGTGTGATGCGGCACTACTGACCGGGCGGCTGGTCCCTGCAGGCGGCGCGCGCGGGCGCGCAGGGCGCGTGCGCGCACGTTCGCTCGCGCGGCAGCTGGCAGCGCGCGCCGCGCCACTCGGCCGCGCACGTACACACGAACCCGCCCGCCACGTTGCTGCACGTGCCACCGTTGGCGCACGGCGACGACACGCACTCGTCCACGTCCATCGAGCACCTGGACACCGAACAGTGGTAGAGCCACGCGACAGCTTTTGCTGTGCATGTATGAGCCGGCTCACACGACGACCACACGACCTCACAGAATACCGGCATGAAGTGGAAAGTGAGTGCAGGTGGCCGGAGGAGTGATTCGACCCTCCCACCCCATCCACATGGTAGCAGAATTAAATGTAAGACTAACGCAGGAGGGTACCAGCACCCTAGACAATCCCTCGCTGAGCATACACGACCTAGCTACTCCACTCCTGAGCATGGGTGCTCAGGCTGCCCCACGTATTCTGGGGGGAGGGGCAAACATTTCTCTCAAGACAACAACTGCTCGGGGCAAGCTCAGCAACAAGACCAAGGCGACCCCTGCCACGCTGTCCGTGAATTTCTGCAATATCAGGGCACTTCACTCGAACCTAAACGCCGTCCACTACCATCATCCATCATCAGACAGCAAGGATTATCAAACAGTGATATTGAAATGGGACCAGTTACATTTAACGCATAATTATGTAATTTAGACCTCATTAAATTTTGAGTAAAATCGGTCAAGTTGTTTTTTGTGCCAAATAAAAAATTGTATAACATATTAAAACATATGATATTTTTTATTCTTTCCACTGGGAAATTAGTCGTGTGGACTTTTCGGGTCGCACCTACACCGCTTTTTTAATTATTAATTAGCCAGAACAAGTTTTCATAATGTTTGAATTAATAAATTAATAATATTTATTTAGAAAATATAAACATATAATATAAACTAAATATAAACAATGAAAATAATTACATTAAAACTAACACCTACATGTAATCTTTAATATATTCAAACAAACTACAATAAAAATATACTATACGACGTAATTGTTACTAAAATGGAATAGTGATAGTAAATATGCGAGTGAATAAGTTACGTGAGTTAGGGACAATCAGCCCCAGCAGACAATTTTATGTCTATATCATTTTTAATAAATACTTTTTGTATTTTTTCCTAAAACTATTCTTATTTGTTATGGCTCGCAATGGGAGTGGAATATCGTTCAACACTTACGCGCAAACATTTTCCATGGATTTTGAAGTACCTGTAAATGCTGAATGTACCTACAACTTGGTTTTATATGAACTATTATTCAACAGTGCACTATTTTAACTTAAAATACCGGTAAAAACTACTATAAATAGCTTTTACTTTATTTTTAGGTTATTTTAAAATTCATATTTTAATTGTTATTTTCTCAGTTTTCCGTTTAGATGTGGTAAAATTAATATTACTATTGTAATCTATAGATTATAAGGAATAAATCGACATGCATTTCATTGCGTGACGCAAAAATTTGTGGTGGGCCCATTCTCCATACACAAATTGATTGTCTCCTCTGTAACTACCGCGAAGTGCTAATGTCCTCTGTTCAGATTCAGCTTTAGGATATTTTGTAATTTTTTCGGTTATAACTTCGCAAACTATTAATTTAAACTTAATTTTAAACTCATATAATAATGAAACAAAAAACATAAAAATTTTATCATTTCTGTAATAACGTAACAAATATTGAATGACTGGACACAAGTGTCCAGTAAATAGCAACTCATCACACTCACAGTTCGCCTTCAAAGCCTTCCGGACAGATACAAGTGTACATTGCTACGCCGTCCTTGCACGTCGCCCCATTCTGACATTGATTCGATTCACATTCGTCCACGTCGATCTGCAGATAATAATTACATTAGATTTTTTAAATAAAATAATAATAGGTAAAGGTACAGAAGTTCTGTCGTTAATCGTTAGCAATAAATTTAGCCACGTGAACGCTTTACCACCGTGTAGTGGCGGTGTAAACCGACTACCCCATATCATACCGCGGGTGTCATAAGACGCAAATAGAAAAAAAACAAATCAGTAGATGTACCCGGGCGGGCAGGTACAGACGTGGGAGCTGCGCTGGTCGGTGCAGTATCCGCCGCGCTGGCAGTCCTGCTGCAGGCACAGCTGCATTGCACTACTGCACCTGCACGTCCCTCGCAGTAGTCGCCGGCGTACCCGGGCGGACAGGTATAGGAGCTGCGCAGGTCGGTGCAGTGTCCGCCGGGCTGTCAGCCCTGCTGCAGGCACAGCTGCATTGCACTACTGCACCTGCACGTACCTTGCAGTAGTCGCCGGCGTACCCGGGCGGCAAGTGCAGACGTAGGAGCCGCGCAGGTCGGTGTAGTGTCCGCCGCGCTGGCAGTCCTGCTGTAGACGCAGCTGCTCTGCACTACTACACTACTGCACCTGCACGTACCTTGCAGTAGTCGCCGGCGTACCCGGGCGGACAGGTGCAGACGTAGGAGCCGCGTAGGTCGGTGTAGTGTCCGCCGCGCTGGCAGTCCTGCTGTAGACGCAGCTGCTCTGCACTACTACACTACTGCACCTGCACGTACCTTGCAGTAGTCGCCGGCGTACCCGGGCGGACAGGTGCAGACGTAGGAGCCGCGCAGGTCGGTGTAGTGACCGCCACGCTGGCAGTCCTGCTGTAGGCACAGCTGCTCTGCACTACTGCACTTGCACGTACCTTGCAGTAGTCGTCGGCGTACCCGGGCGGGCATGTGCAGGCGTAGGAGCTGCGCAGGTCGGTGCAGTGTCCGGCGCGCTGGCAGTCCTGCTGTAGGCACAGCTGCTCTGCACTACTGCACCTGCATGTACCTCGCAGTAATCGCCGGCGTATCCAGGCGGGCAAGTGCAGGCGTAGGAGCTGCGCAGGTCGGTGCAGTGTCCGCCGCGCTGGCAGTCTTGCTCCAGGCACAACACGCAGCCCACACCCTGGGAAGCACCCCATGGACGTCCCGATCTATACGAGTATAAAGAACGAAAGATTCATATCATTAGTTTTTTTTTGATAAAAATTAAACAATCTCATATACGTCTACTACACCTAAACGAATCACTTATCCCACCTAATGAATAATAGTTGGTGGGGCTCGAAGGACCAATTCCTTCATTCCAGATTTATTATAACTGTCACCCACTTTTCTCTTTGTTTCAGTTACTTGAGCAGTTTCCATCAACTTACGCAGTGTTTCGGTGTATTTTTGATTAAAATTAAAGTTATCCCTTATATTTTTTAAGACCTCAAAATAGCAAAACAGTATTTATAAACAATCTCGCAACGTTTTTTAAATCAGCAAAACTTAGCATTTTCTTTAGATATCAAGATATACCTATAGAAAAAATCTCAACAAAAAAATTACAAGTGTTTTAATTAATGAAAAATAATACAGTGTTTAAAACTAATTTTACGGATTTTATCGCCTTTATATATATATATATATATATATATATATATATATATATATATAGCCTGTCACCCAGAGGGGTAGGCAGAGACTACAGACTTCTATTTGGCACGATCCTGACACACCTCTCTCGCCTCCTTCACATCCATACACCTACGCATACATGCTCGTCGGTTAAGGGTACTCCTAATTTGGCCCGTTTTCAATAAATCGCCAATTTGATCGATAAATTTTAGCCTAGGACGTCCCTTTCCGACTCTGCCATTCACTTCTGCAACATAAATTTGCTTTGTCACTCTTTCTTCATTCATTCTTTCTACATGACCAAACCACCGAAGCATTCCATTCTTAATTCTGGTCACAACATCATCTTGCAAACCACACTCTTCTCTTATTACACAATTTATCGCCTTTAATTTAACTTACTTAACTTCTCTATAAACCCCGACGTTTCGGTTTCGTCCCACGGCCTGGGGAGGGGGCCTCCCCCCTCCCCAGAGCCGGGGGGAGGGAGGGCTGTTTGTCGCTAAGAAGTCATAGTTAGCTCGGCTACCTTCATCTTTCAACTATTAATTTTTGGCCGGATCTACGCAGACCGAGTTTACAGTACTAACGACATTAAAGTCTTATAGTGGTATGCTTGGGTTTGGGTTCTATTTTATTAATTATTATTACTTATAATTATTAACACGAACTTCTGATTGGGATCCTTCCAATCATAAGTTCGTATAAATATAAGAAATCATTATCACTTTATGTTTATCAACACCAAAGTTATTTCGGGTATCCAATATAACATTATTATTGTTACAATTAAAATAGTATGCGAGAAGTGACATATGGCGACTTACAGCAGCGCGTAGTAGGGCTGCCTGGCAAGCAGCGAGGCGGTGGCGCCCACGAACAGCTCCTCCTCGCTGAAGAACGGCAGCAGCAGCTCGCCCACGTGCACCGCGCCCATGCACCCCTGCACCATGCTTATGTATTACATCTTTGTCGCAACACCACCAATTTAACGATACAATTAAATACAATTAATTTTATTCAATACAGATAACTATATAACACTTACTGAAACTTATTTTTATTTAATATTAGTCCAAAGTTCAATCTGTACATACGAAATTGAAAAACAAGATCATACCTTAAAGTACTCGCCCGACAAATTGTCGCTGATGAAATCATCGCCCTCTGAGTACTCCCACACAGTCTCTGTTGAATTCTCCACCTGATACAAACACTTAGGTAAAACACAACATTTAGCACTTAAAAAAGTTTTGCTACAATTTTTACTTAATCATTTATAATTAAATATTAAGAACCGTGGTAGCTCAGATTGGAGGCGCTCGCTGTAAAGTTAAATTATGCGAACAAACTGGGTTCATTTCCCGCCGGCACTAATGACATTTTGAATTGCAATTTTAAGTGCTGATTTTACCACGACCTCGGCGATGAAGGAAAACATCACGAGAAAACCTGCATGTCTGAGAAAAAAATTATTTCGTGGACACGTGAAGTTCGCCAACATGCATTGGGGCAGTGCGACAGACATTTTCTTGCCCTAAAACCCTCTCAGAAATGAGAGGAGACATGTGCCCAGCGCATGTGGGACGTATATAGGCTGTAACTTTTAATTTATAAGTTAAAAACAAAAGTTTCAATGTATAAAACTTAGTCTTTTATACTATAATCAGATAATTAGTGATATTTAAGTAGCACAACACTATCGAATAATACTTTTACGAATTTTATCGCGTTTAATTTAGCGGAGGACAGGTGATTGACGTCCCGATGTCCGTACCGGAGTACCTCCAGCTTTTAGTTGTTACTTACAGTCGGATCTACGCAGAACTTACTGACTACCAGAGTCTTGCAATGGTATGCTTGGGTTTAGTTTTAATTTTATTAATTACAGAATACCAAGCAGGTGTTAATACTAAATCTAATCTCTGACGGCTATTCGGCAAAGTATATAAAGTAGTAGCATAGTGCGACGTACGGCAGCTAGCGTGGAGCTGGTGGCGGCGGCAGTTGCAACGCTGGTGGCAGTGGCAGCGGTGGTGGCTGTGGCAGCGCCGCGCGGCCGCCGCAACCCACCCAGCTGCAGCTCGCCCTCCAGCATGAGGCGTTGCCAAGCCTCCACATCGATGGACGCCGTAAATCCCACCTCCTCTTCGCCCTCAGACTCCACGAACGCACCTGCCGGAATGAATTAAATTAGACTAAAAAACGGGACGACCTGGTAGGACATGCAAGAAATTGATAATGTAGGTTGCGCATAGAACCGTGCTTTGTGGCATTCTTTGATGAAGACGTACGTTCAACAATGGACTTCTGTAGGGCTGTGATAATGATGATGTTGATGATAATGATGATGATAAATTGAAATGAATGTAATTGAAATACACCGTAGTGAACGTCAAAATTAATAAAAATGCATAAAAAGAGTAAGTAGGTCCATTCAACACAATTACTCGTGATTTTTGGTGCTCATTTAGTATTTTCTTTGTGTAACGCCCCACTTCATCGAATTTTTGCCTGTCATAGTGTAGTGGCTTAAAAGCCGTAGTTTCATAACCCAAGGTGAAGCTAAGAGAACGAGTCCGTTAGCCAGGCACAGCTGCTGCGTGCCCCACTACAGGTGGTCCCTACCGCAGGAAAAGTAGCAGCAGTGCACTCACCCACCACGTGTCCGTCGGCCAGACGCAGCCGTAGCGTGCCCCACTACAGGTGATCGCTACAGCAGCAGCAGCACACTCACCATCCACGTATCTATCAGCCAGGCGCCGCCACAGCGTGCCCACTACAGGTGATCGCTGCAGCAGCAGCAGCGCACTCACCCGCCACGTATCCACCAGCCAGGCGCCGCCGCAGCGTGCCCCACTACAGGTGATCGCTACCGCAGGCAGTAGCAGCAGCGCACTCACCCGCCACGTATCCGTCGGCCAGACGCAGCCGCAGCGTGCCCCACTACAGGTGATCGCTGCAGCAGCAGCAGCGCACTCGCCATCCACGTATCAATCAGCCAGGCGCCGCCGCAGCGTGCCCCACTACAGGTGATCGCTACAGCAGCAGCAGCGCACTCACCCGCCACGTATCCACCAGCCAGGCGCCGCCGCAGCGTGGCCCACTACAGGTGGTCGCTACGCAGAACAGTAGCAGCGTGCACTCACCCGCCACGTGTCCGTCGGCCAGACGCAGCCGCAGCGTGCCCCACTACAGGTGATCGCTACAGCAGCAGCAGCGCACTCACCCTCCACGTATCTATCAGCCAGGCGCCGCCGCAGCGTGCCCCACTACAGGTGATCGCTGCAGCAGCAGCAGCGCACTCGCCCGCCACGTATCCATCAGCCAGGCGCCGCCGCAGCGTGGCCCACTACAGGTGGTCGCTACCGCAGGACAGTAGCAGCAGTGCACTCACCCGCCACGTGTCCGTCAGCCAGACGCCGCCGCAGCGTGCCCCACTACAGGTGATCGCTACAGCAGCAGCAGCGCACTCACCATCCACGTATCCATCAGCCAGGCGCCGCCGCAGCGTGCCCCACTACAGGTGATCGCTGCAGCAGCAGCAGCGCACTCACCCGCCACGTATCCATCAGCCAGGCGCCGCCGCAGCGTGCCCCACTACAGGTGGTCGCTACCGCAGACAGTAGCAGCAGCGCACTCACCCGCCACGTGTCCATCGGCCAGACGCCGCCGCAGCGTGCCCCACTACAGGTGATCGCTGCAGCAGCAGCAGCGCACTCGCCCGCCACGTATCCATCAGCCAGGCGCCGCCGCAGCGTGCCCCACTACAGGTGATCGCTGCAGCAGCAGCAGCGCACTCACCCGCCACGTGACCATCAGCCAGGCGCCGCCGCAGCGTGCCCCACTACAGGTGATCGCTACAGCAGCAGTACAGCAGTGCACTCACCCGCCACGTGTCCATCAGCCAGACGCCGCCGCAGCGTGCCCCACTACAGGTGATCGCTGCAGCAGCAGCGCACTCACCCGCCACGTATCCATCAGCCAGGCGCCGCCGCAGCGTGCCCCACTACAGGTGATCGCTACAGCAGCAGCAGCGCACTCACCCGCCACGTATCCATCAGCCAGGCGCCGCCGCAGCGTGCCCCACTACAGGTGATCACAAAAGCAGCAGCAGCGCACTCACCCGCCACGTATCCATCAGCCAGGCGGCGCCGCAGCGTGCCCCACTACAGGTGATCGCTACAGCAGCAGCAGCGCACTCACCCGCCACGTATCCATCAGCCAGGCGGCGCCGCAGCGTGCCCCACTACAGGTGATCGCTACAGCAGCAGCAGCGCACTCACCCGCCACGTATCCATCAGCCAGGCGCCGCCGCAGCGTGCCCCACTACAGGTGATCGCTACAGCAGCAGCAGCGCACTCACCCGCCACGTATCCATCAGCCAGGCGCCGCCGCAGCGTGCCCCACTACAGGTGATCGCTACAGCAGCAGCAGCGCACTCACCCGCCACGTATCCATCAGCCAGGCGGCGCCGCAGCGTGCCCCACTACAGGTGATCGCTACAGCAGCAGCAGCGCACTCACCCGCCACGTATCCATCAGCCAGGCGGCGTCGCAGCGTGGCCCACTACTGGTGATCGCTACAGCAGCCGCAGCGCACTCTCCCGCCACGTATCCATCAGCCAGGCGGCGCCGCAGCGTGCCCCACTACAGGTGATCGCTACAGCAGCAGCAGCGCACTCACCCGCCACTTGTCCATCGGCCAGGCGCAGCCGCAGTGTGCCCCACTGCAGGTGGTCGCGGCGCGTGCGCATGCGGCGCAACGCCGGCAGCCCGCCGCCCAGACGCCACTGCACCGTCACCTGCTCCTTGTACACGCCCACGCTGAACCACCACTCGTTTAGCTCCGCGTGGAATAGGGTGCCGCCGCTCTTACTCCTGATCACAACCACATCATCATCATCACCTGCATCCATCGAATTTCTGCATGTCTTAACAGGTCATCACGTTTAAAACAAACAGCAAATTACCGTTATCGTTACAGCCTATCAACACATAAGCTCGTAGGCCTATGTTTTGATAGGCTGTAATAATAATAAAATAATATAAGCCTCATAGGAGGATGTTTGCCATAGTTGCCACGCTTGGCTAGTAGGTTGGCAACTACAGTTTTTTTAGTTCGTATTAGAAAGACGTTTTTGCCCAACTCCTAATTTATGTTTTCCTCTCTCGCCTCTTAAGACAAGCACGAAATAATAGGATAATAATAATAAAGTCCTCCAGACTGAACGGTCACGGCGGCTGGCCTCAACGGAGACTAGCCATCAGCGCAGGACAGAATTATAGTGCCCAAGGGTATGCGCAAGCACAAGTGCATTCTCTGTTCTCTCGCTCTGATAAAAAAATTCTATAACTGATTTTTTGGCCCAACCCGGGATGCTAACCCGGGACCTCAAAGTCAGAAATTGCACTACTACAACCACTAGACCAACGAGGCAGTCAAGTTATTTGCATGTGCAAATTATTACGTCATGAATATATTATACACAGCACGTTACATAATTATCGCACTTTGAGAAAGTAGTTTGTTCAGAATCGTTTACTGAATCGATTCCTATCATTTTTAATATAGGTGATTTTTTGTCCCAAAAATAATTAAAACTACGTAAATTACAGTCACACTAAATCTGTACAGTCAAAACAAACTGAAATGGACCGTAACTTAAGGCAATAAGACTTTTAAGAGTGCAGTTTTATTTGTATTATTACTAATTCTGTCATTCAATAAAAATAAAGAAAAATGAACTTTATTTCAAGCACGTTAAAGTCTTTGTGTTCGTGGATTTATACTGTGACCACAACATTCTTCCGGAAATAGTATAAATAATTTGATAAATAATCAGTGCATAAAAATGTTTAACTAAAAATTCTGTGCATGTATTATGATTATAACATAATATACTATTTGGGGTGTCTGAGGGTGTGCGTTAATTACGTTACATATTGTATAAGCACACTTCAAATTATATCCGGAACTAAATCGCTCTACAGCTGACGCCGATGCTGAGCTGATTAAACATATTTTCTGTGCATGGGAGTACTCTGAAGATGCTCTGGGAATATTTTGTAATCTTGCCAAGGCTTTCGACTATGTTCACTATGAGACATTAAGCAGGAAGCTACATCATTATGGTGTAAAATGTAGCGCTTAAACTAATTACATCATATTTAAAAAATTGGACGAATAGTTGTAATTAATGGAGTGTTTTTGGATGTGTTCAAGGCTCATTTTTTGGCCCCTTTCTATTCTTAGTTAATATTAATGGTTTATTTAGTAAGGAATACCCATAATACAGTTTTATTTGCTGATATACATCGTTGATTTTTCAGACTTTTTTTTAAGCATAATGATGACAAACGAGCTTACAGTCCACCTGATGGTAAGTGGTTGCTGCGGCCTATAGACATCTAAATCTATCCTCGACTACGAATCAAAATGTAGATGCGTTGATATCCCCAACTCATTTTAATTCTTAGATAATGCAAAAAATACAGCATTTATTACCATCATTTCTATGGATTTGGCACTAATTACCATTCATCATGTGGATAGTGTGCACTTCACTTTTATAAGAAAATATTAGTGTAATCTATGATAATAATGGTTAAGATATCCTAAAAATCGGAATACAATAGCATTTAAGAGGGTGTTAGCAATCCAAATCAAATCAAAGCACTAAATGTATAAGTAAATATATATTTTTTAATTTCACTCGCGGTAGAAGTGAAACCTTCAAAAAACTAATTTTTAAGAGAATAAGACGAATGTAGAGTACTATGGGTAGGATAATCGTAGGGTTTATTTATTATAATATTGTTACCAGGTTTAAAAATTATATTCCACATTACATATTTTAATATATTACGGATAATAGAAAATAGAAAACACTGTAATACTGTATCATGTATCTCACACAATGTATCTCAAGCTATACTAAAGAAAGCGACAGATGACAACAAGCTACACTAAAAAATGGCATTTGTTTTTTCTTAGTGTCGCTTGTTTGGCGGACGCCGCGCGCAGCCTGCAGCTCAGTGCCGTGCTCACTCATACCTGTAGGTAATGGTGAGGCTGGCGGGCGACGACGGCCGGGGCGCGGCATCTTGCGCCAGGAAGGTGGACTGCGCGCGCAGCCGGTAGTTTAGCACCGTGCTCACTCTCGTACCTGTAGGTGATGGTGAGGCTGGCGACGAACACGGGCGGGGCGCGGCATCTTGCGCCAGGAAGGCGGACGGCGCGCGCAGCCTGCAGCTCAGTGCCGTGCTCACTTGTACCTGTAGGTTATGGTGAGGCTGGCGGGCGACCACGGGCGGGGCGCGGCATCTTGCGCCAGGAAGGCGGGCGGCGCGCGCTGCCTGTAGCTCAGTGCCGTGCTTACCTGTACCTGTAGATGATGGTGAGGCTGGCGGGCAACGTCGGGCGGGGCGCGGCATCTTGCACCAGGAAGGCGGACGGCGCGCGCAGCCGGTAGCTTAGCGCCGTGCTCACTCGTACCTGTAGGTGATGGTGAGGCTGGCGGGCGACGGCGGGCGGGGCGCGGCATCTTGCGCCAGGAAGGCGGACGGCGCGCGCAGCCGGTAGCTTAGCGCCGTGCTCACGCCGTCGAACGTCGCGTTCGACACGCACTCGTACCTGCCCCAACCACGTTACACTGCCTTACAATACATTCAACGATGCGTACGCGACACAACAACAACACTAGTAATATACTTTTTAAAAGTGCCTAATGAAAATTTCCCCATGGGCATTGTAAATACAAAAGTGAAACAATTATATCTAAGATAAATAATTTTATAACTTTTTAGGAATCAACCGTAAATAAGATAACAAAATATTATACTTTATTAAGAATAGTAATTTACCATTCGTAAAAATAAATAAGTACCAAGAATTGACATTTCACTAAAATACTCACCCGCCATCAAGGTTGCGACAGTGTGAATTGAGGGGACAACCTTGTAACTGACAAAACTCCACTTCAGCACATTGCTTGCCTTTGTAACCACGAGGGCATAAACATCTAAAACAATTATTAAAATTGGTGCATTTGAAATCTTTAAATACGTATATCAAATTATTATTATCTAGGATTTAAAAATTTATCATTAATTATATATGATACTGGTTATACATCCGGAATACGGGCGCGCTAACAAATCACCAAAGTTTCATCTTAATCGGATCAAAAATATAGAATCGCATAAAAGACAAACAAAGCAAATTATAGTGTATTCAGGTCGAAAAACAAAAAAAAAACCGAAAAAAGGCGCGTCTTGCATCGTTGTAGAAAAATAATATAAAAACGGACTTCAGGCGCTATCGCATTAGGAGGAGTAAGAACATCTCGAAGTCTCAGTTAACGTGTCCATCTCAACACCGTAAAATCTTTTTAAATATATACTGATGGATGCTGTGAGGCGAAACTATTCAGTTTTTATAACTAGTACGATAATTATTTACAATAAATATTGTGAAACTAGTACAATTGTTTATCCAAAACACAAAAGTGAAGCTAAAGTTTCACCAAGTGACAACAATCGTAAACATAAATTATGTAGTAATATCTCCTGTGCAGTTACTTAAATGAAACTAAGTTTTACGGATCTACAACTTATTTTAAATTCCCAGCGATTCGAATACTTTACTTTATGGCTACAATCAGTTTAAAATTATTAATATTTGGTCGAATCTACGCAGCGTGAGCTTACAGTATCTTGAAGTCTTGCAGTTATATGATCGATATGGGATTTAATTTTATTAATCATAGGGTCCCAAGTAAATGGTAGCACCCAACCATCTTTTCTACTCACTACCCACCCAGCGATCCCGTACGTGTTCACAGACGACTAAGCTTCTGACAGTGTATGTGTGTATGTGTGCGTGCGTGCACACGTGTGTAGAGGGACGTATGGAATGGCATACACGTGTGTGAGTAGATGTGTGCGCATGCACTCGAGCGTGTGAATGTGCGCGTGCGTGGCTACTCGTGCGGACGTGAACGCGCGCACGCTCGTGTTTGTGTGTGTGTGAGAGAGAGTTTGCGTGTACAAATGTGTGTACTCACGTGTAGTCGTTCCAAGTGTTGGTGCAAGTGGCGTTGTGCAGGCAGGGCTGCGAGGCGCACACGTCGTCGGACACGACTCCCTGTAGCACGCCCTCCGGGTCGAACGACACCTCGCCGAACGACGGCGGCAGCTGCAGCCCCTCCGCCACCAGCGGGAAGAACTCCACCACCCACACCTGCGCGCCGTTCGACACCTGCACAAATAGACAAATGCTTAAAACAATAAGTACATATTGAGATATTAAATATTGTAATTTACGAGGTTAAGTGATGTTTGCTTTATTTGATAAAAATAAATTTGAAAATTAATTTTGTAACGCCATCTGTTATTTAGACCTAAAACTAGTTAGGTCATTTTTTACCCAATCCAAAAAGGAGGAGGTATTCAATTCGACTGTATGTTTATTTTTTTTTAATGTATGGTAGTGAAAGCTGGGTGTGGCAGAAGAAGCACGAAAGTAGAATAAATGCTGTAGAAATGCGGTCTTTAAGGAGTATGCTAGGGTTGAATCTGAATGACAGGGTGAGAAATTGCGTGATAAGAGAAAAATGTGGTATGCAAGATGATGTTGTGACCAGGATTAAGAAAGGAATGCTTCGGTGGTTTGGTCATGTAGAAAGAATGAATGAGGAAAGAGTGACAAAGCAAATTTATATGGCAAATGTGAACGGCCGAGTCGGGAAGGGACGCCCTAGAAAAAAGTTTATCGACCAAATTGGCGATATTTTGAAAAGGGGCCACGTTAGAAGTACCCTTAACCGACGAGCATGTATGCGTAGATATTATATGGATGTAAAGGAGGCGAAAGAGGTATGTCAGGATCGTGCCAAATGGAAGTCCGTAGTCTCTGCCTACCCCTCTGGGTGACAGGCGTGAGTGTTTATGTATATATGTATGTTTTTTTATGTGTGTTACCTCAGAACTCTTTTCCAGGTGAACCGATTTATTACGTGGTTAGAGCCATGGTGCAGCTATCCTACTGCTATAATTGTAGACGAAAGAGAAGGACCACACTCTCACAGAATACCAGCGTGAAATAGCAGCTTAACGCTGCTGTATTTCGTTTATTGAGTGTAGAGAACCGGAGACCCTCTTTATTAGATACGAGGCATTCCATCTTAGTCCTCATGGGTGACAACGCATCTGCAGTTTGATTCGTTATCGAGGATAGATGTAGATGTACAAGTGTCACAGCAACCACTCACCATCAGCTGAACTGTGTGCTCTTTTGCCACCCTTATACTATAGAAAAATGATTCTTTCTTTTATTTGGAAGCTAGTGCTTCTCATGTGATTCCATTAACTTCGACTACATTGATGATTTTATTTATATTGAAGCTGGTTGTACATAATTTATAATTTTAACACTTGTTGTAATATATCGTTTTTAAAATTAGTATATGAACTTAAGAATATGAAAAATTATATGTCAGTCTACACCAGGCCCGTGACAGCTTAGTTCCATTCTACGCAACTTGGCGCTACCGTCGCAATTTTTACTCTGCCTACGGACGCCATTTTGAGACGCCATATTCTATTAATGTCAAATCATATTGTCAAAACTATCGATATTGATTGCCGCCATTTGCCGCCATTATTTATCCAAATTTTTCTCAATTATTACAATATTCTGTTTTTGTGCTGCTCGTGTGAATATTGCATATATCATCATAATGGTATACGAAAAGTGTTGTGTTGGTGGTTGCAATACAACACGTGAAACGCACCGGCTTTTCAGATTCCCTAGGAACGATAATTTAAGGAACTTGTGGATGGCTTTCATAGTGCCGACAAATCCCCAGCTCATTGTACTTTCCAAAGAACAGTTACTTAACAAACGTGTCTGTGAAAAACATTTTGATGTATTTCAGTTCGGCAATGAAGGCAGAAGACTTCGATACTCTTACCCGTTGTTGGCGCGACTTCTAACGCCGCCTAGCGACGCACCGGAACACCAAACTTTTAGCTACGAATCAGAGCTCGTCATTGTTAGCAACCAATCACAGCACGTCGTGCAATTAGTTATAAGATCTGTCTGTATTAAATTTTGATTATTACCTGATACACACTGTTAGCAATAAGACGACTTAAATATAACCAACAAACGTTCAATAAATCAATCATTGAAGAGCACCTGCCTCCCGTTCCTGTACATAAAGTGGTCCTATCGAGCCGAATAAGGAGTTCAAGCTTGGAATCTCCGAAGATTCGTCGCATCAAAATACGAAGAGGAGATTCACGTATCGAGCGAAGAGCTGCAACGTTAAGGCATCGACAGACAGGAGTGGCAGGTTTGAACTTCCCGTCCGTTTCCCCATCTCATCCTTCGATAGGTGTTGATTTCGTGCTGATATTCCATTTCCAGTGCTCAAGTGGCGGTACCTACCTGCACAACGGCACCCACCTTGGTTCGCACGCATATACAAATTGGCAACTGTAAGTACTCTTGATTTCCTTAAATCCCAAAATGAGTGAGCCCAAATTGTCAGATTTAATTAAGAAAAGAGGAGTTTTAAAAGGTCGATTAACTCTGTTTGAAAATTATGTTAAAAAGTTCACTTTACCCTTGACTGAACAACAGTCATTAGAATTAAATTTACGTGTCGAGAGTACTTCGAGTTTGATAGAGATGTATAGTGAAATACAGACTAAAATTGAAGAAGAGGTAGCGGAAGATCTCGATCTTGTAAAACAGCTGGAAGAGAGAGATCGTTTCGAAAATCAATTTTATTGTGCTGTAGCTTCTGCAAAACTTTTATTGAGAAAGGAAGTAGCTGACAAGTCTAGTGTTTCAACATGTAAGCCGATAGGCATAAAGTTACCCGATATTAAAATACCTTCCTTTGACGGTTCATACGATTGCTGGCTAGAGTTTAAAAATTCTTACGTTAGTATGATTCATGATCGCGATGATTTAGGTCCTGTTCAAAAATTTCATTATTTAAAATCGTCATTGTCCGGTACCGCGGCACACGTCATAGGTGCATTAGAATTTACGGCTAACAACTATTCTCACGCATGGGAGCTATTAGAGAATAGATTTAATAATCCGCGACTATTGGTTCATAATCATGTGAAGGCATTATTTAAAATTCCATCGTTAAATAAAGAGTCCGCTTCCCAGATTAGGAACTTAATAGATATTGTTTTGAGAAATTTGCGTGCCCTTAAAACGTTAGGTGAACCAACAGATTCATGGGACACTTTAATCATTTACATGGTCGTTTCCAAATTAGATCAGGCCATTGAACGCGAATGGGAAGATTTTCAAGGTACAGCTAGTTCGTTAATTGAATCGAGGTCAGCTTTGAAACTGGATGACTTACTTAAATTTCTTAAGGACCGCGCCGACGTTTTAGAAATGATAAAAGTCAACCATAACAAATCCCAAGAGAACAAAGGCGGCGAACAAACGCGCTCTAAGAAACAATATACACATACTCATGTTGCTACGAACGTTACTAACAATAACAATAAGGGTAATACGAAACTAAAACAAAGCCGCGTGTGTGTGATGTGTCATGGTAATCACGCGATTTATTCCTGTTCAAGGTTTCTTAATTCGTCTATCCAAGAAAGGAATAAGATAGTTAAAACGCATCAGCTGTGCATCAATTGTTTACGCGCAACCCACCCACTTAACGAATGCAAGTTTGGGCCATGTAGGTTGTGTGATAAAAGGCACAACAGTTTGCTTCACATTGATGGGCAGGTAGACGGCGCATCACAGGTGAGCGGGTCGAGTGCATCAGCACAGCCGGTCACCGCTAACGTCTCCACTGTCTCGTCATCATTACACGTTACGGCTAACCATTCAGAATCGCAAAACAGTAATCTGGAATATTCGTTATTACCCAACGTTTTGTTGTCCACAGCGTTAGTGGACATAGCAGATTATAATAACAAATATCACACTGTACGCATTCTGCTAGATAATGGTAGTCAACATTGTTTCATAAAGAAATCGTTATGTGAAACATTAAATGTACCGTTAATACAGTCCACTTATCACGTTGCTGGGGTAAAGTAAAGTAAAGTAAAGTTACAGCCTATACACGTCCCACTGCTGGGCTCAGGCCTCCCCCCATTTCTGAGAGGGTTTAGGGCAAGGAAGTGTCCGCCGCGCTGCCCAAATGCGTGTTGACGAACTTCACATGTCTTCGAAATATTTTTTTTCTTATTGCTCAGACATGCAGGTTTCCTCACGATGTTTTCCTTCACCGCCGAGCACGTGGTAAATCAGCACTTAAAATTGCAATTAACGATTTCATTGGTGCCGGCGGGGATCGAACCCGGGTTACTCGCGTTCTGTTATATTTACAGCGAGCGTTAACCACTGAGCTACCACGGCTCTTTTTGCTGGGGTAGGTCAAATAATTTCGCAGTCCACCCACATTTGTAAAATAAAATTACGTTCAAGGTTAAATTCGTTTTGTATGAACATTGATTGTTTAGTATTGCCGTGCATTACAAATCAATTACCCACATTTAGTGTCGATGTAAATAATATGAGTTTACCTGATAATATTCAACTTGCGGATCCGAACTTTCACTCACCGTCAGACATCGATATACTGATAGGCGCGGATAAGTTCTGGGAATTATTGTGTGATGGCAAAATTAAGTTGAATAAAGGACCTTATTTACAAAATACAAAATTGGGTTGGATAATGTCGGGACCTTTACGTAATAACCTACTTCCCGTTAAGAGTGTGCAATGTAATGTCTCCCAAACAATTGACACACAGTTGAAATTATTTTGGGAACTCGAAGAGATAAACAATAACGTTAATAAAAACATCCTTAGTGCTGACGAACGTGCGTGCGAAGACATTTTTGTCAAAACGACAAAACGTATGGAAGATGGTAGGTTTTCTGTACGCATTCCTTTAAAGGAATCAGCTGATGTGCTCGGAGACAGTTACACAACGGCTGAAAAACGTTTGTTGTCGTTAGAACGAAAATTCGCTCGTTCGCCACAATTTCGGGAAAAAATACGTAGATTTTATGGGGGAATATGAAAGGCTCGGTCATATGAGTTGCGTTGACACTGAGTCACCCCACTATTTTTTGCCGCATCATGGCGTTATTAACGAAAATAGCAGTACGACTAAACTGCGCACTGTTTTCGATGCAAGCGCAGCGACGTCGTCCGGTAAGTCGTTGAACGATATTCAACATATTGGTCCACCACTTCAGAATGACATTTTTAGCATTTTATTACGCTTTAGGCAATATAAATACGTGGGTTGTGCGGACGTTGAGAAAATGTTTCGGAATTTTCTTGTACAACCAGATCAACGAGATTTACAATTGATATTATGGCGTAAACTTCCGTCGGACCCAATACGTGTATATCGCCTAAACACCGTGACGTATGGCACTGCGTCTGCGCCATACCTTAGTATGAGATGTTTACGTCAGCTTGCGCTGGAATGTAAGGATCAGCAGGTTGCGAGAGTAATCCGAGAGGATTTTTTCGTTGATGACGTCATCCTAGGTGACAATAATTTAAATAGCTTACTCGATACCTGTGAGAAGTTACGAAATACTTTAAACTCGGCTTGTTTACCGTTGCGTAAGTGGTTGTTTAACGTTGATATCAGTGACCACGACATATCTAAAGACTTGTCATTAGGAGAACATTCCCAAACTAAGACTTTAGGAGTGGGTTGGTATAATAAAAGTGATGAACTTCATTTTACCACACGAGTAGTTAGACCGAATTTACTAAATAAACGTACAATGTTGTCGATAATCGCACAAATATACGATCCTCTAGGAATTTTAACACCGGCTGTCGTAGTAGCTAAAATATTGATGCAAAAAGTGTGGTTGTGCAAGATAAATTGGGATGATCCCGTTCCCAGTGATGTTGCTTTATCCTGGGAAAAATTTATTGACACACTTCAATATTTGCATAACCTACGTATTCCGCGTCATGTTATGAGCGCACACACACAGTTTATAGAATTACACGTATTCACGGACGCGTCGCAGAGTGCGTATGGTGCATGCGCATATGTTCGCACCTACTCTGATGACTCATCGGTGACTGTTAGATTATTGTGTGCAAAGAGTAAAGTTGCACCAATTAAACCAGTCAGCATACCCCGATTAGAACTGTGCGGGGCTTTAATAGGCGCACGATTATATAGGAAAATTATCGAGTCATTGCGTGTTAATTTCCACAAAATTTACTTTTGGACAGACTCAACTATTGTCCTTGGATGGCTACGTATGTCACCACATTCGTTAAAAACATTCGTTCAAAATAGAATAGTGGAGATTAATGAAATAACAAGTAATGCGTTATGGTTACATGTAGGAACCAAAAATAACCCAGCGGATCTGGTCTCGCGGGGTCTTAGTCTTGATGTACTCATTGACAGTAATCTGTGGTGGAGCGGACCTGAGTTCTTAAAAAATTCTGAGTCGGCATGGTCACAGCAATCTTCGACTACACACTCCGACTTACCAGAACTAAAATCACAAACGACAACGGTTATGGTTTGTGATGTAACAAAGAATAAAATTATTAATTTTGAAAGGTTTCGTTCTTATCAGCGTATCGTGCACGCCGGCGCTTACCTGTTGCGATACATACATAACTTACGCACACCAAAGAAAGATCGTACACAGGGGCCGTTATCAGTAGATGAATTGAATGACTCCTTACAGTCGTTAGCGTTAGATGGAATATGATAAGTTAAAACATAACTTACCTTTAAAAACTTCAGGTTCGATTTCTAGGCTTAATATATTTCTAGATGAAAGGGATATAATTAGAGTAGGTGGCCGTCTTAGTAACTCGCCTGACTTTAATTACGACAAGAAGCACCCGATACTTTTATCAAGTAAACACAACTTCACACAATTGTTGTTTCAACATCAACACAAAGAGCTTTTTTATGCTGGTCCCCAGCTGCTATTGGCCACCGTGCGTGAGAATTGGTGGCCGTTAAGGGGTAGAAACCTAGCTAGAAAGGTTGTCCACCAATGTGTTCGCTGCACTCGAATGAAAGGTAAAACCCTAACACCAATCATGGGCAACCTTCCGTCTGAACGAATAGAACCTGGTTTCCCATTCATTCGATGTGGAGTGGATTATGCGGGTCCCATAAACGTACTGAATCGCAAAGGAAGGGGAGCTAAATTGGAAAAGGGCTATATTTGCATATTCGTTTGTTTTGTTACCCGGCCCATTCATCTAGAACTTGTCAGTACGTTAGCTGCTCAAGAATTTATATTAGCACTTAAAAGATTTATCTCACGACGAGGTAAACCAGCTCAAATTTTCTCAGATAACGGTAGAACTTTCATTGGAGCCATGAAAGAGATTAACAAAATGTTAGAGCGAAATTCAAAGCAAATAATTGATAGATTATCAACTGACAATATTGAATTTAAATTTATTCCCCCTTATGCTCCTCATTTTGGGGGATTGTGGGAAGCAGGAGTAAAATCATGTAAGTTCCACCTTAAGCGTGTCGTGGCTACCGCTAACTTGACATACGAGGACTTCAGCACTGTCTTGGCACAGATCGAAGCAGTCCTAAACTCCCGTCCTATAAGTCCTATGTCCTCAGATCCACATGATCTTCGTCCACTAAGCCCAGCTCATTTCCTCATCGGCCGGCCACTCACTGCACCAGCCTGCAGAGACCTCACCGAAGCACGGACTCACAGCTTGAAACGGTTTCAAAGAGTGGAACAAATAAAACAGCACTTCTGGAAACGCTGGTCACAAGAGTATGTTGCTGAACTTCAGACAAGAACGAAGTGGAAGGCGAACAGTCAAGACATAGCATTAAACACGCTTGTCGTTATTAAGGAGGACAATTTACCACCCCTTAAATGGCGTATGGGCAGAGTTACCCATATTTTCCCCGGAAAAGACGGCGTGTCGCGTGTCGCCACCATCCAAACTGCTACGGGTCTTGTACAACGAGCGTTCTCGAAAATCTGCCCTCTACCTGTATCATCAGCAGAGGACGACAACATGAATGCAGCCTGCGGTATCTCCAATCAAGCGGCAACGTAGATACATCATTGGAAGCTGGAGCTTCCAAGGCGGCCGGCATGTTGGCGCGACTTCTAACGCCGCCTAGCGACGCACCGGAACACCAAACTTTTAGCTACGAATCAGAGCTCGTCATTGTTAGCAACCAATCACAGCACGTCGTGCAATTAGTTATAAGATCTGTCTGTATTAAATTTTGATTATTACCTGATACACACTGTTAGCAATAAGACGACTTAAATATAACCAACAAACGTTCAATAAATCAATCATTGAAGAGCACCTGCCTCCCGTTCCTGTACACCCGTCCTTGCTTACTGACAATGAAATAGCTCATGGTGTGCCTCTGACTGCAACTGGTGAGTTATTTTATTACTTTCAACCATGGTACTTAAAAGAGAAGGAGACGTCTCTATACATTCTTGGGCCCAAGTATTAACAAGATAAAAGTACGACCATTTGTAAGTGTCATTGACTCTACATCATTATTTGCTATGATAGTGTAATTTTTTCAGGATGGGATGTCACAACTGAACATAATTACTGTAAAGAGCAAAATGAAGATGATTTCACAGAAGCTGTGTTAGTGGTTAGAAAGCCTGGTATGTACAAATATCTTAATTGATGTTAATTGTAAATCATAGTAAACATATTATGATGAACACTGATTTCTAAAAATATTTTATTTAAATTACAGTCAGTGGCAAATTTTTCAACATTTTGAATAATGTTTTCAGGAAGTGATGTTACGATTGAACACAATTACTACAAAGAGCAAAATGATTGTTCCAAATCATCGGTAGAGATTGGATCGTCAGGTGTGTACTAATATTCATGTAGCACTAGTTACTAAGTAGCAAAAAAAGCTTTCTAACTATTTCATAAATTTACTAACCATTCATTTTCTAATAATGTGTTTGCCTAATCATACTGACATCTATAAAAATGCAATCTTGTAACAAATTTCAGATGTTGGAAATTCTCATGAACAGCCTTCATGTTCAAATTTTTCAACTGTTGCAACAGTTGTTGAAAATAAAGGTATGGGAAATTGTATTGGACATAATTTTTTATACATTTATGTAGGGATCAAATTAAAAGAAGTACTTATATATCGGGTAATAGAAAAAATACTTTAAATGCTTAAAAACAGGCTGTGGACTGGAGTTGTCACTGCATACCTGGAACTGCATCAGTTCTAGAGGATGGTTACGTGTATTTAATTTAGACATACAATACAGAGAAGCATACATTGTAAATTTAATTTATGTTTAAGACCATAACATTCATAACTATTGCTTCTTTTCAGGAATTGATTCTAATACTAATGGGGTGAAACAAATGATGCCAAAAGGTAGCACATGTACAAAAAAGCAAACAGGTATGATAAATGCAGTTTATTCTTAGACATAATTAGAAAAAGTTTCAATATCTACCTCAAATCACAATAAGAGTTTTTTGTTCTTCACCTAATCCCAATATTACTTATTCAATTTATGTATATACTATTGTAAAATTTCATGTAAAAAAATCAATTTGTAAAAAAATGGTTAAAAAAGTCTGTTGTTGTAACCAAATAAGAAGTGTCTTGGCTAAAGATTTGCAGGTCCAACTGTAAAAGAAATTAAATTAAGAAGTACTTTTTTTTCAGATTATTTTCATACTGCAAACTCTGACGCAACAATGGCCACAACAGCAGAAGTTGTTGAATTCTTTGACACACTGTTGGACAGCGTCAATGGCTACCCGGGTGGTGTGCAAAGAGGAAAGTTAAGACGAGCGGTTAAACAAAATTCACAACATCACACTTTTTGGATTGAGGCCATTAATAAAATAAAAAAAATGGTTTTTGTGGACACCAGTAGCAAACATGCTACAAAAGCAGGAAAACCTCGACTTGTGCGAGTGCCATCCCAACAAGGATGGGTTACAACTCTTGAAAGTTTTATAAGGGTCTCCAAATTATTATTTGAACAGTATAATGTAGAATATTATTATCCGAGGAATATTAATCAAGACCCATTAGAGAATTTTTTTGGACGTATAAGAGCTGTAAATTATAGAAATGTTAACCCAGATGCAAACACATTTATATATGCCTTTAAATCTTTGATATTATCTAACATGCTTAGTCCACATTCCAAATTCTCTAATTGTGAAGAGGATAATGGAGAAACATTATTAAATGTTAGTGTTCTTTTTAAAAACCTTCATAATAATAAAGAAAATGACTCGGAAAACACTACCAGTGTTTTGCGAGATCTCCCATCTTCTTCACAAGCAAGTTCAGGAGAAAAATTGCTAGTGAATGATGTAGTCATGGAAAAAATTAAAGTCCACTGCTCAGCTTACACTGCTGGATACATTTGTCGGAAAATAACGAAAGCGATTCGTTGTAAGGATTGCATCAAAACATATATTAGCAGTACGGAGACAAACATTCACTCTTACATTAAATTTAGAGAGTATAAATTGTTAAAAAATAATAATTTGGCATACCCTAACGAAAAATTCCTTATCTTGTACAGGGATGGCACTCACTTTATTCATAACTATTTGAATTATAGCTGTATTGGAAGTAATATAAAAAGTAATTTGAAAAGAAATTTATTGAGCACTTTAAGTTTGTCCTGCCTAGGGTGTGATAAGCATGCCTTAATTGTCAAAAACTTTTTTCGTCAATATTTTAATTAGATTACATGGACACAATTGGTGCAACATAAATAATAAAATATTGAAGGGTGATATCGATGAAAAATATGTATCTAAAATGGGTGAACCCCAAAAATTGGCCTTAAAGAAGTATAAAAGTTTTAGGTTAAGAAAAACATGTTTAAGTAAATAAAATGTTGATGAAGTGACGACCTGTATATGCTGGTGGCTTAGGACCGTGATTTGTGGCATTTCTTGGGGGAAGCCTACGTTCAGCAGTGGACTTGTGAAGCGCTGTAATGATGACGGTGGTGAAATAAAATTCTAAAAATTAAGTTATATGATAATATAGATCACTTTTGAATTATGATTATACTAAACTGTCGTTAACAGTAGCCATACAGCATTAATACATACAATACAGAAGTATACATTATATATTTATTCTTTAATTTTGGGTTTATCTATAAGAACAAAATTCACAAATATTGTTGGTTTTCAGAAACAGAAATCTAATGCTGATGTGGTGAGACAAATGTTGACAGAAGATACAAAATGTACACATTGGCAAAAAGGTATGATAAATTCAGTTTATTCTTAGACATTAAGTAAGTTTCAACATATCTATTATATCTATATTCAGCATATTATCCTCAAATCACGGTAAGAGTTCTTTGTTCTTCATCAAATCTAAAGATTACAGTTCCACTACACTTCAATGGTTTTATCAACAACTCCTTTAGTATTAAGGTTACACTTATTTGGAACTCCGTGCCTGAAGACATTGAGAAATCTCCTGATAATGGATGTATACAGTGTTAATCTTTATATGTTTTTTATTTCTTATTTACTGCATCTACCACTTTATTTTCACCACACCATGGGTTGACCAATAAAAAATGGCAACTGCCATGATGCCACCCTTTGTTACCTTAATATAAATAATATACAATTTATGATTATCATTAAGTCATAAAATATGAATATTGAACTTTATTTTTATTTATTTCTTTTCAGGTTACGTGGTGTAGAAAATGAAATTAAAGAAGAGAAGATGTTTTTTAATTTTTGTAAAAGAATTCCCAGGTTTACCCCTAATGAAAAATAAATAGCATTGCTTCTAATAAAAAATGACTTGAAAGTAAAATATTAAGCACTTAAATATGATTCCTGTGGTTTAATTTGCTTTATTTAGTGAACTGTAAATATTGCTCTGTTTCGTCAAATTGTACTTATTTATGTAAAATGTTATGTACAATTTTCTAATTTGTATATATGACTTAATGTGCCTTTAATTTAATCCTAAGATTACGTTTGTATGTATATGATGTTGGTGTGCTTGAATAAAAAATAAATAAGTTAGATGTATTATAATTGTTTCATTAAGTATTATTATTCCTGTATAATGCACTTATGTCGATATCGACAAAATAAGAACACCACTAAACATCGATATCGATAATTAGAAGGCTGTGTGCTTGCAATCCCTAAGCTATACTAAATTGTATAGTCATGACGTCATTACTCATCTGTCAAATTGGGCGAATGCAGCGCCAAAAGGCGTAGTTGGGAAACTTGACTAAAAGTCGCTGTCGTATCTGTAGCTTGCTACATATTTATTTATCTATGGTCTACACGCAGTGAAGCCACGAGGCAGCTATATTATGGTTGTTTTACGAATGGTTCGGTTCGTACGGGATAGGACCACGATCTCACAGAACACTAGTGTAAAATAGCTGCTTGATGCTACTGTGTTTCCCATGGTGATTGGAGAGTGAATACGGTCGTACGCAGCGGGCTAGATATATAATGGTACTTTGGTACTTTTAAATAAAGCCAACAGATATCTTGATTAGGTATATGTATTACTTTCTTCCAATATCGTTCACTTTTTATAAAGCACACAAACGCCTTATGCAATTAATACACCTCGAACCATACCGCGAGGTAATCTACTACTAGCGACATCTATTGTTCACAAATAAAATTAAAACACTTTATATTGATTTGATTACATACGAATCGTGAACAGAGAGAACCGGAGACCCTTTTTACTGGAATGGAGACATTCTATCTTAGTCGTAATGGATAATAATGTATCCGCATTCTAATCCTTAATCGAGTATAAATATAGATTTCAATATCCCTGCAGACCTTAGCAAGATTAGTTTAACTTTAACCTCCTGTAATGTCTTCCGTACACGGATACAAGTGGGAGTGCAGAGCGTGGGTGTGATTGTAAAATATTAACAATCCGTCACCATGAATTTAACAATATCACTATTTAACTCTAATTTACAGCCTGCAAAACGATTTGGATACTCACTTGAACATCTTGTATGACACCCTTGAAGTAGTCGGGATCATCGTGCGGCTGCGCTTGCGTAGTGGGCTCCGGGGTCGATGACTCGAGTGCGGGGGGGCATTGGGGACAGCGGGGACAGTGGGGCGGCGGGGTACACGGGGTCGACGGGGGGCTCCAGCGGGGATGGAGGAGGCAGCTGCGGGGACTGGAGAAGCGGGTACCGGGGAAGCAGGGACAGGAGAGGCGGGGGAAGCGGGGGAACCGGGGAGGGGGGACGCGGAGGAGGCGGGGGGACGACAGTGCAGCGGGAACCGGCAGCGCTGACACCTCTTCCAACGGAGGCGGCCCGCCCAGGTACAACACCTGTCACAACACAATAACCCTCTTATTAGTAACCACCTGGTGGAACATAATAAATATTCTTATCACATCGTTTTTAAAGTTGTCTGCAATTAAAAAGTCATATAAAATTGAAAGTCACACTTCAAAAGCAGATATTTTTATAGCAGTCCGTCAAGGATGGTAATAATCTATTACATATTTCTGACTCTAAGCAAAAGTATACTGCTGGATACAAGTGCATCATATATAGCTGGAAAACATTGCATCTTAATCTTCAAACGTTACAATGCAAATTTCAAAGGCTGAAATGCAAGTTCGACGCAGGTTGAATTTGGTAAAAATTACTTTGCCTTTATCCGCTTATTGAAATAAAATAATGTGTCTTACCTAGTTTGAAGAGCAACTCCCGGCCATCTTCAATTGCATGAACTATGTGCCCCTAAACACGTGGCGTATTATCGACGGTGGCTTGCCTTTCCTAGTGCAGTGGTATTGGGATGAGTGGTGACGGGGATAGTACACGCAATAGAGGGAGGGCGGGAGGTTCTCTTAAAACTAGGTAAAACACATTATTTTATTTCATTAAGCGGGTAAAGGCAAAATAATTTTTACAAAATTTAATATAATGAATTTCCGCAAAGTAACCTCTGATTCTATTAATTTGACACAGGTGTCCATGGGCTACAACAGCCACACACCTGATGGTGTTATTTGTCACTTAAATTACCAAAGAAAAACCTTTATAATAATAACAATAATTAAACAACTTTACAGGCTATTTGAGTATAACCACTGCACAAACCAGCCACTGTGATCACAATTTACCACAATTGTTACTAAAGGCAGAATAACAAATTAGACATGGCACAGTTATTACGGGGAAGTTTTCCCGCATTTTATCGAAGATCACAAAAATTTTTTACACTCCATTTAGCAACCTCCACATGAAAGAGTCAAGCGTTTATGCAATTAAAACTTTACGTTTAAAATAAATCAAAAATATTCTCACCTGTGCATCGAGCTGTCTTGCTGCAGATATAGATTTCCTGAAGTACTCGGTGCCGTTCAATTTCACTTGCACTAAAGTTGAATTTCTGACCACCTGTACAAAGATATATTTTGTCAAAACCATAATAGACAAGAATAATGCAGGAAGTCGATGGATGCAGGTGGCTCAGGACCGTGCTTTTGACATTCCTTGGGGGAGGTCAGTGTTCAGCAGTGGACTTGTGATGGGCTGTGATGATGATGATGATAAAATAATAGACATAACAAATATATATTAAGGTAATTACGAAATGATTACAGTTATGACAGCAAAAGCACAGAACATATAGTATGCTATGTTGCTTATAAATTATTATTAAACCTAATACTTTTTACTGGACTGCCTCAAAAGGACGGTAATATTTTTCAATAGTAAGCGTAGTCGGGTTTTTTTAAATACTATTTTAACCTTTATGCTTGATTTGTAATGTGTTAATTAAATGAATAGTAATTAAAGTTTTAATGCTGAACGCAATCCGATTCCAAAAGCTGGCATACCTCGATAAGATGCATGTATCCATTGTCGAGCCGTGTTCCTCCAACCGTGTAGTTTTCAGGCGTTTGGTTGAAGCGTAAGTGCAATAGTAGTTCACCACCATTCAGCGATGCACCCACTAGTGTCTCGTCCGTTTGACCGAATCTATACAACAAAAATGCTTATAATAGGTATGTTAAATAGAATGTTTGATTAATATATATAATATGTAGTGTGTAAAATAACTAAGGTTAATAAAAAGAATACATTGTTTTAATTGCATTTGGAATTTATAAGAGTTATTATATTTTTTAGCTTCAATGTTAATGAACCGATTGAACATTGAGGTCTTAAATGGATAACCTGAACCATAGATAAATAAGAAATTTTAATTTCATTGTAACTAATAATATTTTAGTGACTTTATGCCAATAGCTGCTAGGTCAATTGTAGTTTAAATGTTGTTTGTATTTTGATGTGAAAATTTTAATACGAAATTGCTTTTATATAAATTAGTGCAAACAAGAGCAAGAGGAAACGACAGCATGTGCTCAGATTTGTTCTGTTCGCCAAAATGGTTTGATTTTATGGATTATTACGTTTGTCCATTAATTACAAATTGGTAATTATTATGAACTGGCAAAGTAATTTTTGCGTGTTAGAAAATATTGAAATTGATTATTTTTACTGGTAATGCTATTCTGTTTTAATTAATATGGGTGACAGTAAATCTAAATTTTGATTCTTAATCGAGATAGATGTTGGTGTTTGAGGGTCATAACGTATAGTAATTATCAGGTTAAATGGTTATTTTGTAATCTTATTCTTTGAAATTCGGTGATAAATAATTTTTGTGTGAAGCTTAGCGAATATACTAAATCATTTGTTTTAGTGTTGGTGTGTACGTATGTGTAAAGACAAAAGCGTAGGCTTGTGTACGTGTTTTGCGTGTGTTTGAGTGTGTTGTGTGCATTTATATTAGTAAGCGTGTGCGTGGGTGTGTGTATATGTATTGTACGTGCGCGTGAGTGTATGAGTACGTGAATTGTACATCTGTGCAGGTGTATCAGTAGTCTGTACATGTATTGGATGTGGTTGTGAGTGTATGTGTGCGTGTATAGGACGTACGTGCGAGTGTATGTGTACATGTATTGTATGTGCGTGCGTGCAGGTCTATGTGTATGTACGTGCTTGTATATGTGATCGTGCGCACGTACCTGGGCCCGGAGCCGAGGTAGAAGATCTGTCCGGTGGGCTTGCGTGTGCGGATGAACATGGAGATGTGCAGCGCGGCGAGAACGGCGCGGCGGGCGTGCGGCGCCACGCGCACGCGCACCGTGGAGCGCGCGCGCGCGGCTTCGTGCGCGAACGTGGCGGGCGCGTACGTGTGCTGGCACGTGGCGCCCAGGTGCGGCCGCGCGCACGTGCAAATGAACCGCGACCACGCGTCCTCGCATAGCCCGCCCCACCTGCACATTAATCAGCACACACCACATATATATCACGAACGTGGCGGGCGCATACGTGGGCTGGCACGTGGCGCCCAGGTGCGGCCGCGCGCACGTGCAAATGAACCGCGATCACGCGTCCTCGCATAGCCCGCCCCACTTGCACATTCATCACCACACACCACATATATATCACGAACGTGGCGGACGCGTACGTGTGCTGGCACGTGGCGCCCAGGTGCGGCCGCACGCACGTGCAAATGAACCGCGACCACGCGTCCTCGCACAGCCCGCCCCACCTGCACATTCATCACCACACACCACATATATATCACGAACGTGGCGGGCGCGTACGTGTGCTGGCACGTGGCGCCCAGGTGCGGCCGCGCGCATTTGCAAATAAACCGCGACCACGCGCCACCTGCCAGAACAAAATATATGAATGTCAACTATAGTTATTAAAATTGTCTCGTTGGTCTAGTGGATGTAAACGCAACTGCTGATCTTGAGATCTTGGGTTCGAGTCGGACCAAAAAAATATCAGTCATTGTCTTTTTCCATCAATAAATTCTCAATAGCTCCCGTACATCAAACCAAATCCAAACCAAAGCCGTTGGTCTTACACCTGATTTCTCTCCGCTCGTGTCGTTTTACCGTTCCATTGGACTATGAGAAAGCAGGAACAGAGAGTGCATCTGTTCTTGCGCATACACTTAAGCACTTTAGTCCTGTCCTATGCTGATGGTTTACCTCCGTTAATGCTACCTACCGTGATCGAAATTCGGCCTGGAGGCCATTATTATCAACTATTAAACGCAATCTAGGTAATGTGATACACAACAGATGTGCTTCTCATTGAACACCTTGCAACATTACACACCGGCACGGGTTAGGCGAGCACTGCGCCACGCGCGGGCACGCCGCCGCCACGCCGTGCAGCTCGGCCGCCGCCACGCTCCCCGCGTCTCCCCCCTCCTCCACTTCCTCATCCTCCTCCTCCTCTTCCTCGCCCCCAGCCGCTTCCGCCGACGTCGTGTTTGAATCCTCCGGCAACACCTGCGCACCACACAACATAATCGCAATCACTCTATAATAGCTATCATCCCTTTGAAACCATAAGCAACAAAAAAAAAAAGAAAGCCAAAAGGTAGACAGCACCACGTTTCCGATAACTACTCATAATTATAAATTACTGTGATTGCCAAATGTGGGATATTTCACAAATATCCACGTTTAAAACAATCTATAAGAAAATCCAATATTTCGCTTTACGCTTTTGTAAAGTTTAACGTTTCATAACATACTGGATAATTTTTAACGTCTGGAAAAAAATAGGGTGTAACAGGTAAACGTAACAGAAACCCATTTCACTCATATTTTACAATTTTTTTTATTTTGTTTTAAAGCAATATGATGAAATTGATATATCAATTAATACTATTAATTGGGCACGTATTATTTTTATTTCGATGGTTTTTTAATTGATTTATTTATTTAGTTCAAAAATTTTGTTGTTATTTTTTAGTACAAATTTTATAACATTTTAATGTAAAAAAAATGTAAAATATCAGTGCCATAGGCTTCTATTTCATTCACTTGTTACATCCTGTTTTTTTTACAGACGGTAAAAAAATCATTTAGTAAGTATTTTATTAGTTACACTTCTATTTCCTGTTAAATAATTTTAGCCGAGTATTTACACGACTTCAGGTATTATTTATTACAAATGACGCTGCCGTATAAGATATTGCACTAAGTGTCGATATATGAAATATATATAGTACTTTATCAGAAGTTATTTTATTTCATCACACCTTTACTAAGGACATAGTGTTCAATTATAATTTACAGCAAGAATGAGACGAAATTGGTGGTTGTGAAGAAAACGTTTAATATAATCATAAATAAACAAATGAATTGCCAAATTAATAAAATTCTAAAAATAAAGTTAAAAATATATTTTTAATGAAAATATTATAGAGGTTAAGTACATTTAGTATTTTAGCACTACTTACGTGTTTGTATAGCAGCATTTAAATATTTTGAGAAGATGAAAAAACTACAACGAACATGGTTGATATTTCTACTTAATTTAAATAATGTAGTTACGCTTTCGTAAAATTATTTGTAAAACTTTTTATTTGAGCCGAACCGAAGGATTGGAGAAAATGATAACGAACAGCGATAGTTCACGGGTCATCTGAATAATGACGAGTATGTAAGCACCGACACGAATACACACAAACAATCCTTTGATTCGCGCTAAAACCCGACATCGAGTGGAGAACAGACGAGTATTGCGGCCGAGTAGCGAGCACACCCGAACATATCGTTAACGTGTTTTACTCGTGTCTATTCGTTTGTATTCGGGAAGTATCTAAACGTAGCATTAAATAAATAAATAAATTCTAAATACAAAGTTCACATTTGCAACAAAATAATTTTCAAAATAAACATGGATTGCTTTATAAGTGGTCATCAGAGGCACTGATATAAAGATAAAGGGAACCCACCCACTGTCCGTTGACCACGACGTCCTGGAAGCAGCCGACGAAGTAGTTGGGGCCGTGCGTGAGCGTGGCGTACGAGGAGCCGGCCGTACCGAGGCGCGTGGACGGAAATGACGTCACCGACGCGTTGAACGCCTCGTTCTGGCTGATAGGGTAGATGGTCTGCTCCTCGTTGGCCGCCAGCACCAGGTGCGACGAGTTGATCGTCACGAACACCTGCGGACGGACGGGCGGACTGCTGCAATAGTACTCCAGCAATATTTTTTATACGTGGGAGAACCATGCTGCAATTATATTAGTAGTATAGTTGTAGCACGAATGGGTCGGCTCGACCGGGGAAGGACCACGCTCTCACAGAATACCAGCGTAAAATAGTTGTATTAATATATATATTGCTTAACACTGCTGTGTCCCGTATGGTGAGTGTAGAGAACCAGAGACCCATTTTACTGGAAGCGAGACATTCCATCTTAGTCCTCACGAGTGACAACAAGTTAGGTGTAGATGTCAAGAGTTATCAAGGATAGATGTAGATGTCTATGGATCACAGCAACCACTTACCATCAGGTAGACTGTGTGCTCGTTTGTCAACCTATCCTAAAAAAAATATACGCATTAAATTGCGAAACGATAACTGGAATGTGGATGTTACGAGATTTATACTTGAAGGAACCTATAATTTATACTTGGTAATAAGCACGAATGGGTCGTTTCGACCAGGGTAGGACCACACAGAATATCAGCGTAAAATAGCATTTAATGATGATGTATTCCGTAACAACGCATCTGCATATTGATTCTTATATAGGATAAATGTAGATGTCTATGGGCCACAGCTTTCACTAACCATCAGGTTGACTGTGTTCTCGTATGTCACATTATTCATTAAAAAAACTGATGTGATATTGAAAAAGAATCAAAATTATTGTTCTTAAAATTATGTGAAATAGTTATATTAGGATTCTTTAACGAATATTCATATATTATTTTTTATCACCTAAAAGAATTACATGTAGTGGGGATGTAAGTTAATCCAAAAACAAAAGAAAATGTTTAGTAAACTACGTTAAAATAGTAAAACCTCGTGATCATGGAAGAGATCTACATAATTTCACTTACTAAAACTACTTAACCACTCGTGATATCCGTCAGTCTGTGGACCTATTAGTCTGACCTATGGTCAAGCCAAAGAGTATAGTAGGTTTGGCCAAAGACAAATTTTTTAAATGAAGGTAAATATAACTTAGTCATTACCATGTTCTTATCCAAAAATAAAAATTATCAACAATTAAAATATCGAATTATTTGTATGAAGGTCACGTGAGCGCTAGAGAAATGATTGTAAGACGTTGTTGACAAATAAAATGTTTAATGAAATAGTACAGTAAAAATAGAATTTAACATTGCACGAAATTTGCGATTCAATTTTTTTTATGAGGTTTAGGATCACTTATTCAGCATAAAATCACAAAATGCCAACAGATTCAGGTGGCGCTTCAAACGCCATCTTGAAAAAACGTTTTCAGCCGATATCTCGGAAACAATGCACTTTAAGGCAAAAGTTATACAAACAATTATTGTAGAAAATAAAATTTCGCATCTTTTGTTTCCAGCAAACTTTTTTTGTAAAACTTACCGTTTACTATTTATGGCCGATTTAATGAACAGGTGGCGCTTCAAGCGCCATCTTGAAAAAACGTTTTCAGCCGATATCTCGGAAACAACGCACTTTAAGGCAAAAGTTATACAAACAATTATTGTAGAAAATAAAATTTCGCATCTTTTGTTTCCAGGAAACTTTTTAGTAAAACTTACCGTTTACGATTTATGGCTCATTTAATGAACCGGTTTTTCTATCGCGGCCAATAACTCTTGAAATATTAGATTAATCAATAAAATACATAATTTTATTTTGAAAGATCAGTTTATTTTCCAAAACATTTGTTTGAAACTTTTTTTCTAACATTCATACTTTTTGAGTTATAGGACGTTTCATGTCACGCATAGCTGCCAGCGTCACCCGCCGAGCTCGGCCGACGCGCGGCAGGTGACGCGGCAGCTACTTTATGATTAAGAACCCGGATTTTATTGCTATTATTTCGGGGAATTCCAAGTAAGACGTCATTATTGTTTACTAACTACGACTTACGGAGTCTCATTTTTAAAATTCGAGTTATACAGTATAAATATCTATTATCAATATTTCGTAGGGAAATAACATTTTCTTCGAGTTACAAAGTCTAATAATTCGAGATGCCGCGTATTTAGGGGTTCAGCGGAAGGGAATGGCAATTTTTTTCGACTTACTGAGGATTTCAACTTAACGAGGTTCGAGTTATAGAGATTCCACTGAATATCATAACACGCATATAATTTTTTAAGTATAGCGTGTCTATCAGCAACTTAGTATTACCAAGTTTTTAAGTTTATATGTGAACTATATAATAATATAATTATTTTTAAATGTTATTTATAATCTTATCTATGGTTTCGAGTAAACTTAGTGATCATATATACTTTGGTTCTAAGGCGTCCCTTTAAATACTAGTATACTCTTTGGCGCGGTCTAACAAGGAGACATTGACGTCTCCATATGGAGACGCCGGACTTTTAAGGGTTAAATAATAAGTATGTATATCGTAAGTAACGGTAATAATATTTATAGGGATGTAACGATTCTGATTCCGATTCCAATCGGTTACTTGTATATAATCGGTACAGCGAGATATATATAACCGATATCAACTAAGCTCAGTAATGTCTTTTTAACCAGAGGTCTCATAGAAAATGATTTGCGTAGCAGATTATGTAAGTTTAATAACATAACAAATAATAGTAATAATTGCAGTTAATAATAGTAAGAAATAAAAATGTTGACCTTTTGCCAGTTGCTGTCGTTGAGATTGGAGCCGATGAAGACGCCCTCCCACTTGTTGAGCAGGCTGGAGTGCAGGTTGAGGCGGCCGCTGGACAGCTCCAGGAAGAAGTAGGTGAGGCCGCGGCCCATGGCCAGTAGCCCGTGCCCCAGCGTGGTCTTGAAGCGGAACGACAGGTCGTAGCCCTCCTCGCGGGACGTGTTCACCTCAGCATAGCTGCTGTTCTCCAGCGACATCGTCGTTATCTGTCCATATATTTTATTGAATTACCCTTATCTTGATCACCTTTTAATAATATTAAATTTATAAGTTTAAAATAAGGTAAGCCTTATAATGATTTCTTATAAATTCTACTTTCTTACAAATCAAAATAATTGACCGTGCAGTGGCGGTGTCAGAATATCCACTGCCCCATATCGTCCTGTTGGTGTCGTAAGAGGCGACAGCGGGAAACAAACCAGGGAATGTGCAGAAGCATCATCCTAATAGTAACTAAAAACAAAAAACTGCGGTTGCCAATTCGCTTGCCAACCGTGGCAGCTACGCCAAATATCCCTCCTTTGGGGCAATCTGTGGGGAGGTGTATGTTCAACAGTGGACATTTGATATGCTGTAAATGGTAAGTAATCTCACATATTGAACAAAAGCAAAATTAATTCGACGTTAACCGTGGCATAACCATGTCGCATTCCGGCTGTGCTTGTTAAAAATCGTCACGGAAAACGTCTTTTTTGCAAAAACCGAATCTTGTAAGCCAGTTGTGCATGAGTATCTTATGTTGTGGCGAAAATCTCTCAATTTCTCAATCTTCACCGTAGGCCTCTGAATAAAAAGTGAAAGCTCATCGAATGACTGAGTAGTTTAAGGTACGTGGGTGCCTTATATTTACTACTGTCTTTTAAAGTGCGAACATGAATCTTTGTAAATCGTCTGACTCTGTGTGCGTCTGTCCCAGTGTAGTTTTAAACCATAGAATACTATAATATACAATAGAATGGCTGTCAACTTTCTTTTGGAGGTTTGGCGTCGCCGGGACCACACAAACAAGCAATTACGTCGTATTATCAGTTATCACTACTACAAACACATTTTAGACTTTTGATTGATGTTTTTGACAGATAAATATTTCTTCATTTTTGTTTAATATTCACAAAATATAAATAGTTTCGGCTTACTGGTTTTAGAATATGTCTCCTTTATTTAAATTCCATTTCCCGCTATTCTTTCGATATGTAATTATTACACAATTTGCCATTTTTTAAATAATTTGCATGCAGCGACGGTTGACACGAAAATTGAAAACGATTGATTGTGTTGACAGTTATACGTGTGAATTGACATGTTAGTGGGTACACGGGCTCCGCCCACTCCCTTGTTCTATTATGTATGTACAATGATTTCAAAAGGAAGGATAAGCCCATCTAAATATTTTACTCATAACTTTTTCATACAAGAAAAAGTAGCACATCTGTCATAATACAAACGTCATATTAAACACGACGTAACCAGGGTCGGATTTCGTATAGTATACAGAATATCTAATATCCACGATAAAAACTCCATACTCCAGAAGCAATTGGTTTGAAAACAGAATTTCAAAATATTTTATGAATCAGATTCAATTAAATAGATATGGTTCCTTTGTTCTCTTTTCGTTTTACCCTTATTAAATATAAAATATATTAGGTACCAATATTCAAAATTTAACTTACACTAAGTTCTTTTGACAAAAATTAAACAGAAATGAAAATAAAACCGTCAAAAAATGAAACGTATAGATAAACTAGACGCGTGACGCCAAAATCCCGGCACATGGGAAAAAAGAAACATGAAACGTCAAACGTGATATATTTTTTTTTAAATAGTATAATTTTATTTTCCATGTACAATATTTTTGAGGGTATGAATCCAACCCTGGTCTAATCTTGGTAACATAACTAAACTAACTGTAAAATAAAACTTCAAAAATGCGTTTATATAATAATTTAACTGTAACAAAATTAATATAAGGTTATTTACCGACGATACGATAACTATCCCATGTTTTTTTTAAAATCTTTGTATCGTAATTCATTCTTTTACCACGTAACTAGGCATATTTATGACAAGAAAATCTATAATGCGCGCGTACTACTGTCTACCGATTCGCGTTGGCCCTAAACTGTAATTTTAGAGCCAGCGCACTGGTCTGTTTTAGTTGTTCGGTCGGCCCTGTCCTTACGCTAGTAATATATAAGTCAATGTGTATGTATTATAGTATTCTATGTTTTAAAAAAACACCTATTTCGATTTGGTGCGTATGCTACAATCGTGGAAACCATAGACATAATATAGTATAGATTGGCGATGGAGTAATTAGGCAGAGACTAAAAATATAACAAAAAAGTTACAATGTAATTTTATTAATATGTATTTATGGTTGGATGTGTTTTTCCCTTAAGATCCCTGCCCCATATATTGCCTCACAGGAGGAAAACTGCGGTTTTATTTTTATTTTTAGTCGTTATTAGAAAGACGCTGTTGCCCACCTCCTGATTTGTTTCTCTCAGTTGCCTCTGACGACACCCACAGGATGATATGGGCTAGTGAATATTCTTACATTGCTACTATACGGTGTGCACCTCCATGAGACAAATATTTTCTTTAAGTACTGCTGCATAGTCAAATATTTTCTTTTGGAAACCATTTTTCTTTGTTTATTTTTTAAAGCATATTTGTTGAACATCAATATTTTGTGAAAATTTGCCATAGCAACCACTTACCATCAGGTGGTGTGCATACTCGTTCGTCACCCTAATTCTATTAAAAATATTTTCTTCATACGATTCGAAGAATATCACAGTTTAAAGACCTTACAGTTGGGAAACGAATGTACTTGTGCAGAGCAACGATGGGGGCTCTGCGGGACAGGCGCGGGTGGCCTACGGGTGGTCTACGGGTGGCCTACGGGTGGCCTACGGGTGGCCTACGGGTGGCCTGGCGGTGGCTAGCGCACTTCTCTGAGTCTGATAGACATAGACATAAATGGGGTTGGCGCGAGAGTTTTTGAAAAACACAATATCTATAATGGTGAATTTCTGTTATAGGTATATAAGTTACTAAGTAAAATTGAATTAAAATCACGGCCATTCTTTCCTTTTTTATATTTTTTATCCAATGCGAATACGCTATATAATCAGGGTTAACAATCAAAATTGAAAACATCTATAAAAAGAAAGTGTCATGAAGAATTTGGCAGTGTTAAGCGTGCCTTTTCTTGTAGTAATAAAAAAATATCCAGTTCGATTGTTTCACAATTGTAAGCTCTAAACCGTGAAAATATTTAGCTACGGAACTCCAAAAATAAAAATAAATTATTACTAAGTTGAAAAAGGCAACCTTTGCCTCTAAAGGACATTTCGATAAGATATTATTGATAATGTTAATCTCTACAAAAGTGAGGTTAAAATTTAGCACAATTTCACGTATTTGTAATTATTTTAAATTCACTTGCTTTGCATTCAGATGATCTAAGTACAAATTGTTTGTACCCTCTTTAAAACACAGCATGACGGCTAAACATTTCAATTGTACCTACAGGTTAAATGTATAATAGTGTGGGACGCGTAAGTTATGCTTTTTCTTTTTTGCATAGCCAATCTATTTTAACGTCAGTTTATACTAAATTTATGGAGAAAAATCTATTCTTTGATTGGTAGGGTGTACCTGTAGAATAAATATACTAGTTTGTACAAAATTTATTGTAAAATACTACTTTGAAAGAAAAAGTCCCTCTGGGTGTCGTGTTGGTTCTTCCTAGCGTAGAGGTCTTGGAATCAGAGATAAAAGAAAAAAATTACTTTCAATAAGAATTAATTGTAATCATATAAAAAAAAGTATACAATTCTACGCTTTTTTAAAACATAACCTAATTATTTCAGATATTTAATTTAATTATTGCAGGCATTCTTTTGTAAGTCAATTCGTAATATGGTTAAGTTTCGTAGCTGATACTTCGCCAACATGAACACAAATGAACAATGAAGAAGGGCAATGTGGTGGGATGGGGTGGAGTGGTACCTTCTCGCAGGTGGTGCCGTAGTGTCCGGGCGTGCAGGAGCAGTTGAAGCGGTGTTCTGTCTCGCGGTACAGCCACGGCAGGCAGGTGGCGTTGTGGCGGCACGGCTGGCGGCGGCAGCCCTGCAGCAGTACGGAGCAGTTGCGGCCGCCCCAGCCCGCGTCGCACACGCACAAGTACGCCGCGCGCAGGTCCACACAGCGCCCGTGCGCGCACGGCGCGTACCTGCGCACCGTCACCGTCACCATCACGCACATTATACCTTCATACATTATTCTCCATGCGATACAAATCACGAGCACAAACTCCTTTTTTACGGTCAATCGTACATGTCTACCGGCGTTAACATTTTACGCACAGCAAACGCTATAGTTATATTATTATAAAAATTTAATCCGTCTTACAAGTAACATGCCTTTCATTTAAACACCCAATAGCGCACAATATTACAGTATTGTATTTGGTGAATTAATTTCGCGGTTATAGTGAATACATAAACTATGTGTTCGATACTGATGCTATTATTATTATTTAATTTGGTTCATAATCTCAAAATTTGTGACGCTGTGAGTCATTATAACAGAGTCGTCAACAACGAAATCCTTGAGATCGTGTAAGGTGTTGGGGTGAAGGGGTGGGACCTCACCGCTGGCACTCGTCGATCTCCAGGTCACAGTGCTGGCCTTCGTACCCGGGCGCGCAGAGGCAGGTGTAGCCGCCCACGGCGTCCAGGCACTTGCCGTGGCGGCAGGGCGACGACGCACACTCGTCCACGTTCACCTCGCAGCGCGCGCCTGCCGTGCCCGCTACGCACACGCACTCGTACCTACACGCACACCAAACTTGTAAATATATGTTCCAGCGTTCCGCCCCGGCTACGCACGAGTAAGCTTTTGATCTCTACAACATATGCTTGTGTTATACATATAAACCATGCATCGAGCAGTGATTAAAGACACGTTGCAGCTAAGTTATAGTTATGGCACGAACAGACCAGCTTCACCGAGGTAGGCCTACGCTCTCACAACACCAACGTAATATAGCAACTTAATGCTGCTGTTTCGTATGGTAATTCCATCTTGGTCCTCAGGGGTGAAAATGTATTGGCATTTTAAATCTTAATTTAAGATAAATGTCTATGGGTCACAACATCTTTACCATCAAGTGAACTATGTGCTCGTTTGCCACCCTTATCTATAAAAAAGTGTGCAGTGAGGAGTGGGCAGTGAGTAGTGAGCAGTGAGCGGTAAGCACTGACCCGCTGGCCGCGTCGAGCGAGAACGGCTGGTAGAAGCTGGCTGGCAGCAGCATGTGCGGCTGCGGGCCCACTAGCAGCGGCGGCGCCCCAGCCTCCTGGTACAAACTAGCGTTGCTGCGCTCCAGACACACACCACCGAACTGACACGGCGAGCTCTCGCACTCGTTCACGTCCACCTCGCAGTTCTTGCCTATACAATACACACACGGTACAATACAATACACAACAGTTATAATGAAATCTCAATAACAAAAATTTGAAGGGAAATACTAAAAGGACAATAGCGAAAAAATTGTTGATAAAATTATTAAGCGTCTGTAATAAATTGACTAGTTGTTGTTGTTGCTGCTACGCTTCGCCAATGAAGATAGACGAAGATCTTATACTATACAATCTAGTCTGATTATAGTTTATTCACAAAACTCTTCTCAAAATACTAATACGACAACATGTAGTGCAGTGTACCTGTGTACCCGGGGTGGCAGGCGCAGCGGTAGTCGTTCAGTTCGTCGAGGCAGGTACCGCCGTGGCGGCAGGGCTGCGACGCGCACTCGTCTACGTCCAGCTCGCAAGTGGGGCCCGCGTAGCCCGTACCCGCGCACGAGCACGTGAACCCGCCCAGCGCGTCCGTGCACCGCCCGCCGTGCTGGCACGGCTGCGACTGCCAGTGCAACAGTTACAGATGCCCGTTTTACAATGTAGTGGCGCTGTAAGTCCACTACCCCATACCATCCCTTGAGAGTCGTAAGAGACGACAGAGGGAAATAAATCAGGAGATGGGCAGCAACGTCATCCTAATAACGACTAAAAATATAAAACTGCGGTTGTCAACCCACTTGCCAAGCATGGCAACTATGGAAAATACGAAAAGTATATAATGTAAAATCTGCGACGAGCATGTATGCGTAGATATATGGATGTAGAGATGTAGGTATGTCAGGATCGTGCCAAATGGAAGTCCGTAGTCTCTGCCTACCCCTCTGGGTGACAGACGTGAGTGTTTGTATTATGTATTATATTGCGCGCTCTATCTTATCGCGAAGTTCGTCGCGAGTGGCAGCGCAAATATAATTCATTAGGAACAAAAAAGTGACAAGAAGCAGAGAGGGTTTTTTACTAAGATTTGAGGCTTGGATACTTGTCCTTTAAGCCATGACTTCATTTTAATTGTGATCTCCGTTTTTACAAATTTTTCGCGTCACATTGCAAATTTTATCACATCAACAGCAAAGCACTTGTTTAACCCTTTTTTATTAGTTCATAAGCGCAAATAATACACAAAAATCGCATTACTTTTGCGTATCAACATCCACTTCAAATCATTATTTAAACGATAAAACAGGAGCATCAATCTGTCGACGGTCAAGTTCCCGCCAAAACCTCCTCAGGGAGGGTATTTTTTTTTTGGAGTTTATGGCCTAGACGTCTATGGTATCTAGACCTTTAGGCCAAGCTCGGGGAGGATGGGTGATAACGAAAACAAGAGATGCGAATATGCATATTGCGTGGTTACGTGGTTCAAGAATTTATTATCATTATTATCGATTATAGTTGCATTTTATTTTATGTTTTATGGTTGGTATGTAAATGCAACATGTGGTTTTAAATACAGTCATTATGATTATTTTGGGGTTACTGAAAGAATTTGTTGTCGCCGCTAATATCATGTATTTAATACATAATCAAACTTTTTATCGTAATTGCTTATTAATAATAATTTTCAAGTCGATCAAAAATTTTCCGTCGAGTCAAGTTTAATACGAAAAAATATGTAAGTAATTATTATATTTATTATAAGTTGCTAACGAAAAAAAAGCACTTAAGTTTGTTGTACATTCTAAGCCGTTATTCACATCTCTAGTCACATGCAACAGTGCGACAGTGCATCACGCCCCTCCCTCGACATCGTGTTACTTAAACATCGCGTACTCATAAAGCTAATAAATTCGACCAATGATGATCCACGACTTTTTCAACCACCAGGGCGGCACCAGGATGAAATATTTGACAGATTTCATGGCGAGAATAGAATATTTTTTATTCAATATAGATTACATGAATACTTCTTGAAAGTCATGTATGCTAATATGCCTCTATCCTGGGAAGAAATAGCAAGAAACCCGGCGGGACTTTATTTTAAACATAAATTTACATTTTACAATATAATATTTTATACGATTAAATATGAAAACATCTAGAAACATCGTGGTAGCGATCGCCTTATTCCCAAGGGTTATTATCAATCCAGTACTCATTAGTAGTATAATAACCAATTAATAAACATTTTATGCTCAATAAAAACGGGAAAAGGTAATTTGTTAGAAAAGTGTAAACAGTAATGTTTCTTTGAGAAAAATTACATACCTAATTAGAAATGAATAAATCAAACGTAGTAAAACAAAGTAGAAAAAAAAAGTTAAAAATGTGTCTAAAATTAAGGAATACAGCACTCAAGCTTTATTTTTTTTTGTTTGTATGTTATGGGCAATATGAAGAATATAGGTAATAACGGGCTACGTTTACGTAGTTACACATTTACAACAAATAAACTTCCCCCCGCTATGAAACCTGGCCAATGTTTCACCTCATTCCTTTTATAGCATAATCATATAACATGTATGTTTACTCTATTTTACCTGCCACATACACAATATACACATGATTATATTTTTGTGTAATGTACCTTTCGAATAATGTTAGTTTAATTCTTCTTCTTTTATAGTAAATACAAACAATGATACTTCAACTATGGATGTTTATGTATTAATCTAGTGTAAATAATGTCGATGTTTGCAATTTTTATAAATTGTTTAAGGTTTCGTTTCATATTATAATGTACCCATGATTTAAATTATTATTAATTTGCAAGTTATGTATTAATATAGCAAAACATGTGTTGAATAAAACTAAAACATCAGTAGGTATATATCTACCATGTTTTAAGTAAACAAAGATTTTTATTTTTATCTATCTATTATTTAGATAACATTAGCATAAATGGAATTATAACGCTTAGAACCATTGATAATTTTTTGTTAATTAAAAGAAATAGATAAATCGAATTTAGTAAAACACGTTTAATTACACAATTACGCATGCAATAGTGAAGTTGCATGTTTTTTATTTTATTTTATTTAACAATTGATTTTTTATGTAATTTTACAATTAAAAAGTTTTAATTGTAAAATTACATAAAAAAAATCAATTGTTGTTGTAAAATCAATGTAAGTTCAAACTCCAGTAACGTCATTATATCGCTTTAGTAACCACCGTATGGTGAAATAATAAAACATTCATGTTTATATCAAAATATAAAAAAATTGACATTCAATAATACAGGTTAAACTGGGTAATTTCTTTTACCCTCTGGAAAAATAGGGTGTAAAAGGTGAACGGGCCACCATGGCACTGATATTTTACAATTTTTTTTAATTTACATAACATATCAAAATTGATTAATTGTACTAATTTGAAATAATCTTTCGGTACTAAAAAATAACAACAAGATTTTTGAACTAAATAAATAAATCAATTAAAAACTATCAAAATTAAAATAATACGAACCCAATTAGTAGTATTTATTGATAAATCAATTTCATAATATGGTAAAGTAAAATTAAAAATTGTTAAATATTTGTGCCATAGATTTCTACTCCGAACACTTGTTACACTCTATTTTTTCTAGACGGTAAAAAAAGACACCAGTATATATTTTGTTAAGATATAACATGGTGATCCTAATATAGAAAATACAAAAGTATAGCACGGTTGCGATTAGCTCACAACCTCAAGGACATAATAAACTAATAATAATTAATTTTTTTTTCATTCAATTTAACTATTTTTATTGATAATTATGAAAAAAAATGGAATCATTAATAAAAAAATATTATTTAGATATTCTTTAAATGAGTTATTCTTTCATTTATATATAAATTTGTGGCAAAAAAAAATAACACTTCTCTATTGGTTTGGAATCGTTATTCTCATTCTTTTGATAGATATGCGAGAAAAGTTAACCAACTCATGACTAGAATATTTTAACGAAGTATTAAAAATAATTTCATAAACATAAATCAATTAAGACTATGTGAATAAAATCGATTATAAAGAAATAATGAATACCTCGCAGTCGTCAATATCGATCTCACAATTGGCTCCCGTTAATCCTTCCTGACACACGCAAGAATAGCTGGCAATACCATCGACGCATGTGGATCCGGCGGCACAAGGGTTGGATTCGCATTCGTTGATATTTATCGAACAATCTTTGCCTATAATTAAACAATAGTATTATTTCAAATTAAAATAAGTATTGTTTCTAATTAAATTTACAATATCATTAATTCAATTATATCGCTTACCTTCAAAACCATCAATGCAAGTGCACTCGTAATTATTTTCTAAGTTCTGACACGTACCGCCGTTTTTACACGGCGACGAAAGGCATTCATCAATATCTTGTTCACAACTATCGCCAGTGTATCCTTTACATTTAAAATATAATTTTTAAATATAAAATGTAATATTTTAATTACTAATAAATTATTATTACCAATTATTATAATGTATTATTACCTGGCTTACAGTAGCATTGATATGAACCGGGAACGTTAACGCAAACTCCGTGATTACATATTTTAGGCATTAATGCACATTCATCCTTATCTAATTCACACAATCTCCCTGAAAGTAAAAATAAAAACAAAATTAATACCCTTTCTTATAAACTGTTAAATTTAAAATAGAAATTTTACGCACCATTAATAATCACAATTATAAATATAATTAATAATTTGTATGAATAATGCATTAGTGCAAGTTGAAATTCACTACTACAACAACATGAAACCTAATTATGAAATACATTGAAAGTAATATTAGTCACACCACGTAACATTTCGTTTGCACAAGTGATTTAAATCCACTATGTAGCGTTAATGTGTATACATTATCGCTAGGTACTGAGCGAAACGTGTGATGTCGGTGTATAAATGAATAATATAATACCTAATTATCGATGTGTTGAAAATATGTAAATAAGTAAAATATATTCATACCAGTACGTATTTATTTACATCAAACGAATCTATACGGAAAAAACCGGTAGCAATAGCCGTGTTATGAAGCAAACAAGAACAATGGACATCACTATTAACGTCAATGTCATAAAAATATCGCGACCTCGAGCTGACGAGCTCGTGTCAAAACATAACAATATAACGAAAAAATGTTTACTGAATTGTTTTTTGTAACCGTGATTGTAATGCATTTTAAGCAAAAAACGTGAATTGTTTTTCAGTAATTATATGTTTAGTCATAATGATATTTCCAACGCGGAACTTTTTAAGGTTATGTAGAAACCAAAGTGTAATAAAAACTCGTATAAATCATAGTAATCTAAGAACGAATACTACGGAAATTGAAGCGAAAGATGAAAACGCAACGACAAATACAAATTTTAAAAAACTTCTACTTTCGTATAAAGACAAAATTGAGTTTAGTTCCTATTTGGAACACGAAAAATTAGAATTAGGTTATTATAAATATTACGTGAAATCAATAAAAACAGCTGCGCAAATAGAAGCAAAAAAATTTAGAGAAAAATCTTTACCGCCATTGCCTGTCTCATTAAAATATTATATAAATGAAAATAAATTATTAAATGAAGAAGAGGAGATTGAAGTTACCGAACAAAATACAACATTCCAACTACCTTTTGCAAGCAAAACCAATGTTAGTGTATATGTAACAGATAAAAACATTAAGAAAATAAGTAGTCATTCTAATGACATGTCAACAACAGAATTTGACCATTCTAATTTAAACAAATGGATGACAAATTATGAACATTTTGACGATAGCCAGTTGTCACCTCTAGAAGAACTAGAAGATGAAGAAACAATAAAACAAGAATGGTGTAAGAATTATGGGACTCCAGACCCTATGGAAGGCATTAGTCGAGTACCATGTGGAGGGTGTGGAGCACTACTCCACTGCAGTGACCCCGCTATACCTGGATATCTGCCAAGTGAAATATTTAAGGGTCGCAATGAAGAAGAATTAAGAAATATAGAATGTCAACGATGTCACTTTTTAAAGGAGTATAATATTGCATTAGATATCACTGTACAACCAGAAGAATATGAAAAACTTCTACAAAATATAAGGTACACATAAGGTTATTACTTACTGCTGTAGGTCCATTTAATAATAAGGCTTTATTTCAACTTATTTTATGTTAAAGCGTTTTATTTGTGTAAGTTTTTGGGTGGTTTTGGTGCATTCATAGATGTCATAGTGTGTTAAAAATCTGAATAGCTACATACATATACAAAAGTCAATTAAAGAAGATAAAAATTGTTGCCAGTACAACATTGTTAACAGTGATATTACTTAGTTTTTCTTTGAGAAAAAACAAAGCACTAACACTTATATTTAATGAGGATGTAGCAAATGAATGTGTGTTTATTTCTTGGTCTAAGGCAGCTATTATTATCTCATAAATGATGACCAATGTATTATGATTCATATTGAAAGTTTAGTTTGTATATTTGGCTCATAATATCAATGATTTTACGTGTTATTTTATATTGTAAAATAGTATCATACTATTAAACAACATGCTGACAAAAGTGATTTTATATCAACTCAAAACTGTGACAGAAAAATGGAGTTGAAATGTTAATGTATGATGCATAAGTGAAACATAATTATTTATTAAAATAATTTTATGTTAAAAATTAAAAGTGGATTTCAATGAAAAAGTACTCGTGATATGCTGGATGCATGAACTGCATGGGATCTTGTGATGAAAGGTTAATCCAATAATGATACCAGTGACAAAAGCAGTTGCATAAAAAACTATATTGTTATCTATCTTGAGTAAATATGAAGATTCTGTGCTCATACTATGTTATAACAAAAGACAATAGCAAAGCAGCTTAAAACAATTTAAATGTAGAATAATTATTTCATTATTTTCAAAAATAAATAATGTTAATTTTCAAAATATAAACTTTAACAAGGTAGTACCATACTATGTAAAACATAATATTATATCAACAACACAAAGTTTGAATGCCCTTTGAAAATTTATTGATATAAATATTTAACATATTCAGTGGGTTAGTAGATTATAGGACAAATTTTGCAGTGATCTAGAAAAATCGTGTTAGTAATTTTTTAATATTTTCAGGCATGTGAAGTCCTTAGTACTACTGATGGTGGACCTACTAGACTTCCCGTGTTCCATATGGCCTGGTATTGTTGACATCATTGGCACAGACAGACCTCTCGTAATTGTAGGAAACAAGGTAAAAATTATACATAATGTACATTGTACCAACAAGTTAACAAATTGAAGTGTATATAAATAGAGATACTTTATTAGATTATAAGATGAGCTTTACATTATGAAATAACAATGATTACAATTTTGTAGGTTGATTTGTTACCAGGCGATAGTATTGGCTACATCGAGCGTGTTAAGAACTCTTTTCTGATGGAAATAAACAAAACAACACTAAGCAAAGCTAATGTAAAACATGTTGCTCTTATTTCTGCAAAGACAGGCTATGGAGTTGAAGAGTTAATATCAGCTATGTTCAAAATCTGGCTATATAAGGGAGATGTGTTCCTTGTAGGCTGTACAAATGTTGGCAAGAGCTCATTATTCAATATTCTATTACAATCTGATTACTGCAAAGTGCATGCAGTAGACATAGTTAAAAGGGCAACAGTTAGCAGGTGGCCTGGAACAACACTAAATTTATTGAAGTTCCCCATCAATAGACCTTCAGGATGGAAAATACATCAGAGGCAGCAGCGACTCAAATCACAAGCTCACCTTTTGAAACTTGAAAATGAAATCAGAAAAGGACAAGTGAAAGGAAAAATATTCAGTGAAGCACCATCATTAATAGGGCACATCGGAAGAACCTTTTCAAAACCAGTGAGTGATGAAACAGATGAATTGAAGCAACCCATTACAGTTATGGATGAGAAACACGGGCTATTCGCTAACAGTAAATGGTTCTATGACACTCCAGGTGTAATACATCCAGATCAAGTATTATCTCTACTCAGTACGGAAGAGCTGCTACTGACCATACCAAAAAGCGTGATAAGACCACAAACTTACTACTTGCACAAAGGGTTTACTTTCTTTATAGGTGGTTTAGCACGAGTTGATTTCGTTGATTCTACAGAACCATGTAGATTTACCATATTTTGTTCAGAACACCTACCAATTACTGTTGTAAAGACTGAAGATGCTGATGAAATATACAATAAGTTTCTAGGCACAGAACTATTTGCAGTACCCATGAGTGGTGCAGGAAGACTGACCAGTTGGCCTGGGTTGAAAAGAACAGAAAATGTTATGGAATTTACAGGGCAAGGACCGAAAATTTGCTGCGGAGATATAGTTTTGTCGTCAATAGGCTGGGTATCGGTAACTGCTAAGAATGGAACTTTCTGTCAAGTGGCTGCATGGACGCCTGAGGGCAGAGGTATTCACAAGCGTGTACCCTCAGTGTTACCATATTCAATCAACTTGAAAGGTAAGAGAATTCGAGATACACCTGCTTATATGGTTGGAAAAGTATATTCTGAAGAAAATAACATATAACTAGTTAAGTGAAGTAATAAATAAATTGACTCATTATTTTTACAATGTTTTTTTATTTAATAAGAATTTTAGCAAAATATTTACCAAATATAATATCTTTGAATATCATATTTTAATACTAGCACTCCACCCCAGATTTGCTTGGGTGGTATACATTAATGTCATTTTAGTCAACTTGTCGGTTTCTAAAACTAAAAAAAATTCACTAAGCTTTTCAGAAAAATATAGCCTAAATCACTCCTGGCATTGCTTCCACATCGGTTCAGCCATGGTTGGCCCGCATAAACAGACAAATTTATTAAAAAAATTATTTACGCGTATTAACTTGCAAATAACCTTTCAAGCTTAAAAGAAGGCAGTTATTACAATGTTACAGACAGCCACTTCAATTTCATTTACATGGTTAGATTCATGTGGTCTCAGGTTAGATTAGTCCAACAATAGTTTAACGTGAGTGCTCTTTCAGCGACAAGTAGGCATTGATTTAGATGTGATGAGGAACACAAAGTTACGGCCTATATTTACTTCCCACAGCTGGACACAGGCCTCTTATTACTTAGTGGGCAGGTAAAAGTGCCCGACTCGCGGTTCCGATACGAGTTGGCTGACTTTACAGTTTACATGCCTTCGAAATATTCTTATTATTTCTTAGATATGCAGATTTCCTTAGGTACATTCCTTTACCGCCAAGTACGAAATATATACATACTTATAATAAATTTATTGGTCAAACCGATCAAATAAAAATGCTTTCCTTAACTGCTTAAATAATGGTTAAAATTTATTATGTTCGGCAAATACTGTACATGTAAAACTAAAAAATAAAACCGGCCAAGAGCGTGTCGGGCCACGCTCAGTGTAGGGTTCCGTAGTTTCCCGTCCGTCACAATAACTGTTCCCACTTATGAGTTTAAAGGTGGGTATCCATTATGTTCGCGCTCCAGCAGCGCTCCGCGCTCCTGCATCTACTCCCGGTAGTGGGTACTGTTGTTTCCATCCAAGTTCAAAATGATTTTCCTAGAAAGTCCTCATAAAGTTCTACTTACTTTTCAGATTTTTTCATATTTTCTAAACTTATGGTTCAAAAGTTAGGGGGGACACACATTGTTTTTTACTTTTGGAGCGATTATTTCCGAAATTATTGACATTATCAAAAAATGATTTTAGTAAACCCCTATTCATTTTTAAATACCTTTCCAACAATATATCACTCGTTAGGGTTGAAATTAAAAAAAAATCACTTCCCACTTTACATATAGGGGGGCTACCCTAATAAAACATTATTTTCCAATTTTTATTTTACCACTTTGTCGGCGTGATTGATACACATTTGGTACCAAATTTTAGCTTTCTAGTGCTAACGGTCACAAAGATAAAGCGAGGACGGACAGACAGACATGGCGAAACTATAAGGGTTCCTAGTTGACTACGGAACCCTAAAAACAACTCGACTCTGTGTTTATTTTTGTATGTATGTTACGCATGTATTTTCTTTTATGTATCTTCGCAGATTGTGAACCGATTTTAATGCTTCTTTTTTAATAAATAGGGTACATACACCTCAAGGGTGGTCCTATTTATCTATGAATACAATTAAAATACAGAATACAATTATCTGTGAATACAATTAGACCGGCAATTCAGAACAAAAACTGTGGCACAGCTGCGGACCGTGCACTCGCAAGGGTAGCATTGCCAGACGTCCGGATAAAGCCGGACAGTCAGGCTTTTTGGTTGCGTATCCGGCCAAATTAGATGGTGGCCAGATTTTGTTAGGCTTTTTAAATTTGACCATTTCTTTACATTTTTCACTTACATACAAAGTATTGCTATTATTGAAATTATTGTTGTAATGAATATTGAATAATTAATGATAAAGAACACTGATTTATTCAATTGTTGTTATTTCGTTAGAACTTAAGAAGATTTTACAGTAAACGATAAAAAGCATTGTTTTACTTAAAAAAAAATGTCTAACTAAGACAAAAAATAAGGGTATCCGGCCTTTTTACCAAAATGTCCTTTCGGTTTTAAGACCTGGCAACCTTACGCGGGCGGGTAAATGGCACGGTAAACATGCCACGCAATTGTATTTTCATTTACAACCATTACTGTTTTTAGGTGAGGCCTGTGTCCACTGCTGGGCACAGGCCTCCCCTCATTTCTGAGAGGGTTTTAGGCCAAGGAAGTGTCAGCCACGCTGCCCCAATGCGTGTTGGCGAACTTTACATATCTTCTATTTTTTTTCTTATTCCTCAGACATGCAGGTTTCCTCATGATGTTTTTCTTCACCGCCGAGTACGTGGTAAATCAGCATTTAAAATTGCAATTAAAAATTTAATTGGTGCCGGCGGGGATCGAACCCGGTTTGCTCGCGTACTGTGAAATTTACAGCGAGCGCTAACCTTATGAGCTACCACAGCTCTTTTCACACACACACATAGTTTTCTTAGTCAGATTAAAAATAATCAGTGTTAGATATTCGAAAAACAAAGTTCGCAGTTTACACAACAAAGAACTATTCTTCTCGCAGTCGACTAAAGAAGTTCCGGTAAATTGACCGTATCTTAGAGCACAATGTATCAGTACCGTCATGCCAGTCTAGTAATATACATAGAAGTCTTTGGATAGGCATTTGCAATGCGCGTCTTTTGCGCGACCTTTGTCGCTGCTCTCCTGCCGGTCTGGATATTTTAAGGTTGGTATTAAGAAATACAGCCAATAATCGATAGCCATACGGTTTTCAAGCATATCCAATATTCTACTCTTACGACATTTAAGAGAATGAGGTAGTGGATATTCTTATGCGACTACTATACGTCCGAAATTTATTTAAAAAAAACTTATCTGGGTCATAAATATACATAATTTTATTGACTTTATATTCAGCCAGATCTATTCGAAGTTTATCATTGGTAAAGAATAAACACAAATAATGTAAGACATCATATAACATATCGCACCTCCGCTCAAATAGTGTCACAACTCAAAAAAAATAATAATCTCTTTTATTGCACCATTCGTTTCAGAAAACTTCAAAGTCTTATCTCGAAAAGTGTCGTACTTATGGCTTAAATATTTATCCCTAGATGGCACTAGTGTCATTATAATGTTCAGTAAAAGTTATGTCATACCAAACATAAACAGTGTCACGTCTCGGCTTGCGCCAGGTGGTCGTTTAACTAAATATCGTATAAAGTGTTGTGTGTCGAGATAAGACAGTATATGTGATTAAGGCAAGGCAAATGTCTTACTTTTTTCGCAGTAAAACTGATCTGTGTCGATATATGACAGTGTATGTGGTTAAGGTAAGTCAAAAATCTTATTTATTTCGCAACAAAACTGGTCTGTCTCGAGTTAGTGCAGTATTTGTGATTAAGGCTAGTCAAAAATCTTGTTTATTTCGCGATCAAATTGATCTGTGTCGAGTTATGACAATACGTGTGATTGAGGTTATTTTACAATCCACAATTTTTAATGTTATAAAGTGCAATGTTTTGATATAATATGAGAGTATTAAGTAATTAAGATTAGTAAACAATCTGTTTTTTATTTTTTATTAATAGTGTGCTGTCTAGTTATGATAGTGTACTTGATTAAGGTATTCAAACAACTATTTATATTTTCAATTTGTATCGAAACGTGTTAGGCACTTAAGACAGATTTTAAGTCTATTTTATTCATCTAAGACTTACGACTTACTTGTTATGATATGTAATATATATGTTATTGTAATGTATTGATACGATAAGATATTGTTTTAATTAAATTAATGTTTTTATTGTCCCTAGGTAGTTGCAATTGTAACACAATGTCCAGATCAAGTAAAATACTGTCCCTGTGCCTGGAGCCCAACGGGCAGCATAATCAAGAAACGGATGAATCCACTTTTATACCAAAACCTACTCAAAAAAATAATTTAGAAGCAATATATGACAGCTTAAATAAACAAAATTATTATTTAAACGACACTTCCGAAAATATTTCTAATTTGCCGGTAGAATATAATAATGAAAACTTAGACCTTATGCAAGATTACACTGGGGGTGAAGAAACAGATGATTCTGTTAAAGATCCCAATTACTACACTGCTCGTAAAAAGAGTAAGAAAAATAACGTCGTTCTGCATCGCCGATCATCATCATCATCAAGTTCTTCATCGTCCAGCTCAAGTTCATCTTCGTCCAGTTCCAATTCATCCTCATCCAGCTCGCTATCTTTGTTATCTAGTGTAAGGCCAAGTGAAGACATTCGCGAAGACCGCCAAACAACTTCACAAGAATCTAATTTAGACAGAACTAACCCCCAAGGACAAAATGAGGTGACAGAAGAAATTGTGCCCACTTCACGTAAGAAACGGCGTGCTGAAGGGCAATGGAAGCAAAATGTGACTAAATTTCTGCGAAACTCAGGATTGCCTTATAAAACAAAATCTGGGCGAATTGTTCCTAAAAAAGTTATTAAAGAAGGTTGTGGCGAACGTTGTAGACTGAAATGCAGTTCTTTTCTCACTGAAGAAATAAGGCTCCAATTGTTTGATTCTTACTGGGCTTTGCAAGATTTAGAGAAATAGAGGCAATTTATACATAAACATTTAAGACCTATAGAAGTTAAGTACCGGTACGTCAAATCAAACAAACCTCGGAAAAGCAACTATGCTTTCTATTTCGAGCTTGAAGGTTCATTGAAGAGGATCTGCAAAACTATGTTTAAAAACACGCTAGATATTAATGACAGAACGATCAAAACTGTAACAGAGAAATCAACTGATGGTTTTTTGAAAGAAGATCAAAGAGGAAAACATAATAAACATTATACTGTAGGTGAAGCTATTAAAAATGATATCAGGGATCATATAAAAGGAATACCAAAGATTGAAAGCCATTATTTGAGGGCACAAACTACACGAGAATTCATTGATGGAGGAAAAACTATTTCTGACTTACATAGGGACTATGTGGACCAGTGTAAACGTAATGGTCGGAATTATGGGAATTATGTGATGTACAGTCGCATTTTTAATGGTGAATTTAATTTAGGTTTCTTCGCACCAAAGAAAGACAGAGGTGAATTATGTGTAGCTTATGAAAATTCGAATCCGGAAGATAAATTACAACATAAGAAAAAATATGATGAACACCTAGTAGAAAAGAATTTATCTAGGGAAGAAAAAAAGAAAGACAAGGAAGCTCTTAAAATAAATAAAAACCTGATTGTGGCTGTATACGACTTACAGGCTGTTTTGCAGGTACCGCGTGGCAATGTCTCTGTTTTTTACTATAAGAGTAAACTAAATAACATGAATTTCACAGTTAGCAAGTTGACAGCAGAAAACGCTGAAAGAAAAAGAAATCAACCGACAACTAGTAACAGTAATAATGGTGATTTGATTGTAAATCACGGTATTACTGAGTGCTATTTTTGGCATGAGGGTGAAGGCAATCGAGGTGCAGACGAAATCGGTAGCTGCTTGCTTAAATTTATCGAAAAAGAATTGCACAGTCTTACAGGTAACGAGCCCATTGATTTAGTTTTCTATTCAGACAACTGTTGCGGGCAAAATAAAAATAAGTACATAGTTGGGTTGTACATGTTTGCGGTAATGAAATACGATAAACTTAATTCAATTAGTCATAAATTTTTAATACCTGGACACACTCAGAATGAAGGTGACTCAGTACATTCGGTGATAGAAAAGCAAATAAAACGCTCGTTGAAATCGGGTCCAATTTACGTTCCTAGTCAATATGTACAAATAATTAAACAGGCTAAAAAAACTGGGGAGACACTGAGAGTAAACGAGCTCTCCCATAAAGATTTTATTTCTTTAAAAAGTTTAACTAGTGATATAGGTATTACGACTCTAAATAAGATAAGGATCTCTGATATAAAAATGATGACTATTGCCAAAAATAGACCAAATATTTTAAAGTACAAAACGTCTTACACGGACACCGAATGGTCAGAAGCTAATTTACTCTCCCGAAATAAAAAACTAATAATACCTGACACAAAACAAGCTTATACAACTAAAATTAAAATCAAGGAGAATAAAAAGACTGATTTAATGACTTTACTACAAAACAATCACATTCCTAGTTTTTATGCTGACTTTTATAACAATTTGTGAGTTATTTTGATGTTAATTATAATTATATAAGATACTAAAGATTTGTGCTCTACGATAATATGAGACTTAAGTACTTTTCTGTTTAATTTTTGTATTGTTGATTATTGTTAATTCGTTTTAATTAAACAAGATTTCGGAAATTATTCGTTTTTATTATCCGTATAGTGTCACAACTCAATTTATTTTTCATGCTTTCAGGATACCTAATACAGCATTTTATAGAGCATCAAAAACCATTGAAAGTTACCGAAAAACTTATAGCACTAATTTTGTTAGTTTTCGATTTAACACCCGAAAAGTGAAAACAAAAATTTCGAACGCCTTTTTCTCGATAGTTTGCTTTTTTGACTTACGACACTATTTGAGCGGAGGTGCGATATGAGGTAGAGCCACGCTGCAGTCATATTATGGTTGCATCACAAATGGGTAGGCTCAACTGGGGAAGAATTACACTTGCCTATTATAACGGCATAAAAACTGTTTCTTATGGTAGGTGTAGACAATCGGATACTACCATCGATATAAATGACAAGGTATGTCCGTGCAAACACAATTTTTTCACGATTTAAGCATAGAACAAATCAGCACCATCTCTTAAATATGGACTACCAGGGAATCAGTGTTTTCACTTATGATTTTGGTTTTACCCTGGAACCTGTAGAAATACTCCCTAAATTATCGTAAAAAATAATCAAAACTGCCTTATTTATTGCACTTAATTTTGAATATTTTAAAGACCATTGCAAGATTTGAATATCATTTCACAATTAAAAATCTTGAGTTTTGTGATGAACAAGACGTTCTCATTTTCAAGTTATAATAACACTAAGTCAAATATGAATAACGAATATGTAACTATTAAGTAAAATAATATACCATTATTCTGATATATAGAATGAAAAACTTTTTCATTTTACTCTTTTCTAGCCCCTTCGATAAATGTAAAAAAAATATATATTGGGTGGGTATAAAAACACGGTTACCACGGTACGTTACACGGTAAGTTAGGTTTTACCCCAAATCATCCAAAACCCTTTCAACTTGAAGAAACGCCTAAAGCCCTACCTATATCAGTACATTTACCCTATATAAAATATTGCAAAATATCTTAAAGTGGAAACACAACACGGACGCACGGCACGCATTGATGCTCGCGTTGCTGGTCCATAAACATTTTCGCAACAAGGTGTCGGTGCCATTTAGTTTGTTCAAGACTATCCGGTCCATACGCAGTAGAATAACAAGTCTATCGATACTACTAAACAACACTGGAATCTTAGTACTCAGAGGTGATAACGCATCTGCATTTTGATTGTTAATAGAAGATAGATTTGGCTACAGCATTCAGCTTCCGTCATTTGGATCGTCTCGTCCATAGTCACAAAACGGAACAAAAAATTTTCTTATTCTGCTTGGAACTTTTCGAGATTGAACCTCGAAATGTCAACTCGATTTTTGTTTTGCTCGTCGGTTAACATTCTGGGTACCCAACGCGCAGAGAACTTTTTCATATGCAACTCGTTCGCAATGATTCTTTGAACGCTGCCATATGAGACCCCTGTGACTTCAGCTACATGCCTGATGGTCACTCTTCGATCTGCCAATACAACATCTTCGACTTTTTTCACGTAATCTTCAGTGAGGGACGTGGATGGGCGTCCTTCGCGAAGTTCATCTTCAGTGGATGTTCTGCCCAGTTTAAACTCCTTGGCCCAGCGTGCAACTGTAGAATATGGAGGAGCAGTGTCCCCCAATGTTTACACTAAGTCACTGTGTATGTCTTTTGAAGAAATTTTTTTCAAACAGAGGTACTTGATGACAGCTCTAATTTCGTTTTTCTCCATGTTGATGTAATCTCTTTGACAGTTCGTATTCAAATGAATGTATCTACCGGAAATCGTGATCTATTTATATGATTTTTTTAGGCTGACGTAGTGAGTATATAAGCAAGTAAAAAATATTTTTTTTGGATTTTTATGCGGACCTGAAGTAACCGATTATCATTACTTTTCGATCACCCCTCGTATATGCTCGTTTGCCACTCGTACTTCTATAATTGCAGTTAAAACGCGTTGTCTAAACCCGAGGGTTGAGATAAAATGCCTCCTTACCAATAAAAAGCTTTATTAAGTCCACGGACAAAAACTCGAATAATATAGCGTAGCTCTAGCACGTAGCTGAAATGAGGTGAGGTGAGGTAAGATGAGCTAGGTAAGATAAGGTAAGGTGAGATGAGGTGAGGTGAAGTGAGGATGGGGCGAGGCGAGGTAAGGTGAGGCTCGGTGTAGTGAAGTGCGACTGACCGGTGAGGCCGGGCGGGCAGCGGCAGCTGAAAAGGCCGGCGGGCAGCGGCACGCAGGCGCCGGCGCGGCACGGCGACGACGCGCACGCGCTCGCGCTCCCCTCCCCGCCGCCGGACTCACCCGCCTCGCGCGCCTCTTCGCCCCCCGAGCACCGCCACCACCCGTTCTGCTCCACGCACTCCTATACGCAATCATGTTCACATCGTTCATGCGAGGAGTTAAGGCCGCCTTAATGTTCTAATAAACTTGTTTTTTTTTTTAATGTTTCCTGTACCTTTTAATTCCATAGTGCACAATAAAAGTATATTCATATATACATATTTATATAAATATTACAAAAACATACATTTTATTGCCATCAGTAAACTCACATAATGTACATTTATAAGTAAATAGTGAACTTACTAAATAACGATATAAAATATAAATAAAAAGATAACATTTATTTAATAGAGTACTACGGCATAATATAAGAGGGTGATTACTCCACCATTTTAAGATGTACATCCAAAACTAAGCATAATATCGATTTGTCTCGTCATCATCTAGGTTTGTAATAAATAATTTACTACTTTGCAACCTTCCGCTAACTAATTACAATGATGTGTCCTACCTGGATTGAGGAGCACCTCCCACCCTCCCTCAATTGCATGGACTAACTCCGTCAACACTAGTCCCAGCACCACTACTCCCGGAACCACTACTTCCAACACCACTATTCCAGGTAAGACACACCATCGACGACAATACGACACGTGTTTCGCCTCTACACGAGGCATCTTCAGGTAATGTAGACGTAATATCAGAATGTAAGATGCCTCGTGTAGAGGCGAAACACGTGTCGTATTGTCGTCGATGGTGTGTCTTACCTGGAATAGTGGTGTTGGAAGTAGTGGTCCAAAGTAAAAATTATTTATTATAATGGATTTCCGCAAAGTAACGCCTGATTCTATCAATTATCTAGGTTTGTACAAAAGGCGAACCGTGAAAAATGTTATTTTATAATTATAGGCCTCAAAACAAAGGTATTTTAACGCAGATTTGAGAATAAGTAAATAAAATAATAATTATGAGAACTCCAAAATAATTTACATAAATGTTCAAAACAACACAAATTAATTTGTAAGATATGACATACATTTAGGAGTTTTTTCACAAAAAACCGTACACCATCTCTCGTAATTTTTTTTCGTGCTCGTTTTTATTACAAATGTACAAACGTTACACTAAAACATCATCGACAGCACTGTCTTAATATTTTCTTCTCTCTTTATCAGCTCGTAAATATCAACCACTAAGTATGGACATTTCCTCATCAACTCGTCACAAGAGCGTTGACAATCGCAGTACCAAACATCCCACGCCTTCGATTTATGTAGGTATTTCTAGATATTTTGAATCTATTGTAAACAAAATGGTTTACCGTAATATATCAGGTCATAACATTTTTCTTGCAGTTTTCGCAGTTGCTTCTTATCACATCACACCCACGGGTCGAATTAGAAATATTAAATAAAACTAGTTTTTACGGATTTTATGGCGATATTAACTTTTATTCCCGACGTTACGAGCACTTTACAGCACCCATGGTCACGGGGCGACTGAAGTGTTCGACGTCCCAATGTCACACGGCTACCTCCAGATTAAAATTATTAATCTTTGCTCCGATCTACGCAGTATGAACTTATAGTTATATTGAAGTCTTGCAGTTGTATGCTTGGGTTGGCATTTAATTTTATTAATTATAGGATCCCAAACAGATCGTACCATCTAGCCATTTTCTCTATTGAAATTAGGATGTTTTTTTGATTTCAATAGTCTCGCGAATCATACTTGGAAGGAATTGGCGTTCTTTAGGGAGGATCTAGTCTATTAAATCTGATGTTGTGACGGGGGCGATCACAATCTTAACTCTCCAAGGAACTACTTAGGTCCTTGGGTGGTTAAGATTCACAATTGGACCCGATAGGTGACGCTGTTGACGAAATCCAGAAACCATTCGTGTGGATCGCGAGTATACATACTTGCATTGAAGTGAATATTACAGTCTAAATGAAGCATTTTTTTTAAAATCAAGTAGCTCTGCCCAAAAACATTCCGTGTGACGAGTGTAACGACGATGAGGGTAGCCAACGATGTGAACATCAAACTGTGGTTATCTTGTTTCTTTCCCATTTCCATTTAAAACCAAACAAAATTAACAATGATTTATTGGCAACATTTTAAAATTATTTGGCGACAATCTACTCTGTACGACTATTTGACTACAGACTATCATGTGCTTGACCATTATCTGTATGAACGTAAACAGTGAATGTTGTATCTTATTAAAATTTGTGTAACTGCACATATTATTTATAAAAAAAATTCTGCACTCCATTTTCCTTATAGTCTTTAAATGTGCCAAATCCCACACTCCTCCGTGTACGTAATATGCTTAAAAGAGAGTACAAACTTTATAGTTCACGTATTAATATGTATTATGTTTTGATGTAACTTTGATAGTTTGAATAAGGTGATTTTTTAATTCAGCTATGGAACATTCTATGTGACGATCTACGAGGGTGGCCAGCGTGTGGCCATTAGCGACCAACCTGTGATAGTTATTGTGTTATTTGGGTGATTTTATTGCTGTTATTCAGAAATATTTAATAATTTTATGAGATAGAACTGAATATTGTAAAATAGTATAAATAGAATATTATGAAACAGCTTAAAATAGAATAAAATATGATTAGTATGGTGATAATCAAATATTATGTGTCGTTTTAACTGTCTGTGTTGGAAAGTAATATTGTGTTTACACGCTGTGTGCATGACGGACCTGCTCGGGGTGGTGCGGACAGCCGAGAGTGCGGCAGTCTTCCGCTTCCGCTCCCGTCGCCGCCCCCGCCTCCTCTTCCGCTTCCGGGTCTGCGTCCGCTATGTCGCAGCGCACACCCGCCCACCCAACCTCACATTCGCACCGGAACCCGCCCGCCTGCGTCATAAGCAACACTCACATCGGCTAGCTTTTCATATAACAAGGATGACAAACAAGCACACAGTCCACCTGATGGTGAGTGGATGCTGTGGCCCATAGACATCTTCATCTACCCTCGGTTAAGAAACAAAATGCAGATATGTTGTCACCCCTGAGGATTAAGATGGAATACCGCGTTTTCAATAAAAAGGGCCTCCGGTTCTCTACACTTGTGATACGAAACATAGCAGCATTAAGCTGCTATTTCACGCAGGTATTCTGTGAGAGCCATCGAGCATTTAACTTGAAATAGAGCGGTATTGTTATTTGTTTTGTAAGAAAACAAATTCTGCCAAAACGCTGCGCCGGTCGCTGCGCTCTGATTGGCCGATTCAAGCAATAGTAAACACGTAATAAATAAAATGAGATGACTTATATTGGTTACACCTAGGTAAGAGCAAGACGCATAGACAAGCGTCCAAGTGATTCATACTAATAGACCAGTTTAACTTGAGCCGTATTAAATGGATGTAAATTGAAACAAAATCAAAGTTTATTGATACTTACCGATGAAACGTGATTCCGTATGTTTTATAATTCGATGTCTTGCTGTTTTTTCCACACCACCGAATAGAACAACACGACATTATGGGGTTTAATATACCAAACTGAATATTTTCGGGAGTATCGGGGGACGTACACACAGATCACTTGTTGGTGAGGTACTGTTTTAGGGCGAGCGTGAATTGCCATTTATCAGTGACAAATCACTGATCAGTTTCGGAATTGGATGGCTCACATTACTACTGCTATTACAGGTTAAATGCTCGATGGTGAGAGCGTAGTCCTCCCCTGGTCGAGCTAACCCATTCATGCTTCAATCATAATATAGTTGCAGCGTGGCTTTACCACGTGTACCTCTGCTCCAATCAACCATTCACTGCTCAGAGAACACATTGGGTAACATTCATAAAAGTAAAATAACAAACCTATAAACCTCTTACTTCTGGACACAGGCATTCCATTTCTGAGAGGATTAGACACAAGCCAATTGTTATATATTTTTTGTTATAGAAGTTCTATGAGAATGTACTGTAATATATTCATAATCTTTGTAGTCAAATGATTATTTTTCTTCTATAATTTTTGACTGTGGCATTTCTCGTGGGAGGCCTATATTCAGCAGTAGATTTGAGAAGAGCTGTAATGATCATTATAATAATATCTTTACATATTGAATTAATTTAAAACTCAAAATCGACGAAGCTTTAAGACACTATACTTAAGTTACAAATTCAAATTATCTAATAAAGTAATTTATTAATAAAGGCAGCAAGTACTGAAAAGAGGCGTTGTTATTATTTTGAACACTTCTGCTTAAATACAAGGTTTGTACATTTAAAACTGTATGATTAAATTAATAGTACATCTGAACGGGTGCCTATTTATACTTAGTCTGTGAGAAATGGTCCGGCAAACCCTTACTACCTGAGTGTGGAATATTGTATTCACCCATCAACCAAGGATAATTATGATGATATGCCTTGATGCATTATACGTAGCAGCAGCGCGAATAGAAAGGATCAAGCTCTCACAGAACACCAGAGTAAAATAGCAGCATAATGCTGCTGTGTTTCATATGGTAAGGGGTGAGGCCCGCAGACCATTTTTACTGAGAACGAGGAATTCCATCTTAGCCACTTAACACACACAACACAAGTGCTTTTTAATACCAAATTGAAATGTGGGATTGTTAATAGAATCAGGCGTAATTTTTTTTTATTGATTAGCTAAGATTCGTGTAATTTAATCACACGATAATCGATTTTAAGATGTCGTTATGTCTCGTAGTGTCACAGTCACTTTTACTTAAAGTGATAGAGACAGCACGTGACCTAACGGCATCTTAAAACTGAGCGATGCTTGAGTATTTGGTCATTACCTAATCAATTTTTAACATCTCTAAACTTTAACGAAATGTACAAATCTATGGACCGCAATATCCACCTGCCGTCAAGTGGATTAGGTGTAAGTCTGTCACGCTTCTGTTTAAAAACTTAGAGAAGTAATCGATTCCGAAGTGAATAAGAAGGCAAAGCTCACGAGGTCCCTGCAGGCGACGGCATGCACGCAGGGCGCAGAAGAGCAGTGTTCCGCCTTCAATTCCGACAGCGCCTTGCCCGCCGCACCCCCTGTACCCCCCGCACCCGCACCCTCCGCACCGCCCGCACCCACCGGCAGCTCGCAGTACGCGCCTGTGCACACATCACATACTGGTATGAAACACTTCAAGCACGATCGCTCAGCGCATTCGCGTTCAACGAGAATATTGATATTGATAGACGTATTGCTATATTGTTTCTTTAAATAAATTCTAAACATACAACCATAATATTATTATATGTACGAATGTTGCAGCGCATTCAAATTATTTCTAATTCATTTTAAATCTAATGTCTAAGCCATAATCTGTTCTAACATTTTCACTGACAGAGAAAGCTACAACTGAGTTAAAACATTAATCCAGCGGCAGACCAAAAACAATTTTGCATGCTTACGGAAAACACATAAACTGAGAAACAATCAAACATGATCGAAATGAATACAATTTTTTTACAGACTTATATAACACATATTTACGTAGGGTAAACAAAAACATTTCATAATCACGATGAATTCGATTTAAATCGATTATTCGATTCTATTAAGTTCATTAATATTAATATTAGTTATTGTTTATAAGACATATTATTAATTTGACGAATAATCGAATAATCAATTTATTATATTACGACTTTATTATGTTTGTACAACTAATATTAGAGCTGATTAATTCATTAAAGCAAAAAGGCGAGGGAAACATTTTGCAAATACACAAACATCTATGCACACTGGAAGCCGGTTCCCACGTAACATTCGATAAGAGCCCACGATCGGGACGTGCACTAACTATTATAACCTGCGCTCTCCGCTCCGAAAACAAAACATTGTCAACAACCCCATCCCCCGTGCTGTAACGCGGTCTGGAAAAGGAATAAATCTTGTCAATATTACAGAAGAGCTGTGGTACAGTGATCGGCAGTAAATATTACACATCGAGCTTTAGAAAGAGATAATTATCTAACCGTGGCTTCGTAGAGCGTCGTCTGAGTCACACATACCTGTGTGGTGTTTTGTTACCTACAGATCGCTAGTGTGCGGTCGCGTTTACTTGAAATATGAATACGGAGTTCAAATTTTAATGTGGTAATTATAAATATAATTTTTGTGTGTGTGGGCGGTCGTCCAGGCGCGCGTACGTGTTATCGTGTAGGCATACATGGTGCAGGTAATGTGTATGTGTGTGTGTGTGTGTGTGTGTTTGTATGTGCGTGGTACAGGCGGTGTGTGCAGGTGTACCTGTGTACCCGGGCGCGCAGGTGCAGAGCGGGCGGTCGTGCAGGCGCGTACACGTGGCACCGTGCAGGCACACGCCCGCCTCGCACGCAGACTCAGCACGCGAGCAGTTCGGCGAACGACCCGGAGCACCTGCGACCACACCGCAATCACTTACATCATTCCAAAGGTACTCTGTACCATAGAAATAATCATGTGTGTATTGTATATGTAGTAAGTAATCATCATAAATATTGCAGTTTAATTTTAATTTTCTAGATTTCAAGTGTAGATACACAAAATAATGTATCAGTCCTAAATACTTTAATTTTTTACACATTTTCACTTTGTAAATTTCGGAATATCCGTAATTTGGTTTATCCATTTCTAATTTTATTCATATAAAATATAAAAGAATCTACTTCCCCCTCCACGAAATATGTCAAAGATTTCACGTCATTCCTAAGTGACGCCGCCCTGGTGACTGAAAAAGTCGTGGATCATTCATAATATCGTACTATCGTACTTTCACCAATATTAAGTATATTATGAAATTATCATATGATATATATATATATATATATATATATATATATATATTAATGGAGACTCTAAAAATGTTAGGGAATTTCCTGTTTTAACTCACAGCGACTTAATATTAATTGCTTGTGGCACATATCAATTAAAGCAAACTCGCTCATATTATGGTGAACATATAAGGTTTAATGGTTGCCACCGAATAGAACAGTGTAATGACCACAGAAGCAGCATTATGAAAGGAATAAACTTAAGCCCTAACTGCTCTTTACTTACACAATACAACACGACACAACAGTCGTAAAGTATATTTTATATATATTTTAATTACTGGCAGTGATTCTGGTAGAAGAGCAATTAAAAAGTATTGTTGCAATTGTATTGTCGGCCGTCGAACAGTAGGATGCTGTGCCCACGTAATGACAGTAATATGGTATTTGGATTGGGCAAGGCATCAGACTAATATTTTGCCCCCTGCTCAATTCCTGGATGATGTATTGATTGTGTATGATAAAAATGATGTATAATAGACCTGATCAAAATTTGTGCAGTATATAAGTATAACAGTAAAATTATTGTTAAAAAATTGTATTTGTGAAAATAAAAACCTTTATATCTAAAAATCTGGACTTGTTTTAAACCAATCCCTTCACCATATCACTATTTTAATGGCATATTATCAGTTCCATATGCTTTTATATTTATGAGCACCCATGGCCGAAGTGTCTATGAACGGTGGGCATTCCCCTTTAATTTAAGAATTGAATAAGTGCTTTACGTATTGTTTTTTTTTTCGCAGAAAAAGGGCTTTGTTGCTGATACAATTATGACGCCCTGGTATGGACAAATCTTAAATGAAATAATTACTAACAAATAAAGTTTTTGGCATCATCTGATAACGGGTCTGATAAAATACTATTAGAACTGCAAATCAATGAGAAATGTGAATTACAAGTTTTTCTTTCTCTGGAGTTCTGAACACATTCTATCAAAATGTTATAAATATTTCGCATCAAGTATAAAAATTTATTGAATGGAATGTGTCCAGATCTGAGTCTTAATGCTATTACAATGTCGCATCAACACAATAATCGATTATCTATCCAAGTTGAGCGCATTGGGTGCGGCTAGATCGTACTGGATTCAGAGAAAACAAACAAAATATTTTTTTATTTGGTTCACACATGGATTGTAACGTTTACGTGGTTCAGTTAACATAAAAATCTAACAAACAAACGTTCATTCTAATAACAGTGAACACAGCATGCAACAAGTGGACAAGATAACAAATACAAATAAAGAAATAAAAAAAACTCTAAAGTAATAAATATTAATTAATTAATGGCTAATGTTAGCCCTTGCTGAGGCCTTATAACCATGCAAGATGTCCAACAAATCACGAATATTATTGTAACTATTAGTCACTCTGTACAATGGCGAGTGATGACCCGCCACTGTCTTACAGTGTAGCGTGACAAAAGTATTTTAGACTGCCAGCTCTAGGGACCGACACATCTAAATGATTTAAAATGTCCGGACAGTTGATGAGATCATGGATAATTTTATAGAAGAACATGACATCAGATGCTTCCCGCCGCTTGGATAGCGATTCTAATTTGTAGTGTGCCAATCTACTTTCGTATGAAATGAGTGTTCTGCATTAATTATTTGCATACGATAACTGGTACATAAACTTTTTCTGAATGTTTTCATTCGGTCGGTCGACTGTCGGTCGGTTTGAGTGATACTTGCACCCCGGATTCGAGACGGGGCTAGCGTATTCCACAATACTTCTCACCAAACAGTTATAGACTGGAATGATTAAACCAGGGTCTTTAACAGATTTTATTTGCCTGGATATAAACCCGGATAATTTAGAAGCTTTTTTTGTTATTGAGTCAATATGACTTCTAAAGCTGAGCGTGCTGTCAATTAAAACACCTAAGTCTTGGATTTCCGTGACCTCACCCAATGTCTCATCGTTTAACTTGTATGTTGTCTCGGTTTTATTTTTCCTTCTAGTTAACTTTAGATGAGAACATTTTCCAGTGTTGGGGATCATATGGTTTTGACAACACCAGTCGTATAATCTATCCAACTCGTACTGTAGAGCGGTCACATCTAGTTTGGAGTCAATGATTTTGTACAGTTTTAAGGCGTCTGTGTACATTTTAAAATTACATTCGATTATATTGGCTAGATCGTTTATGAAAATAAGAAGAAACAATGGACCGATATGAGAACCCTGGGGAACGCCTGAAGGAATCTCTCTAGGTGAGGATGCATAACCACGCAACGAGAGCAACTGTGACCGATTTCTAAGATAGGAATCGCACCAGCGCAGAAGTAAACCATGGACCCCCATTAGCATGATCTCTTTATAAGCAGGTCGTGGTTGATGAGATCGAAGGCCTTGCTAAAATCGGTGCAAATACCGTGTATCTCTTTATTCCTATCCAGTGCACATGCGATATCATTAACAAAACCGACCAAGTTAGATGTTGTAGACTTTTTAGGCTGAAACCCATGTTGGTTTGGGTGCAGGCGCTCTTTGACGTGCCAATATATTGTTTTATGAACAAATGACTCTAGAACCTTACCGGGTGCTGGAAGTATGGAAAAAAGCCTGTAATTGGTCACACCGGCAAGATCTCCTTTTTTATGGATGGGGATGATGCACGCCTTTTTACATACGTGGGGGGAAACTGCCGCTTCGGAGAGAGTGATTAAATATATAGGTAAGAGGTTAAGACATACTTTTTGCACACTTCTTTAGAATGATCGGAGGCAAGCCATCCAATCCTGAAGCCTTGCTTCTATCCAATCTCGTCAATGTTCTTTCTACCTCGTATTAGCTGACAGTAAGTGAGCTGATGGTCAGACTGTACTAGCAACTATGGAGAGCTGTTTTATTGACCTGTTTGGTTGTCAAATTGGTGACAATGTCATCGTATATTGACTGAAAGTGCTCTGAGAATAGGTCACAAATCTCTTGGCCACCTCTGGCAGTCTTGGCACCTCGAGTCATCTGAGAAGGGAGGGAATTTGTGTTTCTTTTGAAACCATTAACATAAGACCAGATGAACTTAGGGTTTGACCGTATATGAGAAGCTGCGTTTTTTTTAAAGCTATTAAAGCAACTTTTGATCATTGTATTGCAACGGTCTCTTAGAAGTTCATATGTTAATCTGTCAAGGGGATTACCATACTGCTTGTATTTTTTGTGATACTTCGCTTTTCCATTTAGGCATTTTACTAAGGTTGTGCTGAACCACACCGGATATTTTTCTGAATGTGGTATGCGATATGGCGTGTGCTTCTTAATTATGGGCAAAACTATGCCGTAAAACTTGCCAATTATGGAATCTATGTCACAAAGTTCGGACCACACTGTATGCGTGAGTTCTTCGTTGATGGCGTCAAAGTCACACTTGGAGTAGTTTGGTGATGCTACATGTTTGGATCTGCATGGTTTCATATTCCCCAGACTGTGAATGAGTATTTTGAGGGCAGGATGATGAGAGTCCAATCCAACCAAAGGCAGCGAAGCTTCGACCACCTTTACGTTATTAGTATTATCTACAAGCACCAAGTCCAAAATACGATTATTAGCATTTAAGATACAATTACATTGTTTAAGATTATTGAACGTAATTTGGTCTATGAACATGTTTTCGATAGTTCCGTTGTTTGGCTTTGGGATGTATACATTTGGATCGCCTATAGTCTCCCAGACTGTATTAGGAAGGTTGAAATCACATAACAACAGCATTAATGAGCCGTTTGATATTTTATTACTGATGACATCCGTGAGATTATTGACAAGTTGTTAAGTAGTACTTTGAAATTGGTGGGGGAACATACGTAGCGCAAATATTTATTTTAGCTTTGCTATTAAGTCCTAAGTCTATAGGCTATAATCCCTCACACGCCGATTCCCATCTCTTCATTCTCGACTACCTATATTTTTTCAGTACAGCTATACAAATACCGTCACATTCTTTTTTCGCTTGGAAGGACAAAGTGGAACTCCGAACGCGCCTAAAATATCATATCCAGCATCCAAAAGATCGTGGTCAAAAACGGTGTCATTGAGCCAGCCGTCCGTCATAACAATTAGGTCGTAAGGATTTTGCAGTGCGTTAATATATAAATTCTCACATTTGATTCTAAGGCCCCTTACATTTTGATAATAGATTTTTAAATTGTATTTTAGTGTTAAAACCTGTTAACCAAGCCATGCGCACTTTTGATCGTACAATACCATCCTTCCGTTTGCCAAGTCGTGCGCTAATTAGATCAGAATTATGTAAACGTGTGTACCTATGGAAAAACTATTTTTTAGTTTTAAACAAAACCAAAGACACTATGCAATAGATAATAGTATCAAAGACAAAGATATGCTCTTTTATTTTAAACCATAACCTGGCAATGTTTCTTAGAAAAAAAAAAGAAATCACTCTGAACTTTCGGCGCTCCACGTGTCGTTTTGATGAAGGTGCTCCGTCTTTTTATAGAATTTTATATTTGTGTCTGAACTAAAAACGAAAGTATTATACTTTTTTATATTCCTTGTAATATAGTAAACACGTAGATATATAATTTGTGGTATAAAAAGTGAAAAGTAGATTGCCAAAAGTACTTCCGGTCTCCGGTCCGAATCTCTCAGTCGTGGGCTCGTGAATCTAACCAGAATGGTACGTGGTCTGGGACGATTTGGGTTCTTTTTGGCCACTCTGGTGCAGTGGGAAACATCAGCTTCATTGATGGGACAGCTGACGATTTTACCTAGCTGTTGAACTATTTATTAAGAACTAAGCATTTCAGTTTAATAGTGATGATTATTTGATGAAGAAGATTTTACGAACTCATTTAAGTTTGTTAAAGAAATACATCAAAAGATATATTTCATTGGGACCAATAATTTCCCTTGTAAATTTCCTCTTAAAATCACGCTTGTTAATGTCACACACGCAAATCATTCATTTTAATTTGAGCGAAACTTTTGAAAAAGAAAATTTATTACACTATATTATTAACTATAGTCTTTGCGTTATAGCATGGTGCGGGTGACAGCTTACAGTTTGACGTGTTTAGAGATGGAGTAAGGTTAAATCGATTTAAAAAAAGGCGATTAACGATACACAAAGTAAAGCAAAAATTATCGATTAGCTACCGATGTAAAAATTAAAACCGAAACATATATTTCTTAATAAACTATAATGCATGTAAAATTAAGTTAAAGTTTTATACGACATTATCGACGACATATTCGTTACATAATAGCTGTTCCCATGACTTTTCCCGCGTGGTATTTATTACGATTGGATTACATTGGTTTTCATTATTTTGCGCGGAACCCTAATTCTTTATATAAAAGTAGCAAGCGTTGCTCCTTAAAACATCAGCTATCTGCCTGTGGCAGCTACAAGCCGGAACAAACAGACAGACAGACAAAGTTTTTGGCTTTTTGTTACGAATACCGTATGTGTATAATTTTGTATTATGCATTTAGTAAAAGGCTGTTATTTTGATGCTACAAACAGTGTATAAATAATAATATCTGTATGACAGTTTATCTAAAAAATACGAAACTTCATATGCATGAGTTGTCAATCGCACCATGCTACAACGCAAAGACTATAGTTGAGAGAACTAACCATAGTATCCGAGATCACACACGCAGATCACTTGTTTCGTTACCATCACACCGGCCACCATGCCCGGGAGACCTAGAAAACCAAAAAATCCTAAAATGTCTGCTTTACTTCCAAAATTAATAATTTCTTGTTATATTTCATTTAGGCGTTAATAATAATTAAATAATAAAAAAGAGGAAACTTGCATGTCTAAGAATAAGAAAAAAAATATTTTGAAGACATGTGAAGTTCGCCAACACGCACTGGAACAGCGCAGCGAACACTTCCTTGCCCTAAAACCCTCTCAGAAATGAGGGGAGGTCTGTGCTCAGCAGTGGGACGTATATAGGCTGTAAATTTACTTTTACTTTTTATTAATAAATAAATAATATTTAATTAATCATAAATATTATTTGATGTATTACAACTAGGTAGTTTAAAAAGTTAGTATTTAGTTTTAAAAAAACGATAAAAAATAAATAAACAAAAGGACTATGACAATGGTAGATACGGATTATAATTGAATTTTTTTACGAAAAAATATATAATATAATATAAGCCAGATAGAATATGTGTGGAATCTGATAAAACAAAGAGTGGCCGAAAAGAACGTCGATCAGCTGGAAAAATAATAGAAATATTAGCGCGTCAAGCAATATGGTGTGTCTTGCCTGGAATAGTGGTGTTGAGAGTAGTGGTGCTTGGTCTAGTGGTGACGGAGTTAGTGTATGCAATTGAGGGAGGGCGGGAGGTGCGCTTCAATCCAGGTAAGACACATCATTTTATATGTTTAGCGGAAAGTTGCAAAGAAATTTATATTTTTATTTTTTATTAAAATGATTATTGGACGAGGAAGGTAACGAATGAAAATTACTTTGAAGAGATTATAATTAATATTGGACTGAACAGCGATCGTGAAAGCGATAGCTGCTCCGGTTGCAACAATGATCATGAAGACAACAGTGGGATGTCCGGAATCGAAGTGCTCTCAGACGATTCTGGTGAAGGTTCAATTTAATTTTCAAAGATTACAAACTGTAAAAAATAGATATTTAAAGAGTTTCTTGAAATATTTTTTGACTGTTATTTAAATTAATATAAACTTAACTTCGTGATTAATTTACTAATCTATACTTATAAAAAACAATTTTATACAAACGAAGCCAGTGCGGGTTACGAGGTATAAATGTTATTTCTAAATTAATGTGTCTAGTCTTATGTACTCGTGTAAATAATTGTAATCAAATTTTTCCATTTGATAGAAAATTTCCAATTACCCGAATAATATACCTAGCGTTTTAATTAACATAATAACGATATATCGTTATTAGCGGGTTTTCGTTATTTGTATTGTGCATGTTGACGGTACGGACTCAATGGTCGCCATATATAATCCCATTCTTTATCCGTACGTGCTATACGTGTAATATGTATATTATTCTGTATAAAATGTTAAGGTAGGACCGCACTAGGCGGCACTGCACCGCAGCGGAACTGGCTACACATTGGGTCAACATATTCTTTATACGAGAGCTTTTCCTTTTTCTTTATAAGCGGCAACAGAACTGCGCAGCAAAGTTGATCAACTGACCAACTCGTGTCGCTCAGTTTCGCTACGTTGCAGTTCTGCCTAGTGCGGGCCCATCTTTAAGAATGTAAGTGTTACCGAGCGAATGCGCGTCGCGGCAATGCGAGTGCGGCGGACACTGCAGATCGGCGCAGGCGGCGGCGGGCGGAGCGGCGGGCGTGGCGGGCGGCGCAGCGGGCGGGGCGGGCAGCGGCACGTCGCAGTGCGGCGGTGCCCAGCCGCGCGCGCACACGCAGCGGTAGCCAGCGCCGCCGTCCTCCTCCACGCACGCACCGCCCGCGCCGCACGGGCCCGACGCGCACGCGGACATCTGCACGCAGGCGCACACCATACAAATCACTCACAAGATTTTGGCATATTAAACGAATCACGATTCATCAATATTCACTCTTACGCTATAAAAATCATTGAACACAATTAAATATGCAACACCAACTTTTATATAAATATATGTACCTATTCCATGACACACGTCAGTGCATACCCGACAACGAACAACCTACACTCGTTTCATAACCCAACGACTTGATGAATTAGATCAATGAAGGTTCAACAGTTAATTTTTGAAGAATTTTAATTATCCTAATAATCACAATTATTCAGAGTTACAAATTTCCTCTCAAAGCTTATTCAGAGTATCTAGGAGCATATTATTTATAGTCTTCCCTTTTTGTTATAAGTTTTAAGAATGCTTCTGATTTCGTCAATTAATTTATAACTCTTATTAAAATATAAACAATTACTTGCGAATTTAAATGAACAAGTTATTCTGTTTATCTACCACCCTAAAGTGAATACTCGGAAACGCGTGTTCGTTTTACACCCTAAACGGGGTGAATAATCGAATTCACAGTGTAGATCGGAACAAAAATTTATAATTATAATCTGTGGGTAACCGCGGTTAACTGTGACATCTGGACGTTGAACACTTCTGCTCCCCCCTGACCATGGGTGCTGTAAAGTGCTCGAAAAGTCGGGACTATAAAAAGTTACTATACGTGATAAAATCCGTAAGAACTAGTTTTATTTAAATGTGTAGTGTTCGCGTAAATGTAAGAAGTCATCAATGTTTGATTGTTGTTCCATCTTTCCATACTTTAGCATATTATTGGTTAATTTATAATAAAAACAAACTTAAACAAAAAAATTCATATTACCGTATTGCATTTAAAACAAATTAAACTTCCTTGTATTAAATAATAATAAATAATTTATAAATTCTGCAATATGTCCAGAAAATCACCAACAATAATTTCATTATTGTGTAGAAGAAATTTTATATCCTGAATAAATTCATCTCTTTATTACTACAGACGTGTTAGCAAAGAACTGGGCGTTTTTAGTAGCAATCCAAAAACTTTACTAAATTTGGATGTTTGTCTTTAACTTCATTTGAAATAGTTATACGCTAGCATTCTAATTAGTTTGTAGTTCTTTGAGGAACTACGTATTAATTCCAAACAGCCACATAATTTTCATTCTTGAGCCATGTCTTTTCATGGTATTTCACAAACGTCACCATATTATCATCATTATTCAAGAACGACTTTACAAACAGCTATCATGTTTCTATAAACGACTGTACTCAGGCGAGGGAGAGAATTAAAAGAATAATAGTACACGAATTTCGAATATCCATTTCATCCATTCATTTTAAACAATAAGAACACTAACTGCCCATATTATATAAAAATATTATGTCTATTAAGTCCATTTATCTATTTCTGGCATGCATGCATTACTATGTTCTGGTCTGAGGGCTAACGATAACAACACATTCGTTCCTACTTTCTTTTTTTTTTTTGAAGCTGGTTGCAGTTGCCAATGTTATCTTATCATCAGGTTGTATAAAATAATGTGAAATTAGCTTCGTCGATAATATGCCCTATTTTCCATCGCCGCGTGTTGCCATCTATGAGCAGCTCAGCTCATCCCCCCCCCTCACCACCCACGAGCCCACCTGTTGGCAGTGGTCGCCGGTGTAGCCGGGCAGGCAGGCGCACACGTAGCCGCCGTACGTGTCGTAGCACGCGCCGTGCCCGCACACCAACCGGTCCTCCTCGCACTCGTTCACGTTCACCGAGCACCGGGGGCCCGTGTACCCTGCACAACGAACATACGCACCTTCTCAACATCTTTGAGTTTTTCGCGGCGACGACGATAAAGGCGACAAACGAGCACACGGTCCACCTGATGGTAAGTGGATGCTGTGGCCTACGGACATCTATATTGATCCTCAATTAAGATATCAAAATGCAAATGCGTTGTTACCCTTGACAATCACCACACGTGGCTCTATCACCTATGAAAGCATTTAAATGATGGTGTTGTAAGCACAAATGGGTCGGCTCGATCGGGGTAAGACCACGCTCTAACAGAAAACCTGCGTAAAATAACAGCTTAATGCTGCTGTGTTTCGTATAATAAATGTAGAGGACCGCAAACCCCTTTTACTGGAAACGAAGTATTCCGTCTCAGTCTTCAGGGCTGACAATGCATCTGCATTTTGATTTTTAATCAAAAATAAAAAATCAAAACACACAATCTTTAGACTAGTCCTAATCGACTGGACATCCACAGAAAACAGCAGACTGCTCCATGGTGCAGAGGTATTAGCAATGAGTTATGGCGCTGAGGGCAACGGATTCGAATCACGCATGAAACAGGTATTCGTATTGCTTACATATAATAGTTCCGGGTCTAGATGTTTGTCCATACGCAATTTATGGTTCTCTTGTATCGTGGGACGATACAAGAGAAATAAAAAATTGTTTAACATTTGAACTTCAAACTAACAACGCGTCTGGGATCGACAAAATCTTCTAGCGTTTTTTAGGAAAAAGGGGCATCAAAGAAAACAATGCCTAGTTCAAATTAATCAACCTGAACACATTCTAGTTTATTCTCTGTTGCATGAATACTTATCATATTTAATTATTGAAAATCGTACATTTAATGTGCTCAAAATATTTTGTTATTCCTTAAGTAGTTCTAAATACTATACATTGCTTGCGTACTATAAAATTCAATATTGAACAATACTAATAATAATAATAATGTCCTCCAGACCGAATTCCGGCCACGGCGGCCTGCCTCAGCGGAGGCTAGTCATCGGCGCAGGACGGGATTATAGTACCCAAGTGTATGCGCAAGCACAAGTGCACTCTCTATTCCCTCACTTTCATAACGCGATGGGCCGGTAAACCGACACGACCGGAGAGAGATCAGGCGCAGGAACAACGGCTTTTCGTGCTTTCTGAGGCACGGGGGTGAGACACCGCCAACTTTCCTGACTATGGACAACTATTTACGAATTTCTTGACGGAAAAACTCAATAATTAATTTTTTGGCCCGACCCGGATTCGAACCTCATGATCAGCAGTCGCACTACTACAACCACTAGACCAACGAGGCAGTCCTATGTCATATGGATGTAAAATTTGAACTAAAAAGTGGTTTACTATATAAGTAATTGAAAGGATTCATTTTTATACCTAGGAGTCTTTTCGGCGCCATTTAATTTATTTTATATAATACAATTTTTCTAATTTACACCCCCTCAAATTTATATATTTCGGGTATTCGTATTCCCCTCACCAGCTCGATTAGTACACAGGATGTCCCAGGAAACCTGTACCAGCGAAGGTCTGTGGTATGGGGATACCAATATATATATATTTTTTTATTTTTTTTTTTTTTTTTTATATATATATATATATTTTTATATATCTATATATATATATACACCATAATAGAATTTCTGTTTGAGATGAATTTTTATTTGATTTCAACTAGAAAAAAAAACTTAACCCTGACTGAATAACTTTCTGATAATTTCAAAGCTTAATGGGTTCTTTAGCTTTCAAAATAACACAAAAAGTTACTACTTTATAGGGAATTTTCATGCGAAAACGGAGTTAAAGTCGATAAGAGAGAAATTTATAAATGTTAGATAAAAATATTTAAAACAACGCAATTAAAGTCAAATCAAAATAATTTTTTCACGTTGTGAAAACAACAGAAATAATTTAAAGAAATCGTTTGTTTATTACTGTTTTCATAATAAATGTTCAAAGTGGCTGCCACCTGCCTCAGTGCACAAACGGCACCGACGCAAGAAATTACCGCGCAAATGTCTATGTCTAATGTCAACACTTGGGTGCTTTGTCTTATTATTTCTTGAGCTTTATTTAAGTTGGATTTTTAATCCTCCAAACTCGAGAAATTGCGATGGTACACATATTCCTTATAGCATCCTCACATACAAAAATCTATAAGATTTAGGTCTGAGGATTCACAGAAACCACTACAGGAATAATTTCGGTCGGCAGATCAGATTAATCAGGTCAGAATTGTGTAAAATGGAAATCAGTAGTGTCTGCCTAGTCAGGGTTTACCTGTGTGGGTGCAGTCGCAGGTGTAGTTGTTGACAGCGTCCAGGCAGCGGCCGCCGTGCAGACAGGCGAGCGCGCCGGCGCCCGCGCACTCGTCCACGTCCACCTCGCAGTCGCGCCCCGTGAACCCTGCGCCACAACACCACGATACCAACCAACCCACAACCATACATGTGCTAGATCCACGCTGCAGATGTACTATGCTTGTACCACCGGGAATGACTACGCTCTAACAGAATACCAGCTTAAATAGCAGCTCAATGCTACTGTGTTTCATATGGTGAGTGTAGAGAACTGGCGCCCTTTTTACTGGAATTGAGGCATTTCATCTTGGTTCAGGGGGACAACGCAACGCATTTTGTACATGTCCACGGGCCACAAGATCCGCTTACCATCAGATAAAATGTGTACTCGTTTGTCACCCTTAGTATATAAAAAACCACACTTTCGCGAGTATCACACAATACGTCACATCGAGTGAATTGTAAAGAGCAGGCGCTAAAGCATACATTTGTTGGAGAATTCAGCCATATCCACCACGCTGACAGGTGGGTTAATGAATCCAGAACAGGTAACCTCACACTGATGCTACTTCTCATCCACAGTTTTTCAGAACCACAAATTTCAGAAAATTTCAAGCATTTTGGAAGGATTTTCCACCTTTACACGTTCGCCAAAGACTCGTCCTTTAGTTAAAAAATGCATCAAGTAAAGTTACAGCCTATATACGTCCCACTGCTGGGCACAGGCCTCGGCTCATTTCTGAGAGGGTTTTTGTCTTATGCATCAAGTGCAAATAAAGTTGATATTATTGTGGAGATAAATTTCACAAATTTTCTCTTATTTTTCATTTTCCCCGTTTTTTATTTTATCATTTTACTCTACCGATTTCGCTGAACGGTATCTTCAGGGTATATGAATTGCAAAAACAGCAAATAACATGAGCCAAAACCTATTGAGAAAACTATTAAACTAGTCAACCTCATAATTAAAAGACGGAGTTTTCCAAAGTTTCCCAAAGATATTATAGATATTTATATTGTGTATTTTCATTTTTTAAAAGTCCTACTGAATATAGGTCTCCCTATAGATTACCCTACATGTTTGCTATAGTTGCTACATTCTCACAGCAGGTTTTTGTTATTTAAATTTGTTATCAATACATAGCACAGAATGGCTAGTACTTATTGAAAACATTTAAATAATTAGAGGGACAACAATAAACGATATTATGTGAAGATCAAAAATATAAAATGTATGTATGAATATGTAAAATAGAATTCAACTAAATAACTATAGTGTATTGTATTATAATTTGCCAGATAAATGGTTGTTAGTTAGAAAAAAGCCTTTTTATACTATAGTCAACCAAATAAAAAAAAAAACAAAAAAAAATTACGTGACATAGCTGTTCCAAATGAATTAATCACCACGTTGAAATATTGGTATGGCCATCAAGTTAACCAGGTCAAATGGTCTGGTGCGCTATCTGACGAATACATTTTGGAATGCGGGGTGAGGCAGGGGGGGTTATCCTCGCCTTTGCTGTTCAGTCTCTACGTTGACGGGCTCATTGGTGCACTCAGTAGCACCAGGATAGGCTGTTCCATTGACGGACAAATGGTTAATAGTATTAGCTATGCTGATGACATGGTGTTGCTGAGTCCATCGGTGAGCGCATTGCGTAAGCTGTTGGCCGTCTGTGAAGTATACGCTGCTAAATACGGTCTCCTCTATAACACCAAAAAGAGTGAGTTAATGGTATTTCAAGTTGGTGCTAAAAAACCCCAGGTTGTGCCTCCAGTCAAGCTCCTTGGGGTGCCATTAAATAGGGTGTCACAGTTTAAATATTTAGGACACATTGTTACAGAGAATCTTACAGACAACTGTGATATAGAGAGGGAGCGGAGGGCATTGGCGGTTCGATGCAATATGGTTGCCCGCAGGTTTGCTAGGTACTAGAGAGGTCAAAATTACTCTTTTCAAGGCTTACTGCCAAACCTTTTACACCTGCAGCCTGTGGTATAGCTATACGCAAAGGGCTTATAATGCACTTCGCGTCCAATATAATAATGCCTTCAGGATGTTGATGGGCCTTCCCGTGTTTTGCAGTGCATCTGGCATGTTTGCTGAAGCGGGTGTTGACGATTTTCATGGCATCATACGGAAGCGAATATCGTCCAGCTGGCGCAGATTGCGGGGGAGCTCAAACGGGGTCCTGAACGTAGTTAAAGATAGGCTTGATTGTCCCATTCAAGGGCATTGGACTCAAATGCATATGGGGGGGGACACTTAAGTATCTTAATTAATATTATTAAAATTTTAAGTTATTTAATTTGATTTAATTTAATTTACTAACATAGTTTTTAAGAAATTTACTAACAAATTTGTATGGATTTTTTAATCTGAAATAAACGTTTTATTATTATATTATTATTATTAAATCTAAGAAATACATTTTGACAGCTGTCAGACTTATTGCACCAAGCATGCCGTCCAAAATATGGCAACGTACAATATTCGATTCTTAAAAATTGTAATCATTCAAAAGTTGGTAATCATTTACAGTTTGGTTTGAATAATACCAGAATAAATTAAAAACGGATAATTTAAAACACAAGATTTATCAGTTTCTTCGTATTTGTTGTTACTGCTTATTTCTATAGGCACAGTTATAAAAATTTTAGATGGAACAAAATAAATTTATCAATTCATTATTAATTCAATCACTTTCAGTACAACTAGTAGAGACGTCGTCGTTTATATTAATTATCATTTGATTTTCAATAACGCAGTCAAAATTAATGTCTCTTTCAAAGTCATCCATAATCATTTTTTTTTGTTTTTTCTACCACTTTTGCCCAATCATGCTTTTTGACATGGGCACATGCTTCAACGAATATTTTTTTATAGCATTGGGTGACAAACGAGCACACAGTCCACTTGATAGTAAGTGGATGCTATGGGCCCATAGACATACATATTTATCCTCAATTAATAATCAGAATGCAAATGCGTTGGTCACCCCTGACTAAGATGAAATGCCAGTAAAAAGGGTCTCCGGTTCTCTACACTCATCATACGAAACAGAGCAGCATTACACTGCTATTTTACGCTGGTGTTCTGTTAGAGCATGTTCCTGCCTCAGTTGAGCCGACCCATTCGTGCAACAACTATAATATAGATGTAGCGTGACTCTACCACGTACAAAAAGTTATTATAGAGGAAACAGTCCAAAAAGTTAAAGCCGAGTCACAAAATTACGCATTACAGCTCTCGAAACAGAAACAGAAACTTTTTTTATTCAATATAGATTATGAATAATACTTATTGAAAGTCATTTCTTTCATTTACCACCGGTTCGTAAAAAAAACTCTGTCCTGGGAAGAACCAGCAAAGAACCCAACGGCACTAGTTTTTTTTTTTTTTTAAAATAACAGCTAACAATCATGCGTGTTACAATTAACAACACTTCTCTTCCCGAGGGTTATTACCATCCATAAATTCCTTAATATTAAAATAACCCTTTTTATACAAACTTAGTTTAATAAAGTTTTTGAACTTTGTACTTACGTCAAATTTTGTATATTTTCTGGGATTTTGTTGTAAACCTATACATCGCCCCAAGAACCAAGAATGAATTACTGACTCTGTAGAGTCGAGTAACTGGTACCGAAATGGCGGGATATTGAATTTATGTAGTGGTTATTTTAGCACGGCCGTGTATATGAGTTTTTTGCCTACATAAAAATTTGACAAAGTAAAAAAAAACTTGTTTTATTCATTATTCAGGTAATTTAAGGAATTTTGGAAATAAAAATTAATTAAACAAATAATACATTAAAAAAATTAATGATTCGATCATTTGAAAATTTTTACCGATTATTTGAATATTTTGCCGATTATTCGTATAAAAATGAATTTTAATCATCCAAACACTACGGTAATATACATAGCGACATATCATTGAAACGACGACAAGTAAAAAAAAATTAATACTTGTTATTTTTTAATATCTTGCTTTGTTTGAAAAAAATCTAATTTAAATTAGTTATAAAAAACTATAAACAATGTAATGAAATATAGATAACTTCTTAAATCAAGTTATTTTAAATCATGTGAGTACGCTGGTGAAAAGTTATTACGGAATGATTTATGTGAAACGTCAAAAGGTTTTTCTTAGATTTGGTTGACTATAATACGTGAATATCGAAAATTTTCGTAAGTGATTTATTATAAAGAAGGATACTGTACCATATTTTTTATTTAACATAACTAATACTCCCTAACCATTCAAATGATAAACTCATATGTACTCATATATATGCGTTAAAAGGGAATGAGTTGTGTTAAGAGTGGTCACCACAGCAGTCGAATGGCGGATTCGAACTTGCGACTTTCTGAGTTTGCGATCTGAGCTCTTAGACTACTGTCTTATCAAAGAAAAACAAAAATTATGTGCGTATTACATACTATTATGATGTGGGTCACTATTTTAAGCATGTTCATGGCTGTTTACTGTGTTCGAATAAATGGTTAAATGGTCAAATTTCGACCAAAAGCAAGTCATTATCACAAACCCGTATTGTCAGTGTCCTGTGGATTAAATTGAACTTTCTTTAGGAATGCCTTAATATTACGTACTATCGTTATTTCAGAAGAGAATCATCAACGTGCGTGCATGTGCATGTGCATGTGCGTGCGTACGTGTATGTGTACGTGCGCGTGCGTACGTGTATATGTACGTGTGTGTGCGTACATGTACGTGTGTGCGTGCGTACGTGTATGTGTGTGTGCGTGCGTGCTTACGTGTGCATGCTCGCGTACGTTTACGTGTATGTATAAGTGTGCGTGTGAGTTCATACGTGTACGTGTGTGCGTGCGTACCGGGCGGGCAGTCGCATACGTAGGAGTCGGCGCCGGGCGGTACGCGGCAGCTGGCGTTGTTGCGGCAAGGACCCGCTACGCACTGCGGGTCCAGCGACACCTCCAGCTCGCAGTAAGTGCCTGCACATAATGCACTCACCTATATACGATCCTATTTTATTACATCTTAAACAGTCAACTGCTTAACGAAAAATGTGGTGTATTCACCACGTGAACTGTCGACGCCGTTACAGATTCTCGCACCGAAACTTTAAAACTGCTCTCACTTTTACTGGTTTACTTGGCATTAGGAAAGTTTTCTCTGATATTAAGTCGTTTTAAGTAACTAAAAATATGAGGAAAAAGCAATTATAAAATTAATTCGTTATGTCATTTATAATTAACACCCCGCAGTTGTTGCGTTGTTTGCGCGAGCGAGCAAGCGAGTGAGAGACCGCGCGCGTTTTTCAGCCGGGCGCGCAGAGGCAAGTGTAGTCGCCACGCGCGTCCTCCACGCAGCGGCCGGCGTGCTGGCACGATGCGAGCGAGAGGGAGCACGTACCGTGGTAGCCGGGCGCGCAGAGGCAAGTGTAGTCACCGTGCGCATCCTCCACGCAGCGGCCGGCGTGTTGGCACGGTGCGAGCGAGAGGGAGCACGTACCGTGGTAGCCGGGCGCGCAGAGGCAAGTGTAGTCGCCGCGCGCATCCTCCACGCAGCGGCCGGCGTGTTGGCACGGTGCGAGCGAGAGGGAGCACGTACCGTGGTAGCCGGGCGCGCAGAGGCAAATGTAGTCGCCGCGCGCGCCCTCCACGCAGCGGCCGGCGTGCTGGCACGGTGCGAGCGAGAGGGAGCACGTACCGTGGTAGCCGGGCGCGCAGAGGCAGGTGTAGTCACCGCGCGCATCCTCCACGCAGCGGCCGGCGTGTTGGCACGGTGCGAGCGAGAGGGAGCACGTACCGTGGTAGCCGGGCGCGCAGAGGCAGGTGTAGTCACCGCGCGCGTCCTCCACGCAGCGGCCGGCGTGCTGGCATGGCGCCGACGCGCACGGTTCGCCCGCATCCACCTCGCAGTTGTTGCCTGTGTAGCGAGCACTGCAGTGGCACTCGTACCTGCCACATTATACGCGTGAATATACTACGTATAAGACATCTTGACATAGAGCAAACCAATTTTGTTTTATATTTTCCGATGCTGATCTGGATATTTCACATCAGGTATAAATACAAGAATGACACCGCCATTTACCAGAAGTTTTAAGAACTTTCTAGAACTTCCTATTATTGTTTCCTACTTTTGTTGACGTCTGATCAGACAAAATGAATTATTACTAATTGAAATTATAATAGCCAACAAAGATTTCTATAAAGAATAATATAATATGTATTTTGATTTAACTATATTGGCAATGGAATAAATGTTGTTATCAAGTTTATTGACATAATAACAAATAAATTCCTTATGATATTTCTCAATTATTTTTTTATGTTATCAACTTTTCACTGAAAAACACTACATTGTTGAATAAAACTAATTTCACGGATTTATTGTGTTTAATTTAAATTATTTTATTTGTTAACAATGTACAACTTTAAAGGCAGTATTAATTGTTAACAACATAACTTAGCTGAGTTTGCATTTGTCATTTTACACAATTCGCAATTAATCAGTAAATCCGATATTAAGCTGTTTCATAAGCCATAAGTCATTTTTTAGTTAAAAGTATAAGGAATTTCTATATTGAGTAATGAATTTTTTTCATTACTACATCTCAAGAAAAAAACACTTCTAACCACTAATTCCATAATGAACATCTAAGTGTTCAGAAGCTAAGAAAATTGAAATTTTCAAAAATCGGGAGGTTATTGTTTTTACCCCGTTTTTGAAATTTGAATTTTCATCAAATCTTGACATTTAGAGGTCACAGGAAGCCACCCCGACAATTTTTCGATGGTGTCTGTATGTGTGTGTGTGGATGTATGTAAACCTCATAACTTTTGAACGACTTAACCAATTGAAATGAATTAAGCGGATTTCCAGTGTTTCATCAACCTTCGATTTCCTATGAATTTTAACTAATTCGGACCGGTAGATTTTAAGAAATCACTAAAATAAATTTTTTAAAAACTGTTTTTGGAATAACTTTTAAATGGCTTTACCGATCGATTCCAGAAACTTATCAGCTTTTAACCATGTAAAACTACGTCAATCGCCGCCGGTCCGGTCAAAATCGGTTGATTCGTTTGTTCGATGTTGTGTACGATTTCGTTGAAAAAATTGTTATTTTTTTTATTAAATTACTCTGATATATCATATTCAACGTCATAATTTGGTGAAGTTTGGAGCGCTTTGTATTTGAAATTAGCGGGAAGTTCCAGGGATGGCCCGCAGGGTCAAGCAATTTTTTTACTTAATATTGAGTCTATTTTTGTATAAAAAGTTTTGATATATATAAAAGCTGTTGGATGTTTTTTAAATCTCACCTGTCATGTCTGGATATACAGGTTCCGTGTCGCATGCATGGCTCGTTGTAGCAATGATCCTTCGGCGGTATCCTCAGTACATCTTTTCTGTCGATACCTATAACCGAACAAGTGTATGTTATTACATATTAATTTATAAAATATTAATTTATTGCCGCCGTGGTGGACAAGCCCTGGGTTGCTAACGTACTGTGAAATTCACAGTGAATTGTCACAGTGCTCCAATCGTGATTAGAACCTCAAGACAATGTGTATACTTAGGCGCCTTCAGATACTATCGTCATCAACAGTCTGCTGCATCAAACTACCGACAAAATCTCTCAAAAGTTTACTATGTGATGTATAATTTCTTATTACTTGACACTGGAAAAAGCACAAGTAGTTGAGTCCATATTTTTTTTTCGGAAGACTGGTAGCAGGGTCTTACTGATACCAACCTAATATAAAAAATCACCCGCCTGGCAACTACGAATAGTGATCCAAAAGTAATATTAATAGGTTATTGCCAGTGCTCATACAAACCCAAAAAAGTTTTTTTGCTTGCTTATGTAGTATGTAACCAGGAGATCAATCAAATCAAATATCAATAAAAAACGTCACATAAATAGGCTACAATTCAAGGGAGGTTCATTCATTTGAATATGAATCATCGAAGAGATAACATTAAAATGGAGGAAATCTAAATTAGAGCTGCTGTTTAAAAAAATGTCTATCACTGAGTTTGTGGAAACATAGGGTTTCTGTTCCTCCATATTCCACAGTTGCACGCTGGACCAAGGAGTTTAAGCTGGGCAGAATATCCGGGGGAGGTGAACATCGCGAAGGACGCCCATCCACTGAAGATAACGTGAAGTCGAAGATGTCGTATTGACAGACAGAAGAATAACCATCAGGCATACAGCTGAGGTCACAGGGATCTCATATGGCAGTGTTCAAAAAATCCTTGCGAACTAATTGCATTTGAAAAAGCTCTCTGCGCGTTGGGTATCATTAATGTTAACCGACGATCAAAAGAAAAAACGTGTCAGCATTTCAAGGGTGAAACTTGAAACCATGGACGAGACCTGGATCCACCATTTTGATTATGAAACCAAACAACAATCAATGGCTTGGAAACCAGCCTCTTCTCCGATGTTCAATAACTTCATAGTGTCAAGTTCGGCGGGAAAAGTTATGGCCTCCGTTTATTGGAACCCTGAAGGAATAATTTTTGTGGAATATTTGAAGTAATACACAATTTCACCTTCTTACTACGCAGGCCAAATAGGAAGATTGAAGGAGACTATTAAGGAATAAAGACACGGAAAACTGAACGCTGTTTCACCAAGACAACGTCCTGCCCACAACGCCGCAGTTGCGATGGCTGCAATTCATGAAACGCCAGATCACAGAGACTTATTTATTTCCTCGGCTCGAGCAACACCTTCAAGGCAAGAAATTTGCAGACGATAGCGAAGTGATGGACATTGTCGAGGCTTTTTTGGACGTTCAAGATAAAGATTTTTTTTTCTGAGAATTCTGAGTTTGACCACCTAATCCTAGGCCCACCCTACACGTGTCCCCCGGGTGGTGCTAAATGAGCGACAAGCCGATAGCACAGACTCGGCTCCTCGCCGTGGTAGCGGCGTTAAATATACCATCCCATTCGCACCATGAGGAATCAAATTAAAGAAATGGCCCCGAGTTCCCGGCGCCCCTTTAATGGGGCAGGGGTGCGAAGAATCTCCGGGAGGAAAACCGGCGACGAGGCTCGCCACCCGTCACGTTCTGTCTCCCGGAGGGGCGAAAAGTGGATTGCAGAGGCCCGTCTGGCTACGTTGAATGTATGTGGAGCAATGAATGATAAAATGGATGAAGTATGCGAGGTGATGTATGATAGAGGAATAGTTTTGTTATGTGTAAATGAGACGAAACGGAAGGGGAAGGATGTCACTACACATGGCATGTATACCGCATACTGGTCTGGTGTAGACGAGCTCGAGCGGGCATGCCAGGGAGTAGGTATCATCCTATCAGAAAGAATGGTGCAATGTGTGAGAGTATGAATGTGTAAGCCCAAGACTGCTATGGATACGATTGAAAGTGGGCTTAAAGAAGTTGTTTGTGCTAGGGGTCTACGCCCCAGACATGTCTAAGCCCACTCATATCCGAGAGCAGTTTTGGGAAATGGTAAGGATGGTGTTAATGAAATGTAAGGGAAATGAAAATGTTGTTATGCTAGGAGATTTTAATGGAAGAGTTGGGGTGAGGAGGCTTGGTTATGAAAGGATATTGGGAACGTTTGGTGATGAAAGTATAAATGAGAATGGTGAAAGCCTCCTCACTGTATGTATGGAAAAGAATCTTTTTGTGACGAACACTTTCTTTCGCCACAAGAGGATTCACATGTATACTTGGGAAAGAGGTGATGATAGAAGCATGATAGATTTCATAATTGTGGATGAAAGATTGAGGGGCGCAGTGGTGGATACAAGGGTTTACCGGGGGTCGAACGTAGGAACAGATCATTTTTTTGGTTTTATGCCGAATTAATGGTCTATTCAGGCGGTGGCGCCATCGGTCATCTGTGTCTACCACTGCGTTACAGCGTATTAGAACAGAAAGATTACAAGATGAAGGTGAGAAAAACAAGTTTAAATGTAGACTGAAAGAAAACGTAAGTGGTTTGGATGAATTATGTATGAATGAGTTAGACTTGGAGAATGTATGGCAAAATGTTAAGAAAGGTTTAGTAGATGCAGCTACCGAAGTATGTGGTGTTAGTAAAAGAAAGAATGAAAGGAAAAATAATAATTTGTGGTGGTATGATGAGATACGTACGGAAGTTGAAGCAAAGAAGAGAGCATGGCTAGATTTACTAGCAACTAAGGCTGGTAATTCTAGCGGTACGAATGATGATTTTGAAAGAAAAAAAGGCAGTCTTTAGACATCTAAATAAAAGAGTAAAAGAAGTAGTTGAAAGGAAAAAGCAAGAAAGAACGGATAAGAATGATAGAAGAATATCGGATAACTTCCAGGCAAATATTAAAATGTTCTGGAAACTCGTAAGAACTGCCAGGGGACGTTCAAAACAGCCTATAATGAATGCTATAAGAGATGAGAATGGCTATATTCTGAATGATGAAGTGTTGAGTCTAAAGAGATGCAAGGAATATTTTGAAAGCATGTTTATGAGTGAGGAGACAACGTATGAACTGAATGAAATAGGAACTCCGAAAGAAGAGGAAGGAGGTAGCGAGATAAGTATAGATGAAATAATGAAAGCAATGAAAAGCATGAAAGCATGTAAGGCTGCCGGATATGATAGAGTTTCACTCGAAATGCTAAGGGCTGGAGAGGAAATGGTGGCAGGCCTGCTGCACACCTTGTTTAATGTATGCTGGGAACTGAAGCGGGTACCGGGAGACTGGTGCAAAGCCGTGATAGTCCCAGTATATAAGGGAAAAGGGTCGCAGCAGGACTGTAAAAACTACCGCGGTATCAGCCTTCTTAGCATCGTGGGAAAATTGTATGCCAAGGTACTAATTGAAAGGGTCATGAAAGAAACCGATGGAAAAATTTGGGATGTGCAAGCGGGATTTAGAAAGGGAATGGGATGTACAGATCAAGTCTTCTCCATGCGCATGATCGCGGAGAAGTTTTTGGCTAAAAACCAAAAGGTTTTTTGTGCGTTCATGGACTTGGAGAAGGCCTGTGACAGAGTGGATACGAATGTGCTATGGCAAACACTGAACTCATTTGGGTTGAGCACTGGCTTGATACAGGTATTGGAATCTCTTTATAGGGACTCTAGTGCTTGTGTTAGGATCAACGGGGTCTACTCCGACTGGTTTGGCATCCATAAAGGTGTCAGACAGGGCTGTGTGGCTTCCCCTTGGTTGTTCAACCTATTTATGGACAGTTGTTTGCAAAATTTGAAAGTTGAAGAATGCGGATTAAGAATGGGTGAGTTAACCATCAAATGCCTTTTGTACGCCGATGATCAAGTTATTCTTGCGTCGTCGGCGGCTGAGTTGCAAATGATGGTTACATTAATGAACAGATCATTAAAAGAAAGGGGTATGAAAGTGAACGCAAGTAAGACGAAAATTATGGTTTTTGAAAGAGATGAAAGTAAAACGATACTTGAAATAAGAATAGATGGGGAGTTGATCGAGCAAGTAGATGAGTTTGTATATTTGGGTTGCGTATTTAGCAGGGATGGGAGATATGATAAGGATATAGAACGACGAGTGAACGCAGGAAACAGAGTAAATGGGGCCCTGCACTCTATTGTGAAGAGTCAAAATGTGTCAAAAAAGGCACATATGGCAATTCACAATGCTGTGTTGGTCCCCACTTTAACGTATGGTAGTAAAAGTTGGGTGTGGCAGAAGAAGCACGAGAGTAGAATAAATGCAGTAGAAATGCGGTCGTTAAGGAGTATGTTAGGGCTGAATCTGAATGACAGGGTGAAGAATTGTGTGATAAGAGAAGAGTGTGGTTTGCAAGATGATGTTGTGACCAGGATTACGAAAGGGATGCTTCGGTGGTTTGGTCATGTGGAAAGAATTGATGAGGAAAGAGTGACAAAGAAAATTTATGTTGCAGAAGTGAATGGCAGAGTCGGAAAGGGACGTCCTAGGCGAAAATTTATCGACCAAATTGGCGATTTATTGAAAACGGGCCAAATTAGGAGTACCCTTAACCGACGAGCATGCATGCGTAGATGTATGGATGTGAAGGAGGCGAGAGAGGTGTGTCAGGATCGTGCCAAATGGAAGTCTGTAGTCTCTGCCTACCCCTCTGGGTGACAGGCGTGAGTGTTTATGTTTATGTTTAATTCTGAGTTTATAAAAAAATAACTGTTTATTTTTCATACATCTATTTTTAAGTAAGGTGGTGAATACTTTGGTTCTTTTAAGTAAATGTGTATTGTAAATCCGTAATTGGCTTCAAGACTATTTTATAAGATTTGTGTGTAAATAGATTGTTACAAGCTGTGGATTTTGTGAATAATAAAAATAAAAATAAAAAAAAAATGCATTGACTTGTTAGGAAACTATGTAGAAACATAAATCATTTTTTTAACTAAAATCACCACTTCTGGAACAACCCTCGTAAGGCATTTCCTCTGTACGAGGCAATCTATGGGAGAGTGCTACGTTCATCAGTGGATTTATATAGGATGTTATGGATGGCACTGGCAAAAGTACATGTAGGTAGTTTAGTTAAGTCCATTACCAAACAAGAGTAGATAATTTCGTATTACTTGACACTGGCTATATATATTTTTCATTTCATTTAATTTTTTTTTAAAAACGTTATCCCAACACTAGGATTTTCTCCTGTATCGTGGGGGCAGTTTACAAACATAAATTGCACAAGGAAAAACATCCAGACCCGGAACAATTATTGGTAGGTCATACAAATACTTGTTCCGTGCTGGATTCGAACCCTCGACCCCCAAGCTCAGCCACTCATTGCTAAGCCACTGCGCCACGGAGTCGTCATATATATATATATATATATATATATATATATATATATATATATATATATATATAATATTATTTATATATAGAATAAGTGTGACAAACGAGCACACAGTCCACCTGATGGTAAGTGGATGCTGTGGCCCATAGACATCTACATTTTTCCTCGATTAAGAATCAAAATGCAGATGCGTTGTCACCCCTGAGGACTAAGATGGAATGCCTTGTTTCTAGTAAAAAAGGGCCTTCAGAGCTCTATACTTACCAAACGAAACACAGCAGAATTATGCTGTTATTTTACGCTGGTATTCTGTGAGAGTGCGGTCCTCCCCCGGTCCCGGTGCTACAACCACAGCCGCAACGTAGCTCTACCACATTGCAGCTATATTATGTATGTTGTGCACGTTGCACTAGTTAAGTTGACTACATAACCAAAGTTAAGTATTATATTTAACTTAACTACTTGCTTCTGCCAGTGTAATAAAAAATATACTTTAAGTATATGGTTATAGTTACAGTCGTCGGTGGTGAGCGGGCAGTTTCCAAAAGTGACGTTGCGATGTTGCATATTTGCTGCGTGGAACTCGAGCTGCGGGCCCTCGTGGATGCAGCCGCTGAACAAGTTTCCTACCAGCAGCACCGCGCCGCCCGCCTCCAGTGCGCCCGGCGACAGCAGCTCCGGGTTCCACGTCACGTTCGCGATTACCTGCATACGTATATGGGCACATTTTTTATATAGAATAAGGGTGACAAACGAGCACACAACCCACATGTTGGTAAGTTAATGGTGAATGCTGCAGACATCGGTCATCTTCAGTTAAGAATCCAAATGCAGATGCGTTGTCACCCCTGAGTATCAAGATGAAATGCCTCGTTTCCAGTTCTCTACACTCACCATACGAAACACAGCAGCACAAAGCTACTATTTTACGGTGGTAATCTGTGATACTGTGGTTCTTCCCCGGTAGAGCTGACAAATTCGCGCTACAACCATAATATTGCTGCAGCGTGGCTCTACCACGTAAAAAAAGCTCCCGTTACGTTTTTTACGTTTTTAAAGTATTTGATAAGATTAAATATAGGACTCAATCCTCAGTTAGGAGACTCTGCGACAAACGCTCACGAGAACGAGCTGATAATATCATAGACTTTGACGTGGGAAGACTGTAAATGTGTCGTTGATCCGTTAGCTCAATAAATGCAATGAAACTTCAACAGTTATGTGAAAACTAAACGGTGATAATAATAAAATTATGTCTGAATTTCGGTCACGGCGGCCAGTTTCAACGAAGACTAGCCATCTGCGCAAGACAGGATTATAGTACCCGATTGTATACTCAAGCCCAGGTGCACTCTCTAATCCTTCACTCATTGTCCGACGGAACGACAAGCCGACATGACCGCAGAGAGATCGGGCGCAGGACCAATCGCTTAACATGCTTTCTGAGGCACGGGGGTAAAACCAACTTCCCGACTCCGGGCTGCTACTGCTAATTACGCTGTAGTATAATAAGTCTATGCCAATAACTGATTTTAGCCCAACCCAGGATTCGAACCCGGGACCTCACGATCAGCAGTCGCGTTTACAACCACTAGACCAATGAGGCAGTCATATCATAAAACATGGTATTGAGCTACCTGTATCCATTAACTTCCTGCGTATCTTACTAGGTCGTTACTCCATCAAATTGGGGCTAGTAAAGGATGTAACTAAGTACTAGAGTAAGAATAATTCAGAAAGAAAATACCAAGTGAGATAATGTGCCAATTTATATTTATATAGTAATCGCAGATGAATTTACACATCTCAATTTGTGTACGTTACTTGATGAAGTTATGTCAGACATAATCTGCTGTGTCATGCGTATAAATGACCTTTGTCTTTATTTCGCGTGGATTGCAGTCTTAAAAGATTCGACGTTGGCGGAAGAGCGGTCAGTGTACGTGCGGTCATTTCAAAACAACAAAACTTTTTTACGGTTTTTAATTTATATTGAGTAAGTATCAACTCTTTTAATTCTTTTGTTTTGCGCATGACTGCATAACAACAAAGCTCAATTATATTGTCTTAAAGTTTGTGACCCTATCTATGTGTTCAATGTTTTAATTGAATCACACACTACAGGAAGTCTCCGAATAGGGCGATGCCAATCTTGTTAAATTCAACGCCTTCAAACCACAAGTGTGTCTCTTTACTGAAAAAGGAGCCAGCTCATCTTGACTCCTTCTTTCCGAAGTGTATCATTAGAAAACACCGACCACCTTCAGATGAGATTTCTTCAAACCCGAATTTCGGGCAGTTCATTGAATCTAAGGCTAAAGCTGCATGAAAGTAAACGGCGGTACTTTACATCGGGACAGATGCATAGTATATAAAAAGCGCAAGTTCGGTCGTGCATGGAGTATTGCTTCCATTTATAAGATGCTGCTACAAAATGCCACCTAGCCGCTTTGAACTCAATGGAAAGGCTTGGTAAAAGGTTTATTGGTGATCCGAATCTGGTTTAAGCCAATTTCTTCAGTTTCGAACACAGGTAAAGTAGCCAACCTTTCGGTTTCTACAGGATACATATCGGAGAGTTAATTTAATTCCTCCCTTCCCTTGCCAACATCGGACAAACAGGCGGTTGGCGAATCTTTACACCTTTGTTGACGATATTCCACGCATTCGAACCAAATGTTTTGCTTCGTCTTTCGTAAAGCGTACAGCAAAGGAGTGGAATAATCTGCCGAAGTCTATCCTACTGTTCGATTACAATCTGGGCGTCTTCAATGGAAGAGGGCTTTTGTTAACGCTGCATCACCACTTACCATCAGGGGGGGGGGACAGTAGTCACGCAATGGCTTATAATAGTAAAAAAGCAAAGTACGTAACAAGTAGGTACGTTCAGTGTGCACTTATACAATTTTATATTTTATTACAGTATTGTTCCTTTTAGACATGTCGTATTTATATCATGAATTCAGATTATCAGATTCAGATTCAGATATCATGCATAACACGTTAAATTTTAATACAATTTAATTCCGTACCATCATTATATTTCAAAATGCTTTGAATTTACTTTACATCTAAACCCGTATGTCGGACACAGCCTGTCTTTTGAACAACGATAGTCTTGAGGTGGGTATACTCTAGACGAGCCGAGCACGAGCGGAGCATGAGCCGAGCACAATTTCGTGTAGTGTGGACCGACTTACAAGCCTCGAACGAGCGCGCTTCGAGCGTTTGGTTCGTGCTCGACTGTGCTCTACCTATTGTCGGTTTTTTGATTTGCATGGCATGCATCGATTTGCATGTCGTAGGCTAGTTGTACGTCCACACTTGACACCGCCAGTAGAGCGGCTCAGCTTGTGCTCAGCTCGTGCTCGGCTCCTCTAGCGTAACCTTTGAAACTAACGCGTTTACAATTTATTGTTACTTTAATATTTAGTTATATTACTGTATTTCGCCTTTTAGTGACGGCATTTGCTAACTGAACTGGTCGTTTTTAATAGTACATAAAATTTTAACTGTTAAGTACACAGACCTAATAGTAATATGTAGATAACGGTGTTGATGAATGATGAAACGTTGTTGTATGATTATTAAGCTTAAATATATTATTGTGTTGGATAATAGGTTTATATTTTACAATTGTTTGTTATCCCTAATGAAGAGAAAAAAATCATACAGAAAGTAGTAAAGGGCGACGGAGCGAAATTAATCAGGAGATGGGTAGCAACTACTTTCTGATATAAAATCAAAATAATAAAACTGCGTTCGCCAACCCGCCTCCTGCAAAGCGTGGTAAACATGCATAACAATTCATTTATTATATTCTATCAGAAGCACATTTCTGAACATAAGCCAACTAAACAGATTTAATAGGGGAGGGGAGGGGTTGCCATGGTTTCGGCAACTGCAGATTTTTTTATTTTGTTTAGTTGTTATCAGGAAGATGCTGCCGCCAATCTCTCCTTTCAATTTTCTTTGTCACCCTTTATGAAATCCATAACATGTGGCAGTGAATTCTCCCACGCCGACAATACACGCTTTGAATGAATATTACTGTAGTTAGATTTATACATTTCCTGCCACAACATAAAATCAGTTCAAGGTTAGATAGGTAAAATATTATTACGGGCAGCAAAATAATAATTTCCTCCCCAGCACTAGTAACAAAACCTGAGAACAAGATTATGTAACCAGTGCATTGCCAATGATGAAATAAGGATCTTATACCTTAGTCCTTCACAACTGATAAAGTGAGAGAGGTTATCGAGTAGCAACCTCGCACCAGTCCCCCCGATGGATAGACGACTGTATTACCGTCTCAACGAACAAAGAGAGTGAGGGAATAAGCAGTGCAACTGTACTTGCGCATACACTCAGACACTTTAATCATCTCCTGCGCAGATTTTTACTTTGGTTATGATGCAGGAATACCTGTGTGTCCTTATCGACCGCGAGCAGGAGAGACAGCGGCTGTACTGGGTACTAAAATATGAATTCTATTCTAAGTGAAGAGATACCTGTGTGTCCTTATCGACCTCCAGCAGCAAGGAGAGTGGCTCCGGGCGGTAGCGCAGCGCCACCCAGTGCCAGTGATTGTCTAGAGTCTCACGCGCGAGCCCCACCTCGCGCTGCGGCTGCCCGGGCCGCGCCCACGATACCACCACCTGCTCGAACAGCGCCGTCATGTGCAGCGTGTATCCCTCGAACCGCTGCGAGAACAACTCTCCGCCTGGAACGTACAAAACTTTTTAACGCACCCTCTTAATTCTTTTAAACGTGGCAGAGCCACACTGCAGCTATATTGTGGTTGCAGCACGAATGGGTCGACTCGACCGGGGTAGGATCACACATAATACCAGCGTAAAACTTACTACTGCTATGTTTTATACTATTGTAGAGAATCGGATTATTACTGAAAATGTGACATTCCATCTTAGTCCTCAGGTGTCGTCCCTGTCAACGCATCTGCATTTTGACTGCATGATGATGTATGATAAATGTACATGTCCATGGGCCACAGCATTCACTTACCATCAGGTGGACTGTGTGCTCGTTTGTCACCCTTAGGGAGTAACCACATCTACGGATGAGGCATCGCATCGGTTTAAGCCGAGTACGTATCACCACATAACTCAGCTTAACGCCCATCAGCTGTTGCGACTCCTGCTCATAAGCGATTGGCAGTTACTCCTTCGAAAGGCCGTCGCGACGACTGTTCAGTTGTATTCGGCAGTTGATTCCCCAGAACGGCCGTTGAGATGCCTGTTCTCTTACATTCGGCAGTCGATTCCTCCCAAACACGTCAACGTGGGCGTTCAGCTACACAAACCGACAAACCGCTCGTATTGCTGTCGGCCGACGTCGCGTCGCGTCGCATCGTTCGAGCGACACCAATTCGTGTTATAATTATTAAGTTGGAGCATTATTCTACAACTAAATTCTTTCAAATAAATAGAATACAATTAAAAACATAAATGTGAAGAGGGGAGTGGGGGGTGGGGGACATTCGGTATTGTCGGCTTCGCCGATAAGGAGTTTATATCTTAACTGGTGGCAAGTCTCATATAACTTCCAGTCAAGCTCCATAGCAGTTCGCCTAAACTTGACAAAGCTTGACACATACTAGTATGATTATGAAAATCTCGTAGCGATCGATTAATTGCTTTTACATAAATTGTTATTCGTTACGGACTTTCGAACAATCATTCGTTGCGCAATATCATACGAGCAAAACCATATAAATACACAGCTGGTCGAATCACGTTTGCGGCAGCTTAGGAAGGGTTGAAGTGGAAGGAGACGACGACTTTTTCCTATATTATTTTTATTTTCTAACTTATTTACAATTCAACTTTACTACTACTGTGACAATGTGAGTACTTAACTTACAAACTAACTTAATTACTACTGGGCTGTCTTAACAATTATACCTAGGTTTTTATACTGTATTGAATATTCTTACGTAACGTAAGAAAATTGAATCAATCTTTAAAGACGTGCTGGTTTTTCCTTAGCAGGCGGTAGGTGACTTCCTGATGGTACTGTGTTGAATATTCTGCTGTTATTTGCTTAGCAGGCGGTGCTGTATGGTAGGTGACTTCCTGATTGCTTGCAAGGTCTTGATGGGCAAATGTAACTAATCGTCACAAACAGAATAACTATGTTGGTCAACAGCGCCATAGAGTTTAGAATTTAGATCATATCAGAATATAACATATAAAATACTAGCGACATGCCCCAACTTCGACTCGATAGGATTTTAATTTTTATAGGATAAGAATAACAGTAACAGTCCGCCTGACGGTAAGTAGTTCCTATGGCCCATATAGGCTGTAACTTTTTAACTTTATTGCTCTCCGTCTGTTTGTAGTTTCATCACAAGCGGTTCATCCATTCCGAAGATAAGTCCGGACAGAGACAGACAGACAAAAATTTAAAAAAATGGTTAATTATCTATCCATACTTATAAAATGCTTTGTCCTGAATGATTGATTGATGGACGAAGGGTAGAGACCTGAAACGTGGAATTTGTGTTCTTTGTATGATGGAGGCATCAGATGAAAAAGGATTTTCCGAAATTCTACCCCTAAAGTGGTGAAAAGCGAGGGCAAATGTTGTATAGGAAAACGAAAATTCCTTGTTCCAATCTACTTCAAATTTTGCATAAACATCCTTTAACATTTTGTTTTTTCTTTATAAAGAACATTTATTGCAATCCTCGATGGGATGAGATGCTTTTGCTTGGGCAAAAAAGTTATGATAGACACGATATAATACTTAGGGTTTTTTACCTCAAAGTTAAGAAAACAATGACACATCTAACCAAAGGAAAAATATTTGGAGATGTACGTTGTTTTATGATCTCTACCGAATGGCAGAAACGGAGTCAGCCTCACACACACATATTGTTGTGGATGGCTAACTGTATTTTGCCTGACATGGTGGATGAAAGGTGGTGGATGGTGCTGAGATACGAAATCTAAATGAAGATCCTATTTTATACGACATAATTAAAAACAATATGATACACGGGCCATGTCGGAACCTTAATAATAATTCTCCCTGCATAAAAGATAATAAATGTAGCAAAAAATATCACGAGTTACACAGACAGGTGACGATGGTTACCAACAGTACTTTACACTTAAATTAAAAAAACATTGAAGTAGACAATAGGTGGGTCGTTCGCTACAATAAGGTTCTGTCTGTAGAATTTTGCAATTCTGTTAAATCGATAAAGTACATTTGTAATTATACATTAATAAAGGCAGTGATCAGGCGGCTTTCGTGCCAGAAAACAAAAAGGACGAAGTCAAATTATATAAGAGTGGGTGTTATTTGAGTAGTTCGGAGGCGGTTTGGAGGATTTTAGATACATGAAAGGTTTCCCGCAATCAAACATTTAGTTGTCCACGTTGAAAATGGCCGACGAGTCTATTTTAATTCCGACGACCTCGCCGACAAAGTTAATAAGCCCACAAAAAACGACACTATTAGCATTTTTTGGTTTATGTCAGATGATTTTGCTAAATTTTATATACCTTCAGTTTGTATGGCAAAAAAATAAAATTTTGAGAAGGAAAAGGGGAAAACCCGTAGATGGCTGGCTAGGAATAATGAAAGAACACGCTCTAGGTAGAGTGCACACGGTTCACCTGAATAACACACTGTTACCATCTTCACTTACTTCTGCACGAGGTTGAGGGTCCATCTTCCTTCGATGACTTGAAGACTGTCTACGGCGTCCTCCAACCAACTTTTCAATTAGCTTGCATGAAACTTGGCTTGCTAGAGGACGACAAACATTGGGATTCCGCACTAGAGGAAGCAGCCTTATGCGAGTTGCCATTTAAAATGCGTGAACTCTTTTCCATAATGCTAAGTCTTTGGGTAAAATACAGGGATAGCCTATCAGAAGACTACAAACGACAAGTGGATAAAACCTATAATAAATGTCTGGTCACAATAGGAGAAGCAGTATTAACATTAGGAGGACAAAGCCTACAGCAGTACGGGTTGCCTCAGCCTCAAAGCTCTGTAGGCTTACACAATATCCGGGACTACCTGAAGGAAACAATTTACGATGTCAATTCCTTAGCAGAACTGGTGACAAGCAGTGAAGGCTCTCAAACCAATGAATAAAGACATATCTATCATAAAATACTTGCCAGTATCGACGCACGTGTTAGTGATATCTTTTTTTGGATCCTCCTGGTGAAAAAGGCAAGACTTTTCTATTAAATTTACTGTTAGCCAAAGTGAGAAGCAATCGGTGATATCGCCTTAGTGGTCGCATCGTCCGGAATTAATGCCACTCTCCTTGAAGGAGGTGAAACTGCACACTCCGCGTTTAAACTTCCTCTTGGTTTGATACAACTGAAATCCCACTTTACAATATACTCAAACAAATTAATATGACAGAAGTATTCCGCAAAACAAAATTAAATGTTTGCGGTGAGAGTACTATGGTTCATAAAGGGGGTTTCGAAGCCCTAAAGAGATCTTTGCAAGATATTGGGAATAACAATTGTCAAATGGGAGGAGTTACTGTATTGTTATAACAAAATAGCAGCAACAGTTATAACAAAATTAATAACGTAAAAAACTAATTAAAATTCCTACTAGAGCAATATAATATGAATATATATGAATATGAAGATGAATGGTATGCCAATGACGACACTAGGTACTGAGGACAAACCAGTTCATTAACTGCACGACGAACGTGGTACAATGTATGGCGTCACATTTTAAGTACTATGACTTATTATGAATATAAGAATTATAATAAGTATGTAATGCTGATGGCACCGCACTTTTAAACGGTATAGCAGTACGGACATAGACTTCTTTGCTATTACTATCTATTCTCGCCTGCAATAAGGATCTCATGTGGACGTCTTGTCAAGAAGACTTAGGCCCTTTACATTTTGATAAGTGACAAGTGCGAGTGGCAAGTGAGAAGTCACAAGTGCGTATTTTATTCCCACTTATCACTAGTCACTGCCTGTTCACACGCACTAAGCACTTGTCATTTGTCAATTGCACTTGCCACGTGCACTTGTCACTTCTCAACCACTATTTATTATGTGGTTACCGCAATGTTTGTTTATTTTAGCTATTGTCAATGTTATGTTTTGACATAGCACTCTACAAACAACTATACGAATACATGCTATTTACAATATTAGACGAAGGGACTCACTCATAGATTATTTTTAATAAATTAATATTTTAATTGTTGAATCACAATTTATTTTGAATCATAGCAATGGTAATATGTAAAAAGATATTTCTATATAATATATCATATTTCTCGAAAAGCATTACTCTCCTTCTGGGGATAGGCGGGTAAAAGTCGACAAGTTGTAGTTAAACACCACTTTAGCCAATGACACGCATATTTGTTCGAAAAATTATGAAACCAAGGAATATTATATCGGTCTAATATGAAATAACTTCGATGAAGACCTGAAGTGCTATGGACATCAAGAACAACGTAGCAAATGTAAACTACCACAAAAAGCATCACGGTTAATAAAAGAAACGAAGTTACAAATAAAACTTACCGACGCAAGTGCGGAAGCTGAGCCCGACGAGCTGCTTGAGCGAGATGGGGCGCGACAGGCGGATATAGGAGCTGCCGTTGAAATAGGCTTCGGGTCGGTCCGACGGGCCAACGGGGCTGGCGGCATGCGCCCCGTGGCCCGTCAGGGACCACAGCCCGAGCGCTATGTAACAACCTGGAACAAGTTAAATTACAATAAGTGTGTGGTCTTCGTTATATATTTATACGTATAAATAAAATTAGTGTCTGTGTGTAATTTTGAAATCACAATCATTATCATCATTACTGCCCTTTACAAGTCCACTGCTGTACATAGGCCTCCCTCAAGAAATGCCACCACCACCAAAGCACAGTCCTGAGCCACCTGCATCCATTAACTTCCTGCATATACACTCAGCGTCACAAAAATCGCACCTCTCTGAGTTTGCGCGAAAAATGGCTGTAATGGCTAGAAACGAATTATATTTATATAAATATTGGTATGTTTGAAATGGGTATTTGAATAGCTTTACATTATTAATAAAAAAAATCATGAAATTAAAACATTTATCATTATAGAGCGTCAAAAATAAACACTGTCAAATGCTCGTTAGTAAGGACGCTAGTTACACCATCTAAAAAGGGTATAAAAGGGTCGATCTGGATGAAATATAGGTTAAAAAGGTTACTCGCACCGCACGTTTTTACATGGGTAGGCTCAACAGCATGTTGGGCAGACGCAGTAAAATGTCCCTCCGCAACAAGCGAACCCTATATAAGGTCTGCATACGACCTGTCATGACCTACGCGGCCCCCATTTTCGCACATGCTAAGCCCAAAGCTATAAATGAACTTCAAATAGTTCAAAATCTATTCTGTCGTAGGGCCACTAACTCGCCCTATTATGTCCGTAAGCCGATAAAGTACTTAGAGCTCTCAACAATCCAGCAGTTCCTTAAATCACTCTCTGAGAGATTTTTCAAAGCCTCAGAGTCCCACCCAAATCATCTCATTCGTGAGACAGCTGCCTATGCAGCCCCTATCCACACTCGCTATAGTGTGCGCAGACCGAGAAACTCTCTCTCGGACCCCCCCAACAAGCTTTCGGCTGACCTGAACTGCCTCCTGGCGGCTCAGGCCGAGCCTACATAACACATCCCTTAATCTGCCATAGTTAGGCACTCTTCTAAGCGGCTTTTCGCCGCTTGCGCCCTCCTTTCTGCCAAGGAGGGTCGCGTTCGTATACGGCTTAGAGATCTCTAGTCAGATCGTTAAGCCAATTCCTAAAAGGTTGGGTTTAGTGGGTAAAAGTCACCACATAACCACGCAGCCGGCTGCGTGGTATGCTATGAGCATTCCCAACCTCCCTCCCCCGCTTTCCGGAGGGTTGCCCATATTTGGCTTCGGGCGCAAAAAAAAAAAAAGAAATATAGGTCAGTCGTAATTTAGACTTTGCAGTGAACACACGTGAACAAGTAACCCAAGTAAGAACAAGTAAAGATGGACACCAGCTCTGAAGAAGCCGCTCAAGTGATTGCCCTATTGCAGTCGGGGATGCGGCAGTGTGACGTTGCTCGACAGTTGAACCTGTCCCGTTTTTTAGTTCGTCGGGTGTTCCAACGTTTTCAGCAGACTGGTGGTTATGTTAGAAAACCGGGATCTGGAAGAAAACGGTGTACATCAGAAAGAGATGACCGTTTCATCGTTACGACATCTTTACGAAAAAGTTTTACAAATGCTGTTGAGTTGCAACAACAGCTTCGATCAACTCGGAGAACATCTGTGAGTTTTTCTACGATAAGAAGAAGGTTACACGAAAAGAGTTTAACAGCCCATAGACCTGCTAAAGGTCCAAAACTTACTGCACAGCATCGCAGCGATCGCCTAGAGTTTGCTCGCAATCATTGCGAGTGGATTCTAGAACAGTGGCGGACCGTACTCTTCTCTGATGAGACGAGGGTCGGTCTCTTCTGCAATGACAGACGTAGAAGGGTCTACAGACGACAGAGGGAGAGGTTCACACAACCCTGCTTCGAAGAATCCGTCGAATACGTGGGTGGCTCGTGTATGTTTTGGGGCGGCATTTCCGTCGACGGGAAACCGGAACTTGTGTGCGTTTCTCGGAGGTTTTTCGGGGTGGCCGTGGGCAGGGGTCATTAAATGCTGGTCGGTACATTACTGAAATCCTGGAGGAACATGTGGTCCCGTATGCTGGTTATGTCGGTGATGGATTCATGTTAATGCATGATAATGCTCGTTGCCACACCGCGGCTATTGTACGGGATTATTTACAGGAGGTCGATCTCCCTGTTATGCATTGGTCAGCACGAAGTCCAGACCTTAACCCAATAGAACATCTCTGGGGTGACCTAAAACGGCGCGTGCGAGCTCGAGATCCAGCTCCAACCACTCTTCAAGAGCTCCAAGATGCGGTACTTGAAGAGTGGGAACAATTACCCCGAGGCTGTTGCGACCCTTGTAAGGTCCATGAAAGATCGCATGGAAGCCGTTATCAAGGCAAGGGGGGGGGATAACACTAGGTTTTAAGAACTTTTTTGTATTTATTAAGTTTTATTTAAAATTATTAATTTGTACATACCCTGTCATTTTCTTTAATTTCTCTTTCGTCTCGTTATAAAAGTAAAATTCAATTAAAATTCCTGAAAGCTAATGAAATTACCTTTCGAATGATACCCTCAAACCACAACATTGCTGTTGTGTTAAAATAGTATTTAAATTATTTTTTTCGGATGTGCGATTTTTTTGACGCCGAGTGTATTACCAGGTCGTCACTCCTAGTGAGGGGACATCCTATACTTCGCATGCCGGTACGTGGCTGACACTCTTTCTACCTCATCGAATGTCGATTCTTCGAGCTATATGGCCGGCTCATTGCCATTTCAACCTACTAATCCCTTTGGGTTATGTCGGTTACTCTGGTCTGGTTCTACTGCAGATATCCTCATTCCTACGTAAATCACGCAGCGAAACCCCGAGCATAGCCCTCTCCATAGCTCGCTGAGCGACTTTGAGCTTCCACATACTGGCAACACGGACTGGTTTTATAATCTAGTTTTGAGGTTTTGAGATAAACCTGACGGGAAGATGTGTCGTGAATCTCCCGAACGCTGCACAGCCGAGTTACCGTCGATTGACCTCTCGGACTCGGAAACTGGACTTACCTAGTCGAACTATTTTTGCTCAGGTAAACATACTCGTCCACAACTTCGAGCTTAGTGCTCCTAACAACTACCGGCAAAGGTGTGACATTATACATGACTTTTGTCCATGTTCATTTTAATACCTATCCGATGAAACTATTGAGACACTATTGAGGTCATTGAGCATAGTGCTTAGGTCCTACAACGATTCTACCTTAAGGCCTATATCGTCGGCAAATCGAAGGTGAGTGATGTACACACCATTGACGTTAAGACTGTATTCTTTCCAGTCCAGTAGCTTGAAAACGTCTTCCAATGCAGAGGCGAAGAGTTTCGGGGATATAACGTCACTCTGTCTTACACCTCTCTGCAGTTGGACAGGTTTCTTACTCTGGTTCTGTACTCGGATAGCCACCGTAGCCCTACTGTACAAACACTGCAGCACTTCGATATACCGCCAGTTGTTAACTTGGCACTGCTGAAAGGACTGCAGCACCGCCCAAATTTTGACGGAATCAAAGGTTTTCTCATTGTCCACGTACGCAAGACAAAGTGGCAGATTGAACTCTTCGGTCTTCTGTACAATTTGCCAAAGGATATGTGGTGCTAAAACCGTTTCGGAAACCGGCTTGTTCGGGAGGCTGGAAGTCGTCGAGTCTGCGTGCAAGACGCTTCGCAATGACTCTCGAAAACAGCACGTAGACGTGGCTCAGAAAGAAAATCGGTACGTAGTTCTTCAAGAGAGCATTGTCACCTTTCTTGAAGAACAAGACCGCCGAACTACTGCTCCACGCCTCCGGAGTAGTGCCACCATAAAGGACGCAATTGAAGAAGAGCTTCTGAAGGATTTTTAGTATCGGAAAAATCTATGATGGTAGTCGATTCCACAAGGAAATTGTGCGAGGAAGAAAATTTCTTTTAAATCGCACCGTGGTGGACCGCCAGTCATTCAGATGGTATGGATGGCATCGAGAGTTTTGTCTCGATGTGCGATGGTGAAATTATGCAGCTGGAATTAGTCCGAACAATTCCTCAGAGCAATCCCCGAGGTAGATGCGATAAAATACGCAATGAGATGCAACATCTCTTCGCAGCGGCAATGAGTCAAGCCGATCGTAAAGAGCTCGGTCGCCGACGATTCAAATAACTCTGCGCTGGATGCGATCAAATGGAAGGAGCTGGCACTGGGGAGCCCCGGCCCAGAGATGGGAACAATATTCCATGTGCGGCCGAACCTGCGCCTTGTAAAGTTGCAGGCGGCATGAAATACTGTCCCTCTGGCTTTGCTAAGCACGCCAAGCTTTTTAGAGGCCAATTTGGCCTTCTCTTCCAAGTGACCACGAAACTGCAAGTCACTCGATATGTCGACGCCGACGATTCCGATACTGGCTGAGGCAGCAAGGGGAGTGCCTTGAAACTGAGCAGACACGACGAAGGGGTTTTTTAACGGTAAACGCGTAAACTTGTGTCTTCTGGGGATTAAACTGGACTTTAGTCACTCCCAGTCCGAGACTTTGTTCAACAAAGTTTCGACTTCAGACACAAGTTTGTTCCGGTACTCTGCGACGTTTTCCCGAGAAATATTGGCACGACTGTTGTATAAAGCATCACCAGTGCTGTCGTCTGCATAGTAATGAATGTTACCCGATTGCAACATGTTATTGATATGCAGAAGTAACAGCGTTGGTGATAGCACGCAGCCTTGTGGAACACCAGCGTTAATGGGCTTGTAATCGGAGCATGAACCGTCTACTATGACCTTGATGCTCCGATCAGCAAGAAAACTGGTTCGTAAGAAGCGCTTTGTGCCAAACCCGATCGAAGGCCTTCGCTATGTCCAAACTAACGGCCAAAGATATAGAAGGAAAAAGGAAGGAAGATATAAAAGGCCGAGCAACCGCGCCGGTAACCGTACCGGCGGTCAATAATCGGCTGGTGATCTTCCTGGTACCGCATGAGCTGGCTGTTAATAATGGATTCCATTATTTTAGAGAACAAGGAGGTGATGGCGATAGGCCTATAGTTGGTTGTCTTC